ACATCACAAAAAAATTATGGTGCAGATGGCACGTAGGCAACGCATGGCAAAATATGGCTGATAGATTATTAAACGTCAGTATTACATTTTTTATATTTAAAACAAATTAATTCCAGGATGTCGAAAACAAAACGGTCATGCAAAAACTGTATGAAATTCAGTTGACACCGTCTGAATTCGTTTTACAAAGAGGACTCAACGAATTGTTTCAGTATCTGAAGAGATTAGGAAATTCGAAAGCTCTCCAATTTTTAAAATATCTAAAGTCAAGATATCTCAGTGAGTTTGATACATTTTTACAAAAAACTGTAAAATTATCACTTTTAGAGTTTAGTTATGAAAACTTAGAACATTTTGAATCGAATGAGAAGAACGGGATCAGGTCCGATTTTTTGAGAAAAATTCTGATTCAGAAATTCTGAATAGGACCACTTTTTCTAAAATTGGTCCGTCTTTTCGTTTTTAATTCAGAATTTTTCTCAGGAAATCAGTCCTGGTCCCATTCCCACAAAAAATTTCCATATATTTTAGAATTGGAAAATTAAACCAAACAGAAAACATTTCAAAGAAGTAACAAGAACAGTCATAAAACTTCATTGAAAACTCACATGAATCAAAAATCGGGTTCGTAAATTTGCACACTAGGAAATACTTATTATGCCGCTGTTCCAAAAAAATTGTCATAGTCCGAAAAAATTTCACGTTCGACGTATTAAATTTTCAGAAACGAATAAATATTCATTTACAATTAGAAAAGCAAAAAATCGAGACAATTATTTTTTATTCAGAAACTGTGAAGGTTTGGGCGACTTGTTATCGAGATAATAGTATTGTGCAAACAAGTATGACAGCTGAATCATGGCATGCGTATCTCAAGGCAAGTTGGACTTAACCGCAATTCTCATTTTCCGAAAAAATTGATATTTTATATTTATTTTTTCAGCGCAACGATTTAAAATATCAAACACAAATGAGATTGGATAATTTGGTGCACAATTTGAAAGAATCAAATGAAAATCGAATGGCAAGAAGAGCGACAGAAATGTTGCGCGACTTGGCCAGAGCAAATCTTCGAGCCTGTGAGCAAAGAAAACTCCACAAAGAAGCTATGGAAATCCTGCTGAATTTCAAAGTTGAAATTCACAGCGAAACTGAATTGTTCATTTATGACCATCGGAGACCATCGGATGTTTTTGTTATTCAAATCGAAACCGATCCTGAATGTTTGGACGTAAGAAAGCGTGGATTTTTATATACTGATTGTATTTATTTTTACAGCCGAACAGCCATTGCGAGTTATGTGATGTTTGCTGGTCAGAGATCACATGCAGCTGCACCCATCAAATTTCAGGAGTGAACTGCACTCATTGTCATATTGCTAAGGCATTGTTACGTGAGTTCAGTTTGAAACTGCACTAAAAATAATCTTACTTTTCAGCAACTTTCTTTGTCAAATCATCTATACCTCCAAAAGATCAATTTTCATCGAGCGGAGAAGATTTTGTCGATGACGAATTTGATGATTCACAAATTCTTGAAGACGAAAATCCAATTTTCGACGACGAACATGATGATTCACAAATCCTCGAAGACGAAAATCATAGTCATATTGATTTAATTCCACCAATTATTGACATTGATTCGAATGAGGAAAGAGCAAGACCTGATGAGAGTGATAATGTTTCAGAATCGAGATCAGATGAATTGGACATTTTATCAGATGAGGATGAAAGAAGATCCGTTGAAAACGAAATGACTGTTCAAAACCGCATGGATAAAATATTAGCCGACATGACATCAATGAGAAACGTGGGTGAACTTAAGTTTTAGTTGTCAAAAATTGTGTTAAAAAATTATTTTTTAAGAATTTCAACTACATTGAACAGGAAATGCGACGATTAGCTAAAAATCCATCACAAGAAACGGTTCAATATTCGACTGAATTAGCTTCAAAATTAGATAAGATTGTTCGAGAAATGAAAGAAAATAATGGAGCCCAGCAATCATCACTTCCAAATCGTTATAACGTATTGAGAAAAAATCAAAAAGCTCCAACAGCGGCCGAAGTTATGCATTTTGAGAGAAAGGTTTCTAATCATGTTTGAATCCGAAAATAGTTAATTTACAGAGTAAAAACCCGAGAAAAAGAAAGTTGAACGAAGTTCAAGCCGATAATGTTGTGAATAACGGGGAAGAGTGCTGGACTTGTAGTTTTTGTCGAAATGTGAGGATCTATGATATTTGATAACGTCCAACATTTTTTTCAGGATATCGATCCCCTCGATACTTGTCCAATTTTGAAATGCAACCGTTGTTCGTATAAAGTTCACGAGAATTGTGTGGAATTCGAAACCTGTCTCACTTGTAGAAATGGAGAATATCAAGAATATCCATAGTAATTCAGATCTTGATTTTTGTTATTTATTGTTTTTTTTGTCATTTTTTGTTGATTGTCACATTTTTATTGTTATTCATTTCAATTTTTATTGGCTTTGGAATCATTTAATTATCGAGCCAGTCAAAAAAATCAAACAATAGAAAAATTCCAGATGCTCAACTCGAAACTTCATCTCAAAAATACAGAAAAACAATCCATTTATGGATTGACTAAAAAATTCCAGATGCTCAACTCGAAACTTCATCTCAAAAATACAGAAAAACAATCCATTTATGGATTGACTAAAAAATTCCAGATGCTCAACTCGAAACTTCATCTCAAAAATACAGAAAAACAATCCATTTATGGATTGACTAAAAAATTCCAGATGCTCAACTCGAAACTTCATCTCAAAAATACAGAAAAACAATCCATTTATGGATTGACTAAAAAATTCCAGATGCTCAACTCGAAACTTCATCTCAAAAATACAGAAAAACAATCCATTTATGGATTGACTAAAAAATTCCAGATGCTCAACTTGAAACTTCATCTCAAAAATACAGAAAAACAATCCATTTATGGATTGACTAAAAAATTCCAGATGCTCAACTCGAAACTTCATCTCAAAAATACAGAAAAACAATCCATTTATGGATTGACTAAAAAATTCCAGATGCTCAACTCGAAACTTCATCTCAAAAATACAGAAAAACAATCCATTTATGGATTGACTAAAAAATTCCAGATGCTCAACTCGAAACTTCATCTCAAAAATACAGAAAAACAATCCATTTATGGATTGACTAAAAAATTCCAGATGCTCAACTTGAAACTTCATCTCAAAAATACAGAAAAACAATCCATTTATGGATTGACTAAAAAATTCCAGATGCTCAACTTGAAACTTCATCTCAAAAATACAGAAAAACAATCCATTTATGGATTGACTAAAAAATTCCAGATGCTCAACTCGAAACTTCATCTCAAAAATACAGAAAAACAATCCATTTATGGATTGACTAAAAAATTCCAGATGCTCAACTTGAAACTTCATCTCAAAAATACAGAAAAACAATCCATTTATGGATTGACTAAAAAATTCCAGATGCTCAACTTGAAACTTCATCTCAAAAATACAGAAAAACAATCCATTTATGGATTGACTAAAAAATTCCAGATGCTCAACTTGAAACTTCATCTCAAAAATACAGAAAAACAATCCATTTATGGATTGACTAAAAAATTCCAGATGCTCAACTTGAAACTTCATCTCAAAAATACAGAAAAACAATCCATTTATGGATTGACTAAAAAATTCCAGATGCTCAACTTGAAACTTCATCTCAAAAATACAGAAAAACAATCCATTTATGGATTGACTAAAAAATTCCAGATGCTCAACTTGAAACTTCATCTCAAAAATACAGAAAAACAATCCATTTATGGATTGACTAAAAAATTCCAGATGCTCAACTTGAAACTTCATCTCAAAAATACAGAAAAACAATCCATTTATGGATTGACTAAAAAATTCCAGATGCTCAACTTGAAACTTCATCTCAAAAATACAGAAAAACAATCCATTTATGGATTGACTAAAAAATTCCAGATGCTCAACTTGAAACTTCATCTCAAAAATACAGAAAAACAATCCATTTATGGATTGACTAAAAAATTCCAGATGCTCAACTTGAAACTTCATCTCAAAAATACAGAAAAACAATCCATTTATGGATTGACTAAAAAATTCCAGATGCTCAACTTGAAACTTCATCTCAAAAATACAGAAAAACAATCCATTTATGGATTGACTAAAAAATTCCAGATGCTCAACTTGAAACTTCATCTCAAAAATACAGAAAAACAATCCATTTATGGATTGACTAAAAATTCCAGATGCTCAACTTGAAACTTCATCTCAAAAATACAGAAAAACAATCCATTTATGGATTGACTGAAAATATCACAATTTCAGACCGCAATTTTCAGATCGTTCTACTGCATACACTATATTCAAAAACCAAAAACTCCAATCTCTTGTTACAACCCCGGAAAATCAACTTACTCACAAATATACCAGCCGAAAACCACAAATATACTCAAGAAAGGTGTTGTTGTTGTTATTTCCTCATAAGAACGCAGAAAAACTAGGAAATTGTGTTTTCTGCCACGAATAATCTGCAAAATCATTCAATTTGCTTGAAAATAGTTAAAATCAGCCAACTCACTCTCAAAACAGTCGAAAAAACCTCAAAAAAGCATTCCTAGAACACCCAAAACAAACAATTAAATTCAAACAACCTCGCTTTGTGCGCTGGAGCGCATTTCCTAAATTTAGTCAATCCAAAGTGACGAAACCTGCAGCCTTGTGTGTGCGCAGTGAGTAAACATGTGTGTTTTGTGACTGCGGCCAACACAGATTATTTCCATCACTCGATTTTTTTCAATTGTTTTTCCGAATTCAGACGACCTTCATATTTAAACCTCCTCACTTTTTTCTTTCTTATTTAGCCTTTTTTCCATATTTTTTCGCAATTTCAATTTGATATCGATTGATTTTTCCTATTTCTCTTCTTGCAATATGATGACTCATATTCCAAATTTTTATTTTCAGACTAAAATGCCAGCACCACCTCCTCCCCCGCCCCCTCCGCCACCGCCAGTTGCACTGCCAGCCGCTGACAGTTCAAGAAACGCTCTTCTCACAGATATTCATGTAAATTTTTCTTTAAAATTAAAATATTTCAAAATAAAAATTTAGAAAGGATTCAAACTAAAGAAGACAGTTACAAATGATCGATCAGCTCCATCTGTAGGTAAAGTAGTAAATGGAGGAAGTTCATCTTCAAATACAAATGGATCTTCCTCGAATTCCTCATCTGGCGCCCCAAAAATGCCAAGTTCTGGTGGTTTGGGCGGTCTGTTCGCAAATGGAATGCCAATGAAACCAAGTGACAATAAAATAAAAAGAGCACCAACGAATCTCGGTCAGTTTTTTTTATTGGAAAATTTATTTGAGGAAAATATTTCAGCGTTTTCACGAAATGTTGCATTGAAATCAGGTATTGAAAATTAACACTTTTCCCCGGAAACTTCTGTTCTAAAATATTATCCAATGACTATTAAAAAATTAATTTTTGAGAAGTTTAAATAATCATTTTTAGGACCTCCGCCTGCAGCTTCTTCAGCTCCACCGCCACCAGCAGAATGTGAGTTGACACTTCTTGGATGTTTTTCTAAGAATTATTTATTTTCAGCTAGGAAGCCATCGATAGTTCCCTCATCTTCTTCTTCTGCTTCATCAGCAGCTCCTCCTCCGCCACCTCCGCCTCCACCTCCGCCACCAGTTGCGTCAGCACCAACAAATTCCACCAAATCAACACATCCACCACCTCCGCCAACACAACAATCAAAACCGGTTAGTTCTTTTTTGGTTTGAGGGTTTTGCATGAATTTTGTTGTGATTTATTTATTTGTGTCGTTTTTTTCTAGTTGAGCAACACTGGACGTGAACAATTCAAAACAATGCGACCGACTAGACAAACATCAATCGATAAACCAATTATTAAAAGATCTGGAAGTTCTGAGGTGTGTATGTTGTGCGGTGAAATGATTTTTTGTGGAAGAGTATTGTGAAACAACGATTTCGAAATTTCTTTTTTTCGGTGGCATAGAATTTTCTACAAAACTATTTTTCAAAAAAAAAAATACATTTGCATGATTTTTGCCCGAGCTTCTCTAATTTTTTGAAGTTTTAAGAAGTTTCTCCACACCAATTCGGACATTTTCCAAATTTTTTCTGATTATGACTACAAAAAATTGCATTGGGAAATGTTTATTTTTTAGGAAAAAATCTGAAATTTTATATGATTTCACGTATTCGAAGAAATTCAGAGCCTTTCCGAAAAAAACATTAACAATTCCTATAAACCTTTATTCCAGGATATCCCACAAATCAGTCGAATGGCTCGACCGGGTGTTCCACCGCCAGCTCGACCAGTTGCACCTCCTCCGCCACCCCCACCAATTCCATCAACAAATTCTCGAAGCGACGATGCGCCCCCACCGCCGCCAAGAATTGCATCAAAATCAATAGGAGGTGGAACATTACGAGCTCCCCCGCCACCATCTCCACAATTTCAATCAATATCTGGTTCTTCTTCGATTCCACCGCCACCGCCACAATCTACAATTTCATCATCTCAAAATACAGTAACCGTATCACAAAGTCAACCATTCCATCCATTAAATCGTTTTCATTTTGTGCCAATTAATCAACTTCCACCGCCTCCAGCAAGAATTTAATCTCATTTTTTCTTTCGTATTTTTTGCCCATGACTTTTTGATTTCTGTGATATTCCTTTTTTTTTGTTGAAAAGTATGATGTGTACGTACAAAATCGGTTTTCTAGTCTTTTATAGCATTTTTTCCCTACGCTCAATGTTGAATAAATTAAACTTTTTTGGAGGTGTTTTTGAAGTGAATTTTTTGAGTTATCAGAACTCTTTCATACTTATACGATTGAAAAAATTAGAGATTTTTTTGAAAATGTTTTCAAACCTTTCTCAATCCACAAAAAACATCTTCCTAAATTTCAGTTTAAAAAATGGACCAACAACAAAATGATCCTCAACTCGGAGATCGATTAAAAACAATTGTTGGAACTGAAAAACAAATCGATGAGCTGATGAAATGCTCGAAAGATTGTTTACAAGAATTATTAAAAGATCGACAGATAAGCAAAACAAAAATGGAAGAAACAGCGACAACTTTTCGAAGATTAATTAATCAAGTTGAAAATGAATTGAATAATCAAATGCAATATTTGTCGAATGTTTGTGTTGGATCTGCACATCAAGGTAAGATCGGAAATGGGTTTGAGAAAGACATTAAACATTTCTAGAGGATTTCAAAAGAGTTTAATTCAAATTAAATTTTTTGAGATAATTTCTATTCCTACCCTGGCTTTTCCGAATTCTGAAAAATTGGTCATAGAACGTTTTAGATCAGAAAGATTACCAACAAAAACAGGTCACATTTCCATTTAATTTTTTTCTAGGCTCAACATTCGGAAGTCTTCAAAATTCGCATCTCGCCGAAGTTGGAACAAGTTCGCTTTATAAACGATTGGAAGAAATCACTGAAAAATATATGCCAAAAAATGAGGAAATTGAAAAAATGATCGAAGAAGAAGAGGAAAAAGAAAAAGAAGAAGAAACTATTAAATTAGATTGAAACAGAACAATATTTGAGACATTTTTGTATATAAGAATTGAATTCAACAGGGTTTTCCTGCATGATACTCATAAATTATTTTTTGAAAGAATTTTGTGCATTTTTTTAATTTTTGAAAGCGTTGAAAATCGCAATTTTTATATATTTTTTCAAATGTTTCTTCTTGAAACACCTCATAATTCTAGTCCTATTGATTTCAGATAAAAATGGAAAACGAGAAATTTATTGCTCCCCGTCGAACTCTTCCACAATATGGTCCACGAATTCTTGAAGTCGCAGATCGCCCAAAAATTCAGAATCACAAGATCTTATATTGCGAACCTAGCACTTCCACAAAAACTATGAGAACAAAAAGAAGAGTTGAACCATATTTAAGTCTAAATCTACAAAAACAGAAAAATCAATCGATAGTTGAAGAACATATTGATGGAGAAGATCCTTATGTTGGAGAATTACGGAAATTATTCAAAAAACGGCAGAAATCCAAGAATTTGCAAGATAGTTTAGAAACAAAAATTGGTGAATTTCCGGAAGAAATGACAAATCGAATATTGAAATATGGTTTTCGATGCGATGTTGAAAGTTTTAGTTGTCTTTATCCGGCTTGTGGAAGAACTTTTGAATCAATTGAAGTTTTGGCATTTCATTTATCATATTCACATCAAGCGAAATTCGATGCATCGAATAGTTTAATTTGTTTGGTTTGTGGAAGGATTTGGAATTCGGTTAAGGTAAGAAATTTGGGGAGGGGTTCTAAATTCTCATAGGAAAATATTAATGTTTGTTGGACTCAACGTAAATTTTCTAATTGAAAAGTCCGAAATTTCATTTCATTGCATTTTTTCCAAAAAAAAAATCGTTCTAATTTTTAAAATGAAGGATTCTTATTGAAATTAAGAAAATTTCAAAGTTTTATTTTCAGATAATTTTAAGGTACAACCTTTTTGATCTCCTTCCCGAAAAAAATCGAATTCAAAATTTAATTCTGCCTCGTTCCAGACAAAACTGAATCATGTTTCCTCAAAACATCGAAACCTCGGCGAAGAACACAATTCTCAATGTCTTCTTCAAGATGTTCCTGTTATTTCACCCGATGCACCAAAAGCTATTCGACTTGTAAATAATAGTCTGAAATCTCGTTTCTCGGATCAATTTGGACAAAATGTTGTCGTTTTTCAGTGAGTTTCCATTTTGCTTAAAGATTCGTTTCAAAATTTGTTTTTTTTTTCAGAAACGAAATCGATGAAGATGACCCTTTTATTGTGGATGATGATAATTATCACAGAAATTCCTATTTTTAAATAAATATTAACAATTTATTGATTTTTTCAAGTTTGAGATAATTCGATTCGATTTCAGCGATTTTCAATATTTCTTGTAGTAAATTTCAAGCATTTTTCTAGAAAAAATAAAGTTTCCGATGTTGGCGACGCGTGGAATATTGAGAAATGCGCAGAAAATCAGAATCCCATTCAATCGAACAGTTTTCAATCAAAATGAGATGGCATATTCGGAAAAAAGATTGATTGGATTTTCGCGCGCGGAAATGTTCGATGTTGTCGCCAACGTCACCGAATATCATCATTTTGTACCCTGGTGTAGAAGTTCTAATGTTACACATGAACATGATAATTCACAGGTACTTATGTTAGGAAGTTTTGAGGGATTTTTAAAATATTGACAAAAAGTTATCGAAAATTCTGTAGATTTCATGACACACTTGGCGAGAGAGTGAAATTTTTATGCAGCGTGAAAATTTTTTCAGAATAAAAATTGTGCAGCGTGAAATTTTGAATATTTTCATCAAAATCCGCTGAAAATCAATGAACACTTCACTTTTTCGTGAAAAAAATGTGCAGTGAAATGAAAAAAAATTTTGAAAATTTTTATTAGCTTCCCGCCCGAATCGAAATTTTGGTTTGGGCGGGAATTTTTATTTGAAAATTTTTGTACAGTATCCTTTTTGGACACGTCTCGTCAGACGTTTCATGAGCAAAAAACATTTTAAATCTGAAATTTCCGCTTTCAAATCTATATTAAAATTTTTTCGGCCTAGATTAGTTTTATATTTTTTTTTCAAAAAAAACCACAATTTTCTAAATTGCCACGTCATAGTCCTTTCTTCCGAATATTTATATTTTTTTGCAGATTGCAACACTGGAAATTGGATTTCCACCGCTTTTAGAAAAGTATACAAGTCGGGTAATTTATATTAAACCTTCGGTAGTTCATGTAAGTCTCCCCCTCATTTTCCCTCAAAATCCTGATTTTTGCAGTCAGTCGTGATCGAAAATGATAATTTATTCAAAACTCTCGACACAACATTTCGTTTCGGAAAAGGAAAAGAGGGAATTGAAAGATCGTGTACATTGCACTATGATTTGGTTTTCGAATTCGAATCTGCTTTTCATTCTCGAATTGCGCATTTATTTTTTGATCGAGTTGTTAAAACTATGGTTTCGGCATTTTTGGATCGAGCTGAGAAAAAATATGGAAAACCAAGTTTTCCACATTCAGCGCCGAAGGTTTTGCAATACAAAAGTTAAAAATTAATCTAGTCAAAAATGTGTTTTTTTTTAATTTCTTGCCATAAAAAGTATGATGCATAAAACGTTTTTTTTCATAAAATTCGAAAAAAAATCAACAAAGTTTATAACGATTTTTTCAAAAAATGCACCAAATCAACTTGAATATCAACAGCTTTTTGTTTATGAAATCGATAAGTTGCTGGAAGATTCCATCGCATTTCAGCAATTGTCTCAACTTTCTCCAAATCTTCCCACTTCCTCGCAGTTTTCAGAATAAAATCTCGTGTCGATGATTTATGCAACGAGAAAACACTTCCACCGGGTCGACAAATCGAAATCGCATTTTCAACAAATTTCATATCAATTCCTGAATTGTTTTTTGTTCCAAATGGTGGATTCAAAACTACGATATCGAATATTGGTTGTTTGAAAATATTCCGAATTTCGAGAGCATTTCCTCGAATAATTTCACATTTTTCCTCAATTTCTGTCGATTCAATATTTCTCGAGCATATTTCAAGGGCATCTTCATCAATATCAATTCCTATAATTTGTTGTGGTTCATAACACGTGGCAATTGTTGTCATTAACATTCCACATCCACAACCAAGATCTGCTATTAGACAATCATCAATTCCAACTTCTGAATCAATCATTTCCATCATTGAAACTGTAAAAAAATGTATTTCGAAAAATTTAGCCGTGAAACGTACATTTTGTTCCAAAACAGAAGTTCAGAGAAATTTTTCATCCAAGATTTTTTTTCAGAAAAATTTTCACAAATCTCGAAACTGGACTGTAATTGTTATAGAAAAAATATTTCCAATTTTTTTCAATGAATTTTCAGAATATTGGGATGTTTCAATATTTTCAGAGAAAATTTTCACAAATATTTTCAGCCGGTCTTTTACAACCTAAAATTTTTAGTTTTTTGAATATTGATTTTTCGTCGATTTTCAGCCAATAAAAATTCCACAAAACAAACTTCGGCAATTTTTCAATCGATATTTTGATCCCAAAATTTCCCTCAATTTGTTTTTCTTCAAAAAATTACCCGCTAATTCTGCTGACGTGGCATATTGTTCAAATTGAATTTTGGGTTTCTCAAATCCTTCCAACTTTTCCAACATCCATAAAACCTGTTTATCCGGCATCTAAAAATTTTCCTCAAAATGTCTCTCAAAAACTTTGATATGCAGGGTATAGTAACCCCCTCTACAGTATCCCTGATTCCAAAAAATAAAATATTTTATAATAAGAAGAGACTAGTGAAATATGTACATCTAGAAAAGTGAAAAATGAAAACAAACAAAAAATATAAGAAAATACATGAAAAATGATAAAACTGGGACCCTTTTAATTGTCATTTGAATACCCTTTTTTCTTCTTCGATTTATTGTCGACCATAATTTATTGGTGATTTTAAAATATCAAATTTGTTGGCCGATTCGAGTAAATATTGGACTATTTGTGATTGCATTATCATACTAAAAGCCAAATGAGAATTTGATTGAACTTGAGCAGCCGAAACTGGATCATCCTGTAAATAATATAAAATTTGAATACATTTTTTGGGAATGAGTGCGAGGGTTTGGGGCTATAAAATAGGCACATTTTTTGTGTAGTTTCGATTGATTACGGAAAATTTTCATCTTGAATCTAAGAGTTCTCTATTGAAAATAGTTCGGAAGAAAATTCACAGAGCTTGGATTTTCATTTTTAAAATTTAGCGAGAGCAAAAATCTCAAGATAGGTTTTAGAGAAAATACAATTAATTTTTAGGTGAATTCTCAAGATTTTCTCACGAAAATTCGTCAAATTTATAGCAAATTTTCAGGTGAATTCTATCCTCAAAGTTTATTTCAAAATTTCCTTACCTTTTTTCCAGTTTTTCCCTTCTTCGCCGCTTTTTTCCCATTCTTTCCATTGATCGCATTTGCTCCATCTCCATTATGAAAAAGTGTCGGACCGAAAACAATCGCCAAATTGTGTTGCTGCATTCGATTTTGTGAGGAATGTGAGGAGACTCTGCAGAATTGGGAGGTAGATTAATTTATAGAAAAAAAGAAAAAGAAAAGATGAAATTACCTATTCAAATGGCGAAGTAACACTTTGAGAGTTTCGCGATTTTCATTCGGAAGTCGATTCAGAAGTTCCTCAAATTTTTTGAAACGACTTGTTGCGTTCGGAGTTTCTGAAAAAGAAAAATTGAGGGTGCATGATGGAAAAGAATTTCTTTAATTTTCCAAAAAAAAAAATTCAAACCACATTCTTTGAGGTCAGATTTCGTTCAACATGGTCGAATGAGTAAGTTTCAAGCTATTCAAGTTTCATAAAACGTTAATTAGAGAAATTTTTCAGATGAGAAACTAAAAAAAAGGTAATTTTTCGTATTTTAGGCGATTTCTGAAAGAAAACTTTCTGCTACAGAATTAAAAATGTTGAACATTGTTATAACTTTCCTTGGGATATTTATCTGGGAACTGAAGAATTCCAAACCATCCCCCTATTCCCGAAATCCAAAAAACACTCACGCATTGCTGATGTATATTCTTTATGCAACGCAATCGGAAACAATGGTTCTCCCAATTCTCGGAAAAACAACTTGAGTGCTCCAGTCAAAACATGAATATCTTCTTCGGCAACCAATGCTTTATAATTATCTTGATCTGCTTGACAACGAATTTTCTGAACTGCAGACAGATTTCCGCTAACTCGATATATTCCATCAGTTTCTAATCCTTTACTTTCGATAACTTCAGTTATAACACGAATAAATTTCGGAACAAATGATGATTCGTGTTGGCAAATGATTGCAAGAGTTGATCCAAATACTGGTTCAGCTAAAAAAATAGGTCTAGAATTCTGGAATGTTCAAAAAAAAACTCACGTTTATAAATTCCCTTCTCTTTCAAAGTTTCAACAGTTGGTCGAGTTCTGAAGAATCGTCTCAATTTTTCGAGTATCGTTTCTTTTGATGGTCGAGATTCTTCAACAACAGTTCCAGATGCTGAATTTGATGTAGATGAAGATGGTTCGATTGCTGATTGTGACATTGGATCATCGCGTCGACGAATACTTCGAGAACTGCAAAAACAAAGAATTGATTTGAGCTTTAAAAACTTGATTTTCAGCGTTATGGGGCTGAATGCGATTCAGCAAATGTCGAAAAACCACACATCAATTGGATTCGTAGTTCCCAAGTTTCAAAACTATACGCAAAACTTTTTTGTGTCAAAATTCTAAATTTTTAAGACTTTCTGATTATTCAAAATTATGCTCTAACCATTTTTCTACCAGAATCCATTCTTCAAAAACTTACATTGGAATAAGTGCATGTGATAATGGTCTTGTGCTTCCTAAATATGATGGATTTCTAACAACACTTGCATTTGTTGAATCGATTACAGATTGACTTGAAGAACCAGGTGTTGGCTGCAAAATACATGATTTTATTTTTGGATAAAATATGAAAGTTTAGTTGTTTAATGTTAATTTTTAGAACTCGCATGAGATTTCAGGAAAATTACAAATTTTGAACTATTTTGCTATGAGAGACAATCGAAAAATTGAAAACAATGAAACTATTGATAAAAATTTTGAAACGTATAAAAACCAGGAAATTTTTAACGTGGATTTTTTTTAGATTGAGGGAGTCTATGTGTTCAGTTCATCAAAAATATAGATTTTTTCTAGAGACAAAATTTATTGTGAATGTTTTTTCTTTATCAACTTCATCGAAAAATGAAAAACACCGGAAGTATTCATGAAAATTTTGAAACATATAAAATCCGAGCAATTTTATGTAGGCTTGTTGTCTTTGAATCTCATTTCAGAAGGTCAGATCAGGCCTCGTTTTGTGTGAACCTTTTTCGAGAAATCAGAAATTAAAATTCAATTTTTCAAAATACAAGAATTTTTAGGGATTTTTCGAGCTGAAAATTATATTTTTCGTCAAAAATCACACAACCTCATCCAAATTCCAAAAAAAAACTCTAAAAATGTTACCTCACTAGCACTTCTTTGCAAACTCAATTGTCTCACTTTAACATATGCCGTATGCCACATTTCAAACAACAAAATAACAAGTGAAATGTTGTGTGGCATGGCGGAAAGAAAAACGAATAATCCGCCCAATAATTAAAGTATTATCCGAAAATTTGCCAAAATAAGTTTTGTTTTTTTTCATTCTTGACGATTTTTCTTATAGGGTGATTCAGGTACAAAAAATGTGGAAATTTTTTTTGAATAAATAAAAAAAGCTAAATCGGAGAAAACGTTAAAAAACTGAATTTTGTATAATTTTTTTCAGAAAAAATTCTTGTAAAATTATTTTCGAATGGAAAAATTAGCGAGTTTTGAATCTGATTTGTAATCTATTTTTCTAACATTATTGGATTTTCACCAAAAAAAAACCCAAAAAGCACTAACCAATTTAATAACAACATCCTCAAGTGCTTTAAACCATTCAAAAGTTTCCGAATCATTCGAAGTTCTCAATAAAAACTTGGTCAAATTCAACAATTCCAATTGGATAACTTTTCGTTTTTTCTTCGTCTCATTTTTCATCCACGTCACTTTTGCACCTCGCAAATCCCAAACACCCATTGGAGCATCGTAATGTTTTCCGTGTTTCTGAAAATAATTGAATGATAAAAAAATTATACGAGAAGAAAGTTAAAACTAACAACCTCAGCACTTTTTTGATCCTTGTATAAAATCAAATGAGCACTTGTCAAATACATATAATTTGTGAGCCATTCTCGTTTTTTTATTTTTATATTTTCATCTGAAATATGATCACTTCTTTCCATACTTCCACATTTTATTGTTCTAACTGGTTCACGACTTTCACTGCTTCCACGACGTTCTTGGCATTTTGAAAGGAGCTGGAAAAAAGTGGATTGATAGGGGGGAAAACTGAGAGGGAAAATATAAACTTGATTTTTTGAGAGAAACAATTTGTCAAGTTTAATTTCAAATCGAGAGATTTCATTCATTTTTTCAAAATTAAAAAAAAAATAAGAATTACAATTTTTAAGTTAAAAATGTAAATGAAGCAAGTTCATACAGATGTAGATTTTTTCAATTAAAACATAACATTTTTCAAAATTTCTAATTCCAAAGCACGTACCGTAGTTTCACAATCCGAATCATCATAATTTCCTCTATCCGGTGTTCGATCCAAACTCGAAGATGTTGGCAAAACATGTGGCATTGGAACATTCTTCAAAACTGTGCATTTATTTTGAAATGAAACTGATCGAAAACTTGTCGGTGATATTCTTCGACTGGTTATTGATGATGCAGAAATTGGAGTGGAAGCATCCGGAGGAATCTGGAAATCAAGGAGATTTTTGGAAGCAATTTTTGAAAACTCCCTGAGCCAACCTCTTTTCGAACTTACAAAATATGGTTTCTCTGGATTTGGATGTGGCATCATTGCATGATTTGGTTGTTCATCATCCGATTCTTCTTCAAAATCATCATCCGAAAAATCGTCATCGGGTTCGCGAGTTTCAACAACTTCTTCGTCTTCTTCACAAACTTCATCAAAAACTTCTTCATCTTCGATTGACGATTTGCGGAAATCGATTAGAGTCTGAAAATGAAATATGATTTTGAGAGAAGGGATAAATGTTCTAACTTCGGAATTATTATTCAAGAAATATGAATGAATGAACTACTTTTAAGTCATAAAATTTGAAAACAACAATTTTTGAAACGTATAAAATTCGGGCTGTTTTTTAATAGCTTATTTTTCGAGTGTTACAGGATTATTTTGAGCAATTTTTTCGATGCAAATTAGATTTTTTTTTGATGAAATTCCAATATTATCAGATGAAGCTCAAACAAACTTTATATTTTTCAAAGAAAAACATTTTTTTAAGTTATTTTTAATTACGGGTTTGTAAATATTCAAAGGTGAGCTAAATTTTTTTATATCATATAAGCAGTCCCCTTACTTTTTCTCAAGAATCAATCCAAAATTACCTCTTTATTCTCTTTTTGTTCATCAGAACTTGAAACCGACGAAGAAGATGGTCCTTCAAATGTGCATTTTTCATCAATATCACTTTTGGTAGCTCTCAAAAATGCCTGAACTTGCGCTGGTGTTCTTATCATTCTCGGCGGAATCCATTGACTTTTTCCCGTATCTTGATTATAGAAAAACGTGCGCCCAAAATCAGTTTCATATTCAAACCATCCATTTTGCAAATCTCGTTTTGGTTGTGCATCTTCTTTTGGAGTTGGTGGAATTGGTCGACTATTTGCATCTTCAATTTCTCGAATATTTGTATATACATGAGCTGGATCATCATCTTCGATTTGAGGTTGTGAGGAGGCTGATGTTTCAGGTTGTTCAGATATTGGAGAAGTATTTGATATTGATGAATCAGTCGAATCAGACATCTAGAAAAGGGAATATTTATAAGGAGAATCTGGTAAGAATTTTGAAAATTTTATAATCAGCGGTGAATTTCTGAACCTTTTGAAAAATTCCAGAAATTCGACAAAGCTTTTCAAATTTGAATCAAATATGAAATTTCCTCACATAAGATACATTTTCAGACAGCATTTAAATTCTTTTGTTTTGAAATTAAATTAAACATTTTTGTAAAACATCTTCATAAATTCACCCAAATATCACAAAAAACCCCATAATTTTTCTTTTCAAAAACCAATTGTAAACCAAAAAAGTACATTACTTTTTATGGAATAAATTTGTATTTACAAAAAGGAAAAACTATCATATTACAAAGAAAAGTGCTTTCCTTTCCCTTTTCATTGCTTTTTGCTTTTTTTTGAAGAAAAAATGATATCATTTTGAATTTCGAAATCAATCTTACCGTCACAATTTCAGACAATTTCGTCGAGGAAAATCTTGAATTATTAAAATCTTGAATTGTTGCAGTTGTCGTCATTTTTCATGCCACATTTGTCCTTTTTAATTGAAAACTGAAACAAAAATACTATAAAACGATAAAAAAGTGGAAAGGAAGTAAAGGTTACACGAATGATAAGAGTAGTTTTTTTTGGACGAATAAATCAATATTTCGAAATGAATACAACTGTTTTCAAATAACAAACTGTTATCATACAACAAAAAATTGTATAATTTTGAATATTGAATAGAAGGGTTTTTGATATGCTATGATAATAAATAAATATCGAATTTACATATGCCAATTCAATTCAATTCGTGTGTGAATGTGAATGCATTTGAAAAAAAACGCATGGCCTAGAAAAAATGGGAAATGTTCGGCCAAGTGTGACTCACAGGGGGTTTTGAGATGAAAAAAAAAATGAAAAACAACATTTTTCGGAAAATGGGTCACGTTGAAATTCAGGATTTTGTTGTAAAAAAAATCAGTCTCCAAATTCCATAACTTTTAAAAAATTAGAGGAAATTTGAAAAAATTTTAGATACAAAAAAAAATTAATTCAAGATGCCTAACCCAATTTTTCGTGTAAATCGGATTAATTTTTTTAAAGATAATCCAATTTTAGTAAAAACTAAGCCTAAGCCCAGCTAAAAAAATTCTGTGAGAACCAACAAATAAAAACATCTCTTTCGAAAAAAAAAAAGTGTTTTTTCGGAAGATTGACAATAAATTCTCCAGAGAAAACATTTTCTTCCAGGAAATTGAACATTATTCAAATCGTTTGCCCTTTCAAGAAAAATAATTCGGAATCTAAATTTTGGATAAAATAGGATGGAGCGGAGAGAAAAGAAGAAGTATTGAATTCGGAATTTGTAAGATTTCGAAATATCTATTTATGGAATTTTCATGTTTCCGAATTGATTCGAAAAACAGACGTGTCCAAAATTTCGTCAAAACTCACACTTTTTCACGAAAAATTTAGTTTTCTTTGACTTTCAGCGGATTTTGATTTGTTTTGGGGTCTCATCTCATTAAAATTTGCTCAAAATTGATCCAATTCTACTCAGAATCAGGATTTTCTAAACCCTTTGCTTTTTCAAGAAAATATTTTTTCGGATAAATCAAATGCATGGAAAAGAGAAAAATGAATCATCTCGGAATTTGTATGGTTACGAAATATTCATGAATTTTCCATGTTTCCCTATCGATTTTCGCCTTTTTTCAACATGCATTCTGCTCTTTAATTTTAAAATGAGCAAAAAAGGTTAAACCAATAATAAATTAGACCATTTTCAAAAAAAAAAAGAAAGAAAGAAAAGACAAAAAACATCTATTGTTCTTTCGTTCTTCTTCTATTTTCCATCCATAATAATAATAATCGGAAGAAAAAAAAGAGAACGCGACCGACTCAAACAAAAAACGAACGAAAAAGGGAGAGGAAGAATTGAAGAGACGCAGACATGAAACGAGAGAAGAACATAGAGAAACCAAAGAAAGAAACTGTATTTATTGATTTGTTGAAGCGTACATATTACATTTCTTGAATTATACAAATAAGAAGGAAAAGAGGAAATTTGGGTTAATCGCTCGATCGCTCGCGCAATTTTGTTGTTTTTTTCACGGAAATCTGGATTTCGTTGGTGATGGATCATATCGAAAAAGTACTTGAGAGAGAAGAAGGAAAAAGAAACCGGGAGAAGAAGAGCAATTGAGCAACAACGAGGAAGAAGAAAAAAACGGAAAGTTCACAAGAACAAATGAAACTATGATTTATTTGGGGATTTGGAAACCATAGTATAGTCAGAAAGTGGAATTGCAGTTTTTTTAGACCATTTGGAATTTTCAGAATGATTTTAAGAACAAGCTATGATTGAATTTCGGAACTTCAACAATTTGGAAAATTATAGCTTTTGAGAAAAAAAAGGCAAGGTTCAGATAATTTGAAGATTTTGGATCAGAACTAGAAATTACAGTGGAAATCCTACCGTACTTCGCCCAGGAATCAGGGAAAAAAATTTTAAGCAAATTTTCGAAAAACAAAAACAGAACGTTCGAAAATTAGCTTCAGGATCCAATTTTTGGAGAGATCACACTTTTTCGAGAAAAATATCACCAAATTCAAATTAATTTTGAATTTATATCGACCATAAAGATTTGATCTCGAAAACCCATAAATTTTACAAATTTTTATGATTCCTCATCCAATTTCAAAAACAACAAAACAAAATGAATTGAAAAGTGAATGGAAATAATAAACAAATAAATAATACTTACAAGAAATGCGGATAATGTACTCAAGTTGACCGACAAAAACCGTCAACCAACCTACTTATTATAATTCTATTTCTATTTCTACATTCTATTCTCTTGCTATTCCTATATTTCTTTATTTGAGGGAAGAACTGCGCGACCTCAAATTCGCTTTTTTTATATTATTATAAATTAGAAAGAAATTGACTAGGAAATGTGCAGAAAAAAACCAACCAAAAGCCACCTGTCTTTTCATCTCATTTATATTTATTAAAATTATTATTACTATAGGAAATGGCCAAACGAATATCGAGTTTCAAAGTTTGTGGCGTGAGAAAAAGGGGATTTGGTTTGGTTTTAAATTGGGACAGGAAGAAGGAAAACATGCATCAGAACAAATAATGACTCATTTTATATTGATTTGATTCATTTCGTTCGAGAAATAAACTTGATTCTATTTAACAAGCAAATTGTCACGTGGAAATTTATTAGAAGTTCATAAATTCGGCTCGGAAAATGTTCTCTTTGGGTTTTCAAGAATTCGAATTTGAAAAAAAATAATATTAAAATTTTTACACCTAACAAGAAGATTTTTACAAAGTTTTTTTTCCGAAAATAGATGAAAAACGATATCCTAAAAAGGAAAAACGGATTGAAATACAGGATATCATCACATAAAAGTTGGTGTTCGCAATTAACACACGCTCGATTAACCAATTTCTATCTACGATTCAATTTTCTTGCCTTCTTCAAAAAGTGGGCTGAATGATTTTATTTCATTCCCACGTGACGTGGTGTTCCTAACCTGTTGTAACCTTTTCCTAATCTCTTCAATTCCAATACTATTTCCATCAACTCGCGCGAACAATAATAAAATTCATGTTTTATATGTTGGCAGAGTGTAAATACATAAAAAGAACGGCGGACGTCTTTTTTTTTTGGGAAGAAGAAGAAGATGGCAATCTTTTTTAATAAATAAATGAAAATGGGAATGGAATGACAGAAGCAAGTGGAGAAATAATGAATGAAGAATTTTTCATTATTTTTGGGTGGTTCTTCTGGTGGGGAGATACTTGAGAATGGTGTGAAAAGTAAAAGGAACACAATATTTCATGAGTCAGGCTAAATAAACAACAAATGAATGAGTAATTGATCTGTTGAGGACGAAATAAGGTTTGTTGAACAAAAATTATAGATTTTTCAACTTTTTTGGTGAATAACAAATTTTTAGCAAATCGATTATGCACCTATTCATGTGTGAGTAAAAAAAGAAGAAAACAAAAAATATACTCAAAATTTTTGAAAGAGAAAAATCAGACCTGGTCGAATATTGACTTCCACCGTTTTTCATTAAAAATTGTGAACATTTAAAAAAATCAAGAATTTTTTCTAACAAAAAAAAATTTAAAAAGTGGGTCACGTTAAAACGTGGTCAGGAAAAAAAACGAAGCCAGTCCAGAAGAAATGAAATCAGTTTTAATCGAAAAATGTCAACTAAACAAACGAGTTCGAAAATGGATAAAATAGTGAATCAAGTATCAGTTGGTGTAATGACAAGTGGAGGCGATTCGCCAGGAATGAATAGTGCAATTCGAGCAGTGGTTCGAGAAACATTGAGACGAAATTATCGATGTTATTTGATACGCGAAGGTTATGCTGGTTTAATTAGTGGAAAAATTGATGAGGCAAATTGGTCATCGGTGGCAAATATCACACATATTGGTGGAAGTTTTATTGGAACATCAAGATGTGATGAATTTCGAACTTATGATGGTAGAAAGAAAGCAGCGAAACAAATGTATGAAAGACAAATGTTTAATTTGGTTGTGATTGGTGGAGATGGAAGTTTGACTGGAGCACAGAAATTGAAAGAGGATTGGATGAAAATTGGAGAAGAATTATTTGCAGAAGGAAATATTAAATTAGATGTGGCAAATAAAGGAAGAGAATTAAGATTGGTTGGAATTGTTGGATCAATTGATAATGATTGTATTGAAACTGATAAATCAATTGGATCTGATTCTGCACTTCATCGTATTTGTGAATCAATTGATGGTTTAGTTATGACAGCACAATCACATCAAAGAATTTTTGTGATCGAAGTTATGGGAAGACATTGTGGATATCTTGCGCTAACTTCGGGAATCGCGGTTGAAGCAGATTTTGTATTTTATCCGGAAATGAGTTTGGAGGAAAATTGGGCGGATAAATTATGCCAACAATTAGAAACTGTTAGAAAGGTAGGCACGGGGAAAACAAGATGAATTTGACGTGAAAATTGAGAATTAATCACCGGATGGTCACGATTCTTATTGATTTAAAAAAAAACAATTTTTGCAGCTCGGAAAACGCCACAACATAATCATAATCGGCGAAGGATGCAAAAATGCAAAAGGTGAAAAATTCGATGCGAAACTCGTAAAATCAGAAATCGAAAATCGAATGACTGCTGAAGTTCGAACTGTTTCGCTGGGACATTTGCAAAGAGGAGGAACACCAACATTTTTAGACAGACTTCTTGGTTTGAGAATGGGTTATAATGCGGTGAAAGAATTATTGCGAGTTGACAAAGATGGAAAACCATTTACTGGATCACAAAATAATGCATCAGTTATTTGTTTGAGAGGACATACTATAAAACAACAATCTTTGGATAAAGTTTTACGAAAAGTTGAGCAAGCAAATGACGAAATAAAACATGGAAATGTTGAAAAAGCGACGAAATTGAGAGGAACTGGTTTCTTGGATAAAACCGAATTTGTAGCTGTAAGTTTTCAATAACTCACATTTAACTAGATTTAAAAACAAAGAAAAATACTTTAGGTAGTCTCAAACCCGCTTAAAACTGAAATGTCATCAAAATCCAAAGTGTTTGCTGTTATTCATGTTGGTCTCCCGGTTGCTGGAATGAATGCAATAACTTTTGCTTTTACACGAATGGCAAATCAACAAAATATCGAAATTGTTGGAATTCAAGGAGCATGGGATGGTTTGAAAAACAATGGAGTTATTCCTTTGACTTGGAAAAGTGTTGAAGGATGGGCTCAAGAAGGAGGAAGTTTATTAGGAGCCAAAAGACAATTGCCAAGTGAATTAGATCAAATTGCACAAGGATTAAATGATCATAATATTGATGGACTTTTGATTGTTGGAGGATTTACTGCATTTGTATCAGCTTTGATTATGCATAAAAATCGAAGCGAGTATAGTTCTTTCAATATTCCGATAGTTGTTGTACCAGCAACTGTTTCGAATAATTGTCCTGGGGTTAGTTTCATTTTAAAAAAACCAACTTTCTTTTTACAAAATGCTATTTTGTAGACCTGTGCTTCTATTGGAGCTGACACAGCCTTAAATGAGATTTGCCGCCAAGTTGACAATATTCGACAAAGTGCAATCGGAAGTAAAAACAAGGTTATGATTATTGAAACAATGGGAAAAAGATCGGGATATTTGGCTTCGATGGTGGCTTTGGCGACTGGATCAGATTATGCAATAACATATCAAAATGTTATGGATAAAGATCAAGTTAGTCAATTGGCGAAGAAAGTGAAGACAAAGCTTGAAGCTGGGAAAATTGATAAATATCTTATCATTAAATCTGAAGACACTATAGAAAATGTTAGCTCGGCATCGATGAAATCGATATTTGAACAAGAATTTGGTGAAAAGTTTAGTGTGCGGATTACTAATTTGGGATATAGTCAATTTGGTGGACATCCAACATGTTTTGATAGACAAATGGGTATTCGAATGGGTATTCGTGCATTTGAAGCACTTTTCAACCCGAAGAAAATGGGAAAACGAGATTGTTGTGTTATTGGTAAGAAAATTGGGGATAGAATAACTCTCAATCGCGATATATTTCAGGACTTAGAGGAAGTCGATTGAAATATGTCCCAGTTTGCGGGTTGGAGAAGAAAGTTTGTATGAATCATTTTCTACCTCTCAAAATGTGGTGGATCGAAACACATTCTTTGATCGAAAGACTAACATGGAAACCAGAAGATATGGAAGAGAAAACTATCACTACATCATGATTCTCATCATAAAAATTTCAGTACAAAAAGCTCTAAGAAAAAAAACAGAAAAAACAAACTTGGAAAAATTCAAAATGAAAAAATAACACACGCAAACGCGTGCAACAGTAAGCCTTGTTCGCTGCGAGAGCCAAACCCGCGAACGGCTATTTTCAAATTTTTATTTTTTAGTTCAAAAAGATTTTCTTGTTTGCCGACTTTTCAAAATCTTCCCAAAATTGAATATCGCTTTGATAAGCGGAAACTTGAAAGAGGTGACAATCTTAACACTATCCAGCTTTTTCAGCAAGCCGCCTTTTGATTGACAAGTGGGCGTGGCTAGCCAAACCACGCCCACTTTTAACACATTCATCTTTTCAGCTTCGTGCTCAAACAAAAGGTAGTTATTATCTGAATTTGTTTCAAATATGATGTTCACCTCTTCTCAACTCTTCCAAGATATTGTAAGACCATGCAATAATTGTGGGATTTGTAAGTTTTTATTTTATTTCAATTTTCTTCAGGCTCTATTTCAAATTATTTTTTCCAGCTTTTGATGTTCGTCTTCATTCCCCACATATTCTATCCTGTTCACATACTTTCTGTTTAATGTGCTTAACAAAAACCGAACAACGCAAAAAACGTCACTGCTTTCAATGCAAAACCAAATATTCGAAATTCGCTCCAAACGTTGCTTTGATGGGTAAGAAACTTTTGAATAGGTTTTGAATTCAAATTTCTTTGTTTTTCAGAAGTTATTCAACGTCTCGAAGATCGTGGCAAATATATTGATAGCGAAATTCGAAAATGCGATGAATGTTCGAATTGTGTTCCTGCCAAATTGTTGCGTCGATGTGTTTCCTGTGAAACACATTTCAGCTCGAGAACTGATGTTTCTTTAGATTGTGTAATCTGTTTAGAATGTTGTGTCAATTCACACAATGGTCATAAACTTACACACGATGTTACATGTCGATCTCCTTCAAGTATTCGGCATCCAATTGAAGAAAAAGAGCAAACTCAAGTCAAATTTCGAGAACGAACCGAATCTTCATCATCAATTCTTTCATATAATAAGAAAAGAGTATCATCTCGTGGATTTATGGATAATTTCAAACGTCTTTCTTTTAACCGATCGACTAATGATGTTCCATATTTCTTGAATCAAACTCCAAGATTATCTTATCATGAAGATGATGTTGTTATGTCCTGCAAAACACCATTTTATGGTAAGTTATTCACTTAATCTTGCAAAATTTCCAAAATATAATTTGTTTTTCTGTTGCAGATAATAATCATCAAATGGCTCCTGTTATGCCAACTCGATACATTTGCAATGATACAATCTCAGTAGACAGTGTTTTCGAAGGTTCACCTCAATCAACAATTATGCACCAAACTCCACCATATAATAAAAATCATTCGCCAATTTCTCTTCGCTTCTTTTGTCCTCCAAATGATTCGGGAATCCATTCAAATACTCCACCCGCTCGATTTTCTCATTCTTCCATTTCACTTCATCCAAATTCATTTTCGTCTTCCACACCAAAACATTCACATTTTGGAACTATTCGACCGCGTGTTAGAATGGGTGTTAGTGATTTGATTAATAAGTGAGTTGTTATTTCTGTTTTTATATTTATTTATTAGATTGTACAATTTTTGTAAATATATTTGCCTAACTACTAACTTTGTAAATTAAAAAACATAAAAAGATAAATAGAAAAATAGGTGTTACCTTCTGAGATTTTCAAGTTTCAGGTTATAATTTATAGGAAATTTTCAGTAGAAAATTCGGTTTTTTTCAAAGATCCCTTGTACTTTTTCATACTCTCAAAAAGTTTTTTTTTTTGAGAAATCCCTTTTATTCTGAAAAACCTTTCTCTAATACTATTTTCCTTTCCAAGTTCCAGGTTAAAATTTACAGGAGTTGTTTTTCAGCAGAAAATCGGCAGTCTTCTCATCGCCCATAGAAATTCCCAACCTCAAAAGTACCCGCTCAGAAAGTTCAGTTTGCCATTTCGCCGAAAATCCCCAATATTCCATGTTTATCTAATTATCCTATATTTATATTGTTCATGTTATATTCGTGTCAAATATTCTTCTCCCTACTTTTTTCTCTTATTTTTTTGTATATACATTCATTGCTCATGTTATATTGTTTTTCAGCTTGTTATAATCATCCCCAATTTCTTTCTTTTTCTTTTTTTACAATTATAAGTAAAATAAACGAGTGAATCAAGTTTGTTGTCAATAATTTGTTTTTACATTGTTTTTATTTAACAGTTTTCTTATCTGATTGTCAATTATTGATTTTTTGTTTGGAAATTTTTATTGATTTTGAATTTTTAAACGAAAAAAAAACATATGAGCGTTTTAATATAGAAATTGATTTTTTAAATTCTGATCTGATTTTTTTCCGAAACTAATTTCTATTCAAAATTAAAAAAAATATTTTTTTAAAGTTTAACTTTTCTGTTCATTAAATATTTTAATTCAAACATTTACCTTAATTTCAAATCTATCTATAATAAGCAAAAATTCTGTAATTATTTTCAGTGATTTTTTTTCTGAAAATTTGAAAAACGGACCCAGTTTCAATTTTTTAAAGCGAAACAATATTTTCCTGAAAAGTGAACTTTTTCCACGGAGCCAAATAATACAAAAACATTTCTTTCTAATGTTTTCTACCTTTTTATTACATTTTTTACATTTTACAATAATTATACAACGAAAACAAAATTAAAACAAGAATATGAATCAATAAGAAGAAAAAGTTGCGAAAAATCTTGTGTCATTTATTGATCATCATTGAATTCGAAATATTGCACATCTGGTGCCAAAAAATTGCACGCCATTCTCGGAACATCAAAAAATGAACGACGTTTGCGCTCGAATTCCCTTTGATAACAATTAATAACTTGCAACATGTCTCTCATTCGAATATAAATATCACTTTGTGCAATCGCACAAACTAATTGACGACGTAATTCAAGACGAAGAAGTGTGGCACCTTGATAAGATTGAAGTTGATGAACCAAGTGACGCTGGAAATATTTGATTTATAAGGATGTATTAGAAGGGTTTTCGACTTACTCTAAGTTCATCATAATTATATCTATCAGCAAGAACAAATCGACCAACAAGACAAACAGAATTCAAGAATCGGTGACATTGTTTAGTCAAATAATCAATATCAAATCGATCAGCGAATTCGACCATTTCTCCATAATTACTATCTGAAATTTGGTTTTCATTGATTTGAATGATTTTGGATTAAGGTTAGTTCATATATATTTTGGAGAAAATTAAAAACTTACAATTGACTCTTGCTTTTGTTGGATAAACAATTCGAAGTGCATCAACCAAAACTTCGAATTTGACATCCTTCAATTCGATTTCAAGTTGTCCACCTTCTCGGAATTTTCCCGAAAACAAAACCTCGAAAAATGGCGAAATATCCGAAAGATATTGTTTGTTCACCGCAACCTTTTTATTTTCTGCAACAAGAATAACATCAGCTGGTCCAACTTCTTCTTTATAATATTCTTCCAAAGTTCGAGTATCTTCAGGATCTCTGTCAAGATTTGAATGATTTCCATAAAGCGAAACAGGTTCCTTTTTCAAAATTCCAAGTTTTTTGAGAAGTTCTTCAGATTCCAGCGAAGCTGATTGACCTTCTGGTGTTGTTGTTTGATATCCGAAAAGTAAAGGTTCTTGAGCAGTTTCATATTGATTATTGCATACAAAATTCTGCCAATTGATGATTTCAATTGAAACATTCAAATTTTCCCAATGTTTCCATTTTCCATTAATTTCACACCCTCCATATCCATGCCATGGTCGAAATTCGATAAATCTTGAAGCGATTCCAAATATTTGTTGACGATTTGCATAAACATTTCCATTATTTCCACTAACTTTTATTTTCATTTTGATTCGCAAATTCTTGTCTGAATTTCTGCGCATTATTTTTATACTATCTTCGGTGGTTCGTTCGATTTTGCTAAAAAAAAAAGAAAAATAATAATGGAGAAATTTTGAAAAATTAAACTTACAAATGAAGATTGGCAACATGAACAATTTGTTCATTTTCACCTTGTGGCACAATAAATTGTCTCGAAGGTTCAGCATCATCAAAAACAGTTCGAACATCAGCAGATATAATCATTTTATGATTCGACGAATAAATGGAAGAAAACTAGCCTATTCTCTCTCGTTTACACCATCTGCACCAAGCTCCGCCCCTTTTTGGTGTGAAGAATCGTGTTTTTGGGAAGTTAGACGAAATTTGGGAAAAGACGCCGGTTTTTTTGTTTGGTTTTGAAGATATTTTCGAAGAATGGAGTTTGGGAAACTTATGCGATTAATGTAGTTTACGGCAATGGTTTTGGTAGATTTCAGAGAACTTTAAAATAGTTTATCCGATTCAGATGATAAAAAAAACTTCAAAAAAAAGGGAAAAATTTTAATAAAAGTAATTTTAAGTTCCCTGTTTTTTTTTCACAAAAATTGAAAATTTCAAAGTTTTGATAAATATGAACGTGTTCATTGTTGGAAAATCCCAAATAATTTATTTCTACATTTTTTGTACAGTACTACTTGCTTTTTTTCTAGCCTAGAAATAAGAACAAATTTTCCGGACTTTTCTTATCAATCAACAAATTACAAAAAATGCCATTTCTTTGATAACACACGTTTTTCTCTTTCTTTCCAATCTACAGTACTTAAGTTTCACGTGTTTTTTCTTACTTATGTACTTTATATTTTCACCCTTTCTTACCTGATTATAAAAATAATAAAAACATCGATATATATTTTTTTTAGATACATACATAATTTTCCATCTTATCATCCCCCCACCAAAAAATTCAAAATTGTTGTGTTCGTTTTTTTGTCAATCGTTGACCAAGTCACCTCATTATTATCATTATCAATTTCTTCTTCTTCAATTTCTGCTGACGCTAATTTTAAACCAAATATGGGAGAAAATGATCAACTTTTCGAAACTGCCGTGTTTGTTGTACAAAATTTGCCAAAAGATGGTGAGATTTTTAATGGGGTAGAAAAATTTGATTGAAAAAATTATATTTTGATATAGGGCTATAGCAAAATCAAAATATCTCGCCACGAAATGTTTTCCACTAAAAATTGCAATTTTGTTTGAAAAAAAATAAGATAAAATTTTGAGTCAACGCATTTTCGATGAAAAAAATACGTTTCAAAAATAAAATATAATTTAATTTATTATTGGTTTTATAATGTATTAGGAATAAAATGTAAAACAATTTTTTTCAACTTTCAAAATGAGTTTTGATTCCAGGACCCGTGAAAACATCAAATGATGAAAAATTGAATTTCTATTCACTTTTCAAACAAGCAACAATCGGAAAATGCAATGTTTCAAAGCCTGGTTTTTATGATATTCAAGGAGTTTATAAGTGGAATTCTTGGAATAATCTTGGAGAAATGAGCCACGAAGAAGCTAAACAAAAATATGTGCAAAATATTATTGAGAAAATCAAAAATGTTCAGGCAAATTATAAAACTGAAGAATGGATGACTGGTGAAACATTTGAGGTTCTTGGCCCAAAATTTGAGATACTTGGAGTGATTGAACCAAAGAAATCAGCTGAAGTTGAAGGAGAAGAAGAAGAAGAGAAAAATGAGAAAAAAGATGAGACAACTACAAATTCGAGTATTTGTCAATTATCTGATAATGAATATGCTGATGCAATTGATGATGAACAACAATCAAGGTATTTTCAATTCTCGAATGAAAATAGTGTTTTGTGTGAGATTACTGTAGATGAATTGTAAGGAAAATTAGACTAAAAATCAGATTTCACGCCTGATATTTATTTTAAAAAAACGTTCTCTGAATTGAACAAAATTTAATTATCCCGCTTGGATTTTTAATTTTTATTACAAATTTTCAAACAAAATCGGAACGTTTCTAAATCATCAAATAACTTCTGATAATTTAAAAAAAATCTGAAATTTTATTTTTCTTCAGATCCTCATCTTTCACCGAAAATCGAAGTATTCGAAGAATGACTTCTCCATCATTGAGAAGTTCTTGTCTTCGACTAGAAAGAGAACTAAAATCAATAACTGAACAAATTGAAAATCTTGGAAAAGCCGTCGAAAGTCGTCACAATATTCTACAAAATCTTCTGAAAAAAGCCACAGTTTATGTTTTGGTGCCACGTGCCAATTCCTGGAAAACCATTATATTTTTCATTTTCTGGCCATTTGTTGCTCATTTAATTTTGAAATATTTCCGGTGGTTTATGAGATTGTTATAATTTATTTTTGCCTGCTTGTTTGTGTAAATATTAAAAAATGTATATAAATTTATCATATGTTTTTTTTTCGACTTTTTCTCAAGGCAACAGATGTGGAAATGTCTCAGTTTTTGTCTGCAGGAAATGCTGAACCTTTGTGTTTTCATTACATTTTCAAGCATTGCTCATATTATATCCTATTTCATCAACTTCACTCTTATTTATCTATTGGTGACACAAAAAAGTTGGTGGAAATTATTCACTAGAAAAACAAAAAAATTATTTCAGTTACAAAAAATCGGGTTTATATAATGCATACTGTAATCAATGAATTGGTCGCGAATTTAGCACAACATTTTACATTTGAAAAAATATATTTTGAAAATCAGGAAAAGAGCAAAGAAATTGATAATTTTGAGAAAGTTTCGTTGTTTTTCTATTTTTGTGCTTATGATGTTCGAATGATTTTATTATTTATTATGGCAATTGTTAGATTTAAACTTGTTTTAAATCCAAGGAAGCAAATCGATGAAAAAAGGATTCATTTGACGCTAATTTTATCGTGGGTAAGTTTTTTTTGTGATGGTTTTTTTCAAATTATTTACCCGAGATCCGACTCCAATTTTAATTTTCAAAATACAAATAAAATTTTCAGATTCTAATTTTCGCTACAAGATCATTTCTTTTCCTCAAAAATAATCTGGTAATGATTGAGTTGACAGTTCGAAGTGAAGAAAATCTACCAATTCTAATTCTCAAAATCCCATTCATAATTATAGTTTCAATCACTCTAATTCTCAATATAGTTTTAATTTTTCGAGTTCGTGAAAAATTGAAAGATCTCGAAAAAAAGTTTGGATGTTTTAATAAGTCGGCGATATTTTCAACAAAAACGATCAATAATTGGATGTTTAACTATAACATCTTTTGCTTTAGCTAGATATATTTGGAATATTTATTGTCTGTTTTCACATTCTTCGGATTCGAATTCGAATTCCCATTTGGATTTCAAATATCATTTTTATTGTTCATTGTTTATTATTTATTTTGCTAACTTTTTGAATGTTTTCATGCTTTTTGTGATTAATTTAGATGTTCGAAATGAGATCATAAAATTGTTCATTTTTTAATTTTTTTATAAAAATAGATTTTTTTTCTGAACTCACATATAAATCTAATCACGCGATTCTTAGAACATTGACATTTGCTGACTGTCATCCGAAGTTTTTTTCCAGATTAAAAAGTTCAATGTGAGTCACGAGCTCCGGTAAGAAGAATTAAGAAATAGGAAACGATAAGAGAAAAATGAATAAAAGAACTTTTGCGGGGTGTTTATTTTCATTGAGAAAAATGATAACAATTTTGTTGTTTGGATTTTTTGCCGCCTCTGCTGCTTCTCCAAGTTAGTTTGTTATTACTCATAAAGTAAAAAAATAAATTTTGTAATTTTCAGCCGGTTACTGTCAAAATGGTGATGTTCTTGGTGGGCAAGACAATCCGGCAAATTATTATGTTTGCGAGAATCATCAATGGGTTCTGAAATCTTGTTTAAAAGGATATACATTCAATGTTTCTTCGAAATCTTGTGTTGGAACTGATCAAATCTGTGAGCCTGGTCAATTAAGATCATATCCTCCTGATGATTCAAAATTCGAATATTGTATTGATGGATATCAATGGATTATTCTATCGTGTCCAAATGATTATATTTTCAATGGTTATGAATGTATTGATGTTGTAACTTCTACAACAACAACTCCGAAGCCAAAAATTACATCAACATCGCAACCAATAAAAACAAGTCCCCAACCAATTCGAACAACTCGGCCAAGTCTTTTTTGCGATTCCAGAGTATGTTTTCAAGAAGGGCTCAGAAATTTGAGAGTTACAAAAATTTTCCAAATCTCAATACTTTCTTTTTTACAGAATGGATTGTACAAACCCGACCCAAATGATTGCACAAAGTTTTATCAATGCGATAAAGGATATTGGGTTTTGAAGAGTTGTGGACCTGGAACAGCTTGGGATAATTTGAATCAAGTTTGTAATTATTATGATTTAGTGTGTAGATAGATTTATGGATTTCAATAAATATTAAACTACTACAGTAATCTGGTCAATTCGTTATGATCTATTCTACAGTAACCATGTGATGTAAACATTCTGAAAACTGAAGAAAAAACAGAAAGGAGAACTGAATTACAGTAACCTGTAATTATCAGTCTCTAACGAGGGAAGTGTGTTATGAGTCCCCGGAGATTTTCAATGAGACCTATGTTTTTTAGGTCAGTTTTTCACGCTGATGAAGCTCCTGTTTTCAGTTTTTGCTGAACGACTCTCTGAAGAGCCCAAAAATGAGCCAAAAGTTGAGAATTTCCAGAAAATCGGGTTTTTAGGAGCCTATAACTCATGTTAGAAATTATTTTTATGGAAAACTGAATGCATCACGTTGTTCAGGAGGGTCGATTTATGCATCGTCCAAAGTGAAAAAAAAAATGCGAAAAATCAAAAAAAAAACGTCCAAACTGACGCATTTTTTTTCGCAGAAATCGCATTTTTTCGAGCACTTTTTTCGCGTTTTCTGGTGTTTTTCGAGTCAAAATGGACAGAAATTGAAAGAATTTGTCTGAAATGGTGTTTTTATTGATACTGGAGGAAAAATCAATGGTGAAACATGAAAAAAAACGATTTTGAAAATTTCAAATTTTTTTCGACTTTTTCGAAATTTTTTCGACAAATTCATTTTTCATGTTTCACCGCTGATTTTTCCTCCAGTATCAATAAAAACACCATTTCAAACAAATTCTTTCAATTTCTGTCCATTTTGGCTCGAAAAACACCAGAAATGCATCGTGCAAAGTGAAAAAAAAAATGCGAAAAATCAAAAAAAAAACGTGCAAACAGACGCATTTTTTTCGCAGAAATCGCATTTTTTCGAGCATTTTTTTCGCGTTTTCTGGTGTTTTTCGAGTCAAAATGGACAGAAATTGAAAGAATTTGTCTGAAATTGTGTTTTTATTGATACTGGGGGAAAAATCAATGGTGAAACAAGAACAAAAACGATTTTGAAAATTTCAAATTTTTTCGACCTTTTCGACATTTTTTCGACAAACTCATTTTTCTTGTTTCACCATTGATTTTTCCTCCAGTATCAATAAAAACACAATTTCAGACAAATTCTTTCAATTTCTGTCCATTTTGACTCGAAAAACACCAGAAAACGCGAAAAAAGTGCTCGAAAAAATGCGATTTCTGCGAAAAAAAATGCGTCAGTTTGGACGTTTTTTTTTTGATTTTTCGCATTTTGTTTCACTTTGGACGATGCATAAGTCCATACTTTTTCAGAAAAAAATTTTGTGGCTCAGAAAATAGGCTCAGGTCATGGATTGCACATTTGAAAATTTTTGGAAAATTTTGTCAAAACTTGTGAATTTGGTAAATCGACCCTCCTGAACAACGTGATGCATTCAGTTTTCCATAAAAATAATTTCTAACATGAGTTATGGGCTCCCAAAAACCCGATTTTCAGGAAATTCTCAACTTTTGGCTCATTTTTGGGCTCTTCAGAGAGTCGTTCAGCAAAAACTGAAAACAGGAGCTTCATCAGCGTGAAAAACTGACTTAAAAAACATAGGTCTCATTGAAAATCTCCGGGGACTGGTCACACACTTCCCTCGTAAGGTTTTTTTAAAAATAATTTTTGTCTTGAAATCAGAAAATCTATACATACGCTAAAATATAAAGCTCAACTTTTTATTTATTTCTCAATTAATTATTTCTTCGCTTTTCCCTTGAACCATTTTTTCTGTGCTGCAGCCGCCTTATCTTTTTCTTGTTTTTGCATTTGTTGTTTTCTCTGAAAAAATTGTATTTTCATCTCAAAATCTCTCAAATTGCACATACACTACACTCTTTTCTCGCTCGATTATTTGCCATAATTTCACGAACTCCTCGCATTATTTCATCTTCTTGTTGTGCCGATTTTTGCAAACTTTCTTTCGAAACTTTCTTATCTGGTTTTTTGGCATCATCTCGATCTTTTTTCTGAATTTCAGCAGCTGGAAATGCATCGAAATCCGGTGTTGATTTTTCGCCTTCCGGTTTTGATTCTGATTTTGGCTGTTGTTGCTGTTGAGAGTTCTGCTGTATTTGTTGTTGAAGTTGAGAATTTGGTTTAACAGGTGGAAATGGCGGTGCTGAAAAATACGATGCTCCGCGTTCACAGTCGAAGAACTCACCATCCATCGATTTTTGTTCATTTTTTTGATTTTGAGCAGCAGCGCCTAATGAATTATTGTTTCTTTGCTTCAATTTATCATTAATTTTCGATCGATCTTGCGCACGATTTACTTTTTTCGAAGAATTATTCTGCTTCTTCTTCATCTTAATTTCACTTTGATGTTGTGATTTGTGAACACTTTTTTCAACTGGTTTTGGTTCATCAACTGAATCAGTTCCACTTGAACATCGAAATGCTGGCGATAAAGCAGGATTGAAATCAAAATCAGTCGATTCAGATTCCGAATATTTTTTGCTTCGATTTTTTCGATCACAATCATGATCGAATCCTCGACGACTATTATTATTACAATCAGAATCCATTGAACTCGAGTTAACACAATTTGAAAGACAAGCAAAAGATGCGATGAAAAATAATATGAATTGGGCCGAAAATGTTGAGAAGTTCATCATGATATATTCGATTGCTTTTAAGAATATAGACATTTTATGGCTTGTTCTTTTGAAAATTGAACGATTTACAATTAGAATTAGGATTAGAAATGATCACAATATTGAGCAATTCTTTATTTATATGCATTTTAAATATAGGTCACAAATTAATATCGAACACGTTGTTGTTTTTCTTTAATCCATTTTCGAATTGCTGTTGTTTCCATTGCTCGAACTCTTTTAACTTCTTCAGTATCCAATGGATGTGCACCTCGTAAATCATAATGATGTGCTCCTTGTTTCAAAATAACACTAATAACAGATCCACGAACTTCATCAATTTTCGAATAACCTCCACCCGACCAAGGATCAAGATAACCATTCGAAAACACGATATTTGAAGCTGATGGAAGAGTTTTTGCACCAAAAGTTCGGCCACCAGCAGTCCAGCGAAGCAAAGTTTTATTATAGCCAATGTTCGAAAATGTGTTTTCACAATATTTCGACCAACCGGAATTTGTGAATGGACAATCTTTCCAGAAGAAATCATTTGGATAACCACTTCCACATAATGGCATTACCATTTCAGTACAAGTCTGGAATGGAAAATATAGAGGAAATGCGGGAGGGGGAGGGTTTACCTGGAATGGCCATCCTAAAGGATCTCCAAGAGCTTCGAATGCATTTTGACATTTTTCTGGGTTGGCACAATGAGTTGTTTTATCTCCAGTGTAGTTGTAATACAAATTGACGATCTAAATAGAGAAAGACTTTTAAAAAAAAGTTTGATAAATCAATGTTTAGAGCAGCAAAAGAAGATTTTTTTTGAGTTTTCAGAAGTTTTGCCCTCGTTTAGTTTTTTTCAAATCGTGAGAATCTGAAATTGTAATTTCTCATAAATTTTTTCAGTAAAATCTCAAGTTCCAATGAGGAATTGAAAATTTTCAGAAAAAAATTCAAAAATGTTTGCCATATGGGAAGGAAAGAAAAAAGTGTCATTCAAAATAATGCCAAATAGTTCTGAACAAACTTGATAACGACAAAGGTTGAGAACACAAATCATGACATTTTTTCTAACTCACATTATATAATTGTTGTGCAGATTGTTCTTTATCCTTTCCAGGTGATCCAATAGATTTGCAAGCTTCTTTTACAGGCCAACCAGGTAAATTACCCAAAAATGAAGTTGGATATGGATAATTAACCATTGCCATAGCTTCCATTGATTCTCTAATATAACCTTTCAAAAATGAAATATCTTCTGGTTTTTCGATCAAAGATTTCGAATCTAATTTGAAAACTTGATTCAAATATTGTCTGCCATCTTCTGTTTTTGCAAATTCTTCCAATGCCATCCATCCTTTATCAATTGCTTTTCGATTACAACCAGCATCAAGAAATGCGCGAGTTACAATAAAATCATAAATATCATCGGGAATGCCAGAATTTGTGAACCAGAAGACTGGCGCGGATGCGGCAATTGCACCATCAACAAGATGTGGATATTTGATACGGAACCATGCAGCTAACATTCCACCGTATGATCCACCAAATGCAATTACAGCTGCATTTTCAGCTCCAGGAATTGTTTTTCCATTTTTGAAAAATTCGACAGCAAAAGCGAAATCTCCCAATGCTTGTTCAGTTGATAAATATCCAAGATTTTTGATATTCGAATAACTTGAATTTCCAAATGGTTTTGATTTTCCATAAAATCGATGTTCAACAAAAACAACAGCGGCATTCAATTCAGGTGCCAAATCCCACATAAATCCAGTATTTTCAGCAAATGATTCAAGACTTCCCTCATTTCCAGTGTAAAATAGAATTGGTCCACCTTTTTTGTAATTATCAGTATTTATAAAATATCTCAAATTAAATTCCAAATCAGTTGTGAATGTGAAATGATCAATTGGAACTTTCAAATAATCTTCGTGATAGTTGTATTTTCTCAAATTATTTGATTTGGAATATGTGACTGGATCTCTGTGATGGATTTTTGAATAAGAAATCGAAAAATTGAAGAAAAGTAGAAGAAGAATCGGAATGGAAAATAGGATCATCTTGGGGATGAATGAGAAGATTTTTGTTGGTAAATTAATTGAGAAAAGATTGGCAGCTGTTTTGAGAAAAAAGAAGAGAACATGACCCAGATCTGATGATTTATTACTTCTGGAACACCGCAAAAAATGGTGGGCAAGCTTTGAAAAACTCGGAAACTTGGAGGAACATCAATTTCACTGAAAATCAAAAAGATAAATAGAAATAAAGATTTTTGTATTGAACATTAAGAATTAAATCGTTTTGTTAAAAATTGGCTGAATAAATATGGATAAATTCTGAGAAATCTGAATTTTGCAGAGCTCTCTGAAAATTAAGAGTCTGAAAAAAATGGGTCAAAAAATTGTTTTCCTACTTTTGGAATTGATATCCAAAAATTCAATTTTCAAAAACACATCAGCAAAAATTATTCCCCGATTTCACTATCAAAAAAACAAAGTTACTGTAATCTATCTGCTTCTGATTCAAATTAACCAAAATAGATATTTCTCTAGTCTAGTCACCCCCTTCTCTCAAAAATATTCATTTCCCCCCGTATTTTCGAATATTTGCGCGGCTCTCGAAACCTGTCAAACTTCACGCCAACCCGAAAAATAGTATAAGAAGTAAAAGAGACATAGACTAAACTACACAAATATTATTATTTTATTTTATTTTATTCGTTTAATAATATTATAACTTATATGTTAATAACTCTTGCGAAATTCCACGTTTCAAGGAGAACAAAAAACTTTTTATCAGTGCAGAAATTTTTATCTAGTGTTCGGAAAAAGTTTCATTTTCTTTTACTTCTATATTATTTTATTATTTTTTCTGGTCGTTGAAATTGAGAAAAGACCACTTGAAAATATGGAAATTGTGTTATTTAAATAAAAATTGAAATATTCAATAAATAAGTACTAAATATTACAAAAAGGTTGAAAAACACAAAAATCATGATTTTTCGAGTGGCCGGCTTTTGAAGAAACACAACAATTGTTTGTTTTTATGTATTTCACATGGCTTTTTGTATTGTTTTATGCTTTTTCTTATTAATCCTTCACAAATATGTAGATTTTTATGTTTTGTTATTTTTTGCTATTGATGTTCTTTTTTATTTTGATTCAAAAAATTATGAATTGATTAATTTTGGGGGCTAAGAAAACCTGAATTTCGGGAATAATTTTGTTATTTTTTTCACCAAAAATATTCGATTTGAGCGAAGTTATCTAAAGTTGTATAGTTTTTGGAATTCAAAATAAAATTGGCTCAAATTTAGACTAAGTTCTGATTATTTTTTTGGCTATGGTATTTCGGCGCTAACAGTGTCTCAGATGAGTCATGGTGGATTTTTAGAGTTAGAATAAACCCAGAGATTCATTGACTCGTGGAATTTTTGATCTAAAATTATTTTGATAATATTTATTTTTTTTCATTTACAATAATCTTGAGTTTTTTTAAATGTAAAATTGGAATTTTCAAATTTTTCTGGGACGCTTTTCTATAAAAATTCCAAAAAAAAAACAAACATCACCTTGTTTTTTTCTCTCATCAGTTTAGTTCAATTCAATTTTCGTGCATAATCAATTAACCTAAACACCTCCCGCTGACTTTTTCTTCTTATTTTTTTGTATTTCACTAATTTTCGCTCCCTTCCAAATAAATATTTACCCCGTCTGCGTCTCTCATTTCTCCACACAATCTCTAACAATTTTTGCCTACCTTATCAGTTTATGTCCTTATAGTCCCATTCAACAATAAAACGTTTGACTCAAAAAATGTACAAAAAATTTTTTTTGGTCATTGATTGATTTTTTTTCTTGCAGATTTGAATCCTAATTTTGATGGGAAGAAGATGAAATCAAAAAATGGTGGTTTTTTTGGGATTTTTAAGAAGAAATCCACTCCTGCTCCAATTCCAGTTGTTGAAAATGAAAACGAAACTGAAACTACGGTGTAAGTTAGATCAAGTCATTCAACAAAAAAAAACTGATGAATCTAGAATCGAATCCAGATTTGTCATTTCATTTCATTCCCTCCCAAAAACCGTTTATATTATTATTATTATTATTAAATTGAAATTGAATATGAATATGTCTGCGTATCTCATAATTCCAATAATCTTTTGACCACTTCGCCTGTTTTTTTGCATCCATTTTAGATAGAATAGAAATCCGCAACACACACAACTATGTAAATAATGAAAATAAATGCTGGATTGGATTGGATTGGATACGTATAGGCTTTTGACATGTTTTTTGCTGTATTCCGTTTGGGTTTTTGTTAGTTCTTTGTATTTACATATGTATTGAGGAGAGGCTAAAGCTCATCTTTTAGGGCTAGTTATCAGCTGAACTTTTGAAGATTTTCACAAAAATTCCCTTGTGAAATTTTTAGAAATGAATTTCAAATATTACTTGAAGTTTCACGTGGAATATTTTTACCAGATTTGTTTCATTGTTGGGAGTATGAGTACTGTAATTGTCAGAATCATATTTCCCTGTTTTTAACTATCAAACAAACATCAAGCCTTCCCTAAAATTACACAACAAATAATTAAACCAATTTCAAAACCTTCTTCAAGTTGTTTTTTGATAATAAGCGTAGACCTAGTGAAAGTCAAGCACTTTCTTCCATTTTCCCCCAATATCCAATTTCTCTCTTTTTTTTTCTTCAGATGTGTTCTAGTGTTTATTTAGTAACCGATCTGATCTCAGATCTTTTTTACATGTCCAACCATCATAATCGGAACTGTCAAAATTCTATTCTCTCACGTGTTCCTCATATTTGTTCTCTTTCCTTTCACATAGTTAGTTTTCATCATCACTTTTTTCAAAAACTATCCGATAATTTCTCTACCTAATAAATCCAGTTTCATCTGGCCATAAACCCATAAACAGTTAGATAATTCATACATACATAAAATTAAGCACTTTTGGTGTTTTGTGGGAAATTTTGCGATTACGATTATGAATAATATGTATGTGAAGTTGCAGAATTGATGAAGAGAGAAGAAGAAGAGGAACGATGATCGACGATGAAATACTACCGAATAATATTGATACTACGAATATTCAACACGAGGTTGGTTTGCATTTTTGTTGGAATTTCATTTTGAACTGTTCTATTTCGAAATTTTCATGTAAAACAATTCACCAAACGGAAACTTTTAAAAAATTTATCTAAAATTTTAGGGAAACTACTTTGGGGAAAAGGCTTTTCAGAGCAGGGATCGTGTTAAATTTCAAAAAAAAAAATTCCAGGGCCTCTCTCCCTCCCCGTAAACTTCCAGAGTATTTTTTTCATTTTTGTTTTGTTTTGCCCAGAAAATTAAACCCGCTAATCGTTTCGTGTTTTCTGACCAGTTTGTTCAAGCAAGAAATTCTACGCAATAATAATTTGTGTAAACAGATTATTTCTCAAGTTCTACTACACACATTGTTTACATGGTTTGATAGTGTCAAGCACTTTTTTCCATAAGCTTCAAATAAATTAATAAATGTTTTAATAAAACATTTTTCAGCGTAAATCGAGTATCGCAAAAACCAGTGTATTACACTATTCGCCACCGGGAAGTACAATTGTAACTGTTTCGAATAGTTCGGCGACAACTTCGACAAGTGGATCACAAAAGGATAGTAGCAATAATGATGAGATGATTCGAGTGACGAGAAAAAGTAATATTATTTTGGATGATGAGGAATCGTAAGTCACTTTAATTACTGTAAAGTTTTAGTTAGCCTGGGCTGAAATTTTTTTAAATTTCGAAAATATAGTTTGGGCCTCATGAGACATTTGCTGAAAATTTAAAAAAAAATTATGTGGAATTTTAAAATTTGGAAAATTTTTAATTGTGACTCTAAAGAATCTGGGTCTTTAAAAGAATTTAAACTTTTAAAGTCGTTAGGTAATGTAGATTTTTGCAGATATTTATTTTAATATTTTTATTCTAGAGTAATTTCGACGCCAATCAGTCAATATGACGATTCTGAAATCTTGCCGCCACATAATCCACAACGAAAAAAGAAGCGAGCAGCACCTCCTCCACCTCCAGCTTCATCCCAATCACCAATTCAATCGTCATCTTCTCTTCAACCTCCACCTCCACTTCCACGTCATAGCTCAAAGAAAAACGAGGAAGAACAAGATGTGGAAGAGATGTTTCAAAATTTGCAGAAAAAATTTGACACGTGGCATGCGATTCGATTAGAAGAAGGCGGTTCGATAAGAGAAGAGAAAATAAAAGCAGAAGTTTTGAGAGAACATAATCAATTGAGAGAAATTCTAGAAAAACAAGATAATGGATTTGTACCGATTCCTGTGAATTCTTCTTCAAAAAAACAACAACATTTACCATTGAAAATTCCACAATTTAATGTGGCGGCGAATAAACCGAAACAGATTTCACCAAGTTCAACGAGTTCTACAATTTCACCGAGAAGTGTTGATGAAAATCGAAATGTCGTGCCGAAAACTGGAAATACTGTGAGTTTTGAAGAATAAAAATTGTTTTCTAATCATTTTTGATCATCGCGTTTCTTTCAAGAGTTTTTCGGATTTTCCTTGAATTCATCTAGAGTGTGCCTAACTTTCATGACCTATAGCAACCCCGTTTTTTTTGCAGGAAGCGATTGCTCGTCTCAAAAAAGAAGTCGAACAACAACGAAAACGAGAAAAAGAAGTTAACGAATATCGTTCGATCAAACCCTTAACATCAATCTCAAAAACCACTGCTGCACCAGCTCCGCCACCACAAAAACAAATCTCACCAGTCGCTAGAACCCCGCGAATAATCGAATATCATCCAATGCGAAATACAATAGATAATTCATCAGATGCTTCATCAGATTCCGATTATTCGCCAAAACCTCCACCAATTCCAAATACACCGCCACCAAAACTCGCAGAATATCGCAAAAATGTGATTTCTCCGACGGTGGAAGAAAATAAAGGGAAAGGAATCTATCAGAGAATTAACAACAATAATAATATTAGTAATAAAAATATGAATGTGAAACCAATGATTTCGCAAGGATTTTATGTTCAATCTACAGTTACAAAACGATCCGATTCTCCAGTTATTATTAGAAAAACAGTGGAAGCACCAAAGCCGCAACCAATCAAAATTGTTAATCGTAAGTTTCAAAAAATTTCGACTTAGGATTTTATCAGAATTTAAAATCCGAATTCTAAAGTTCATTTTTTGCAGTTCCTGCACCAACAATGTCACCACCAATGCCTAGAAAAGAACAAACTTATCGAAAAATCAATATTCCGGCACCAGTTCCACCAACAACAGTAACAGAAAATAGAAACACAATCTACCAGAAGATTAATATTCCAAGACCTGCTACAACAAATCCAAGAACAGATTCAGAATATCAGAAGATTAAAATAACACAAACATCAATCAAGGATCCAATTTATCAGAAAATCAATCCTCAAATTCAGAAACCAACTCCAGTGGTTTCTGCAACTTCGATTCCATATAAGAAACCAGTTTTGAAATCAGCTTCGATTTCAAAACCACAGCCACAAAAAGATGAATTTGTAATATCGGATATTTTGCGAGCGCCAAAATTGCGAAAAGTTGGAATGCCTGTGGAAAGAAGTGGAATATCACTTGGAAAAGTTGTCGATGCCCCTTCTTCACCATCTTCTCCATCATCTCAATCTCGTCCAACTGGTGTTCCACCTCCACCTCCGCCACCTCCACCAACTTTCAATCAACTTCCATCACCTTCTCCAATTCAAACAGTTTCCCCACCAAAAAATATGGATGCTCGTGATAGTTTAATGCACGAAATTCGAGAAGCTGGAAGATTACGTGCTGCGAGAGCATCACAAAATGCTTAATTCTTTTTTTTTGCTCATTTATTTTTGTCATTGTGATAATTTATTAGATTTATTAATGTTTCGAATTTTTGAATAAAATAAGTCTAGCGTCAAAAATATCTTATCTTGAAAATATGCACTACAGTAATCCAAAAATACTGTAGTTGATTTGGTCGATGATTCAAACAATTTCAAAATGATAGGTTTTTTTTCAATTTTGGATTTTGGGGTTTTTCTCACTTCGATACGTTTCAAAGTTTTTATAAAAAAAATGATAGGTTATATTCCCAAAATGTGTCAATTTTTGCACTTTCCTTCTCTCCTTCCCATCTTCATATCATTTTGCATATCCCGTAATTTGTCGGTTGCATGTTTTTCCTTACTTATATAATTATTTTTTATTTCTTATATTTTGTTCTTCCGAGAACATATACTAAAATTGGAACAATACAGAGAAGATTAGCATGGCCCCTGCGCAAGGATGACACGCAAATTCGTGAAGCGTTCCAAATTTTTTGCAAAATTTCATCGATTCTATACTTAGAATTCTAACCTTAAAATTGAGCCAAAATGCGTTGATAAATCCTGCAACTTGCGGGTTGTTTTTTAAACAAAAAACACTAGGAGCTCTCTCGATGGAAGAAGGATTTTTCAATGGGGTCCCCCTATTTTTGCCGACTTTTTTAAACGAAATCATACCTTCGCGAACGTCCAAAACGATCCGATCCTGGACATTCTAAACAAAAACACGTGATCTAACCACTTGACAATTTCTGACACAAGGGAATAGAATTTGTGAAGTTTAATGAGCCATAGACTATAAAATAAAACAAAAAAAATAAATTCAAAACTGGAAATCGCGCATAAAACTATGAAATATTTCATAGTTTGTTTTTCAATAAAATCTGGAAGCTATAGGAAAAATATACGATCAAAGTGTAATTCAAAGCCTAATCTAATGATTTAAACATAGTAATTATGTATAAAAAATTTTACCCGATAGTTTCCACATCTAATCTCACCTGTTAGTTTTGCGCTTCTCCCCCTCCCCCCCCCCCAAACTTCAAAATAAACTAACTTGACTGGCCCGTTCCATGAGAAGTTCTTGATCTCTTTGAGTGTCCTTTCCATCTTCTTGTTCGGAAGCCTGAAACTTCTACATTCTTTTTCTCAAAATTGTCGCCTATTCTTACAATTAAACTTACATCAGAAATGACAATTGTGGATTTGATGGGATCCCTGCATTCTGTGACGGTTGTCTCTAAAAAAATAAGAAAATTAAAAAATGTACCTATTAATAACACTTTCTGTGCTGAAAAAACCACTCAAAAACCAGAAAAAAAAAAGCAAAAAATAACTCATAAAATGTTACGGCACTTTACTGCGAGGTTTTTGCAATGTCGCAGCGAGGTTATTCCGTCTTATGGCGCGCTATCCGTCAGGCAGTCGTTTTTTCCGTCGCTAACCTAGCAGCGACCTGGCAATTTTATCGCTGCTACCCGTCTTTTTTTTGTTCGCTAAAAACGGCGGCTTGCATATTAGCGCTTTGTACAGCATAAATTCGAGATTTGTATTGTAAGAAGCGTTTATTGAATAGATAAATAATGAAAATATACATAAGAAAAATTAAAGTTTATCTCGGCGGTGAAGAAATTGGTGATGTCGAGACTTTTGGAGCTGGGAATTTTGTTGGAAATGAAGGCATGATTGTGGAGATAGGCTTCGACTGGAGTGATCAGAGTGATTTCTACGATGCCAGTTGGGAGTTGATTTGATTTCGGGACATTTGCCAGTTTCCTATATCATAGCCTCCAAAACCAAGGTATTTGCCGAAATCATCACTTTTGAAGATTTTGTTGTAGTTTCTGTAATATTTCCAGTTCAAATTCATGGGATAAATATGAAATTCACGAAGTACTCACTTGATATTTTGCATGTTTTAGACACACCAGTGTTGACATCGTCATGAAACTTCATCGATGTTCCACATGGATTCTGAAACAACGGGGTCATATTTGAATGATTTTTCTGAAATCAACATACCAACACAGGTTCCATTATGGTTGCCGAAAGCACACCTCCAATACCACGATGATTGCCAAAATCATGGTATGTTGAAGATCGTGTTGTAGTTTCTGCAATATTTTAATTGGTTATCACGGTAAATTGGAATTTGACGAATTAATAACAAACTTACTCGTTGAAAAATGTGATTTTCGACTTCTTCACGATTCGAACGTTCACCCAGCTTGAATATGCTGAAAAATGTTTTTATTTGGCCAAAATGAGATTTGTAGCAATAAAGATCGTCACGAAAAACAATATAAATCGAAAAAACCAAGAAGAAGAAGCTGTTTTACAGATAAACCGCCATTCTTTTTGGAATTTTGGGAACTTTGAAAAATAAAAATGAAAATTTTGGCAGAGGAAATGCGCTCCATTGCGAAAAAATGGGAATAGGCGACTAGCAGGCAGTTTGCCGCGATGTCGCAAACTTGAGCGTTCACAATTTTTTGTGTGGCGGGTCGCTGCCATATTGCGGCAGTCGCAAAAATCCGCCAAACCTCGCTGCGATATGCCATTTTGCCTCTAACCTCGCAGTAACATGCCGTAACATTTTATGAGAAAAATGTCGTGCGAGAAAAAATAAAAGCAAAACAACGATACTCCGCGTGCGCGTTGTTTAGCGTGTTTATTTTGTTGTTTTTTTGCAGGGTTTATGAGAGTCTGGGGAATGGAGAGAGGGTTAGAGAGAGAAAGAGAGAGAGAGAGAGAGAGAGAGAGATGTTTTTTATTTAAAAAGAAATCATTGATTGAAAGTTTTTTTTCAGTTTTTTTTTTCGAACTGAATCATTTTTCTGGGAAAATGTCGCAATTGCGACATTTCAAAAAAAAAAACAGGGGGACCCCATTGAAAAATCCTGCTTCCATCGAGACACCACCAGATACTAGGAGCAAATTGATAGTCATTTCTTGTGTCGTTTTATTTTCTTTTTTGCGTCACGTGACCTAATTTACGTGGCATACGTGTATGGAAAATGCCAACCAGACAACGAAAAATCGAAAATCAATCAGTTCTAAATTTATAAAATGTCAGAAAGTATCAATAGTAGCAATAATAGTAGTAGCAAAAAAGACGACGGCAATTCGAATGCACCGCCTGCAGATGGAAAAACTGAAAATGCTCCCGCTGAAAATCCATTAGAAACCGGACAATTTATCGATTTAACCAATGATTTATCAACAAAATCGATGGATTATCAAAAACTATGTCGAAATATTTGGAGATATTTGGTGAATTATACACCAAACAGTCCGAGACCCACATGGAATCCAACAATTCTTCTCAAATTATTGCAAGATGTTCGAGAAAAAATGGATGGAGAAGTATTGATTCCGGAGATTTCGACAACACAAAAACCAACAATTGTTTTTGGACCGATTTTTGGGGAAGGAGATTCGCTGGTCACTTTGATGAGTCAAGCTGGAATGCCACCCGATGTTAATTATGTTATGTTGGGATGTTATACTGGAAAGGGTTTTGGTAAGTTTGATATTCAACACTCGGATAACTAGATTTTCGAATTCTCTAGTTTCGTCCCAAATTTTTTTTGATAAGTCCTACCAAACTGTAATTTGAAATCTATATTTTTCAGCACCACTCGAATGCATTTGCCTTCTGCTCAGTATGAAAATGTTATATCCCACAAATATGTATTTATTAAAGGGACATCATGAAGAATCGCTGTCTCTTGAAATGCTCAAACTTGGTAATTGGCTTCAGTTACGTGGAATACCTCTAAACACTCCTGAACATCAACAAATCATCGACGAAATGAAGAAATCGTGTTCCGCATTTTCGCCGGCTGCATTTTTGGATTCACGTATTTTGTGTATGGCTGGTGGTCCGGGACCATTGTTGCGAAAAAAGAATGGACTGAAGAAATTGATGAAAATGCAGCGAAAATTGAAATATTCGGTGAAAGAGAAGAATTTATTGATGGAATCGAGTTGGTCGGTGATGATATTGAATGAGGCGCAGAAAGAGATGCATGGAATGCCGTATTTTACACCAGTAAGTGAATATGGCCTAGGAATTTCATTCGATTTTTAGTCCGCCGAAAAAATTTCATTCAAAATGTAGAATTTTGGCTCACATCAAAATTTCTACATTTTTTTTTCGAAAAAAAAATCAAAAAAAAATTTCATTCAAAATGTAGAATTTTGGCTCACATCAAAATTTCTACATTTTTTTTCGAAAAAAAATCAAAAAAATTTCATTCAAAATGTAGAATTTTGGCTCACATCAAAATTTCTACATTTTTTTTTCGAAAAAAAATCAAAAAAATTTCATTCAAAATGTAGAATTTTGGCTCACATCAAAATTTCTACATTTTTTTTCGAAAAAAAATTCAAAAAAATTTCATTCAAAATGTAGACTTTTGGCTCACATCAAAATTTCTACATTTTTTTTCGAAAAAAAATTCAAAAAAAAATTTCATTCAAAATGTAGAAATTTGCCTCACATCAAAATTTCGACATTTTTTTTCGAAAAAAAAAATCAAAAAAAAATTCATTCAAAATGTAGAAATTTGGCTCACGTCTAAATTTCTACATTTTTTTTTCGAAAAAAAATTCAAAAAAAAATTTCATTCAAAATGTAGAAATTTGCCTCACATCAAAATTTCTACATTTTTTTTTTCGAAAAAAAATTTCAAAAAAAAAAACATTCAAAATGTAGAAATTTGCCTCACATCAAAATTTCTACATTTTTTTTTCGAAATTTTATTTTTTTTATTTTCGCAGCCGTATAAAATCCAAATTTTTCCAGGAACAAGCCTCTGAATTCTGTCAATCGAATAATTTGCACTGTCTAATTCGTGGTCGCCAACTTGTAGATCAAGGTTTTTTGAACAAACCAAAAGATGTGATAACAATCATCTCAGCTGTCGCATATTTGGATAATTTTCGAAATTTTGCGGCTGTTTTGAAGATTCAAGGACCAAAAGGAACAATTATTCGATATAAAATGGAAGAAGGCGAACAATTATCATTAGAACTTGTGAAACCAGGAATTGGTAGAAATGTTGTCGCATGAGAAATGAATCGAATTTATGAATAAATATTTTGATTTGCGTAGGTTTTGAAATTTTCAACTTTTTTACACTATGTACCAAAAAGCTTTTTAACAGTGTTAAAAATCCCTTTTTCTGAAATGAATGGAATTTTCAAGTATTAAAAAAAGCTATTTCAAACTTTATTCTAAATCTCCGGAAACTACGATTTTTTATAGAATTTTTCTTTTGAACAAGAAATTCGTCACCGGAGGCGGCTATAAATTCTTGTGCTTTGACTTGTTTCTGAAAAATTTTTAAAACAAAAAAAATTTGTAAAAAAATGTGACGTGACCTATTTTTTCTGATCCCCAAAAAAAACAAAATCAAATCCAAAATTTGTGACACGTCAGTATTCAAAAATGTTTGCATCGAAAGCGATCAAATTTGCAATCTTCCTTCAAATTGTTCAAGTCGTTAGGGCTGAAGTTGTTTGTAATGGAGACGACTGGAAAAACCAAAAAGATTGTGAAATTATTAAACACGGGGTAATGGATTTCAAATTCAAATCTATCAAAGGTGAGTTCGATCTTGGCTGGCTACATCATAATTATAATTAGATTTTCCAATTTTTCAGATGTCGAGGACATCAAACATAAATTGCAAACCATCAAAGAAATCCGAAATGGAATCCACGTTGATATACCAGATCTCGTTACATTCGACTACTTGCCTAATGTGAATACAATCAAAAATGAAGATGGTCCCGCTATCAAATTTTCAAATCACCAAAATTTTCAAAGCATCAAATTCAAGAGTTTGACAACATTGAGCGGTAAACCTTCGGATTTTTTATTTGAAAACGACAAGTTTATGAAAATATCGTCAAAACGCAGTGAAGATTTGCTAGAAATATATTTTCAAACCCAACCTGTTTCTCAACACCAAACTTGCTCTGATAATTTCAAATTCGTCGATGTTTTTTATCACGATATTATTGTTAAAGCTGAATTCCCCCAATATTATTTCTATATTGTTCTTTTTCTTACCATAATTTTTGCCTTGAGCTTTCTCATAATGGGTTATAAGGCTTTTCAAGCACGCAGACTTTGGAAAGAGGCTCTCAAAAAACAAGATGGTGCTGGAATTGGTGCACCGAATGAAGAACATTTTGATAATGTTTCGCCAATGGGAAAACCTGGAATGGTTTAGATAGACAAATAAATTATTTTTAGCTGGAATTTGATGATTTTTGAGAGAAGAAACTGGGAAAAGGGATTGTTCAAAATTCTACTCTTTAATTTCTCAGTCAAATTTTCTCAGTAATACTGTAGATTGAATGTCGGTGCTATTGTAGCTACTTTTAGAAATGAATATTCGCGCCAAGGGTTACTGTAGCTCACACAACGTTCCGAGACGCAATTGGGTGAGAGGGAGAGAGATCTCAGAGAAAAAATTAGTAAAAAATTTCCAAAAATTATAATTTCAGTTCAAACTGAAGCACGTAGAAAGATTACTGTAGTTGAAATCTTTGTCGAGAAATTTTTTAAAAATTTGAAACGTATATTTTCATTATGAAAATATTTTCGTTTTTCAACTTCTAAGGATCCTATTTTTTTCAAATGTTTTAATCCTATAAAATTTTGCAAAAAATTTGGAACGCTTCACGAATTTGCGTGTCATCCTTGCGCAGGGGCCATGCTAATCTTCTCTGTATTGTTCCAATTTTAGTATATGTTCTCGGAAGAACAAAATATAAGAAATAAAAAATAATTATATAAGTAAGGAAAAACATGCAACCGACGAATTACGGGATATGCAAAATGATATGAAAAAGACCCATCGATGGGAGAAAGGGGAGAGAAGGTGCAAAAATTGACACATTTTGGGAACTCAAGAACTATTCTAAAAAATAAACTGCAATATTTTGGGAGAACATTTATTCAGGGTTTCAAAAACAAAAAATCAAAATTGTCATGTCTTTTGATATTGTGACAATTAGCCAATGAGAAATACAAAAACTTTTGCGAGTTTTTCAAAGTTTCCAAACTAATTTCCACGTCATAATGTGCTCCAAGAACTTCGATATGAATTGTGAAATTGATAATTGGAAGAGTTGAATGGGAAAATGCGTTATACATACGATACTGTAAATTTATTATTTTTCAAACTGGAAGAATTCTGACAAATTATGAAACTATTTTTTAAAATTTACCTTGACGGTGGGAATATTCGGGATCTCAGCAAACATTTCGATGAACTCTTCTGAGAAAATGTTTTTTTTAAATAAATAATATCTACTTATTTTACCTTTATAAACTGTGCGATTGCATAAATCCATTTCAAATTGATCATCGAAAAATTCTTCGAATCTCCAAAAGTTCTCTTTTTTCTTTATAAGAACATCCATTAATTCATGCGATTTTCGAACTGCAAATCGGTCGATTTTTTGAGAACGAATCTCGCTCGAACAAAAATCCTATAATTTTTTATTTATTCTAAGTTATTACTTAAAAAAGCACAGAAACTTACAATTTTTGTGAGAAAAATTAGACACCAAACCAGCCAATGATACATTATGATAATTTTATGATTGTGGAATACCACCATTTGTCGTAACAACAAAAATTGAATGAAAAGAGGGGAAAAGGAGAAAATGAGTCATTTCTTGGATGAAATGGTGACAAATTGTATTTTTTTTTTGTCTTCAAATCGCTGAAATAATCGTAAAATTTTAATGTGTATATTTTTGTTTTGAATATTTTACAAAAAAAAAATTAAATCAAATCTTTAGAAAATGTTATTTTTTCATGAAGATTTGAGAAGACAATATTTATAAATATTTTTAAAATTTTTATTTAACAATTCCGTGTTTATTTCCCACTTGAAACGTTCTTTTCCTGACATATTTCCATTTTTTTTTGTAAAATAAAAAATGGCCGAACATTTGCTGTTTTGCAAAAAAGCTAGGCCATGTGTGTAATTGTGCGTCGCCGTGTTATGCACATTTTCGTTTGTTACCGTACTTTTGTTGCTGATTCCCAAAATTTTTTCACATTTCACTTCATAAACCCGATATATTTCAATGCTTGCGTGAACACTTTGAATTTATATTCACTCCACTCACGTGGTAAATTCATAGAGGTGAGTTGCAATTCCTGTTCGAATCCAATTTTACCGAGTTTTCGTTCAAAATTGAAAAAATCACGTATTTTTTTCGAAAATCATGTTTTTTGTTGCAGACATGTCTGAAGACTGGGGTTGCAACGAAGAATTATTCGGCGAGACGAGCAACGTCGAAAAGCAAACTAAATCGCTTACCGAACTCGTCGATATTCTCACCAAGAAAAATAAAAATGGGCCAAAAGTCGCGGCACAATCGTCTGTGGAACCGGAAAATGTGAAAGTCATACCGTTTCAAAGACCTGGATTGTCATCAAAATCGGCGACAAAGATCGGAATGGTTCATGCCCCAAAAATCTTGAAGAAAAAGAAGGCACAGGCCGGTTCATCAGTCACCAACAATAACAAGATTTTGAATGAGACTAATGTCAAGCGAGTCACTTTTGAGGTCGAGAAATTCATATCCAGAGAAGCCGCAAAAGATGATCGCGAAAAAGCGAGAGATCGTATGCTGGTGAGTTGTATTTTTCATGAATTTAATCGAAAATCTATTGTTTTTCAGGCATCTCTTGGTGCTGCACCTCAAAAACGTGAGTATGTCAACTACAAAGATCTGAAAATCGATCGAGCAAACCAAAAAGCAGATGCAAAAGCACAAGCAGAAATGCATCACGCTAACAATTTGTCAATGACGGTTATCAAAAAGAAGAAAAATAATAACAAGAAAAAGTAAATTCACAACTCTCGAACTGCTCCCCGTTTTATCCAAAATTGCCCTTCTTTTTGTTCTGTTTAATTTCAAAAAGTTTCCCCCCAAACAAACCCCCTTAAATTCTTTAAGCACGCTGGACGTGAAAACGAAAGGCGGTCATTTTTAGTTCTCCCTCAATTCATTCATTTCTATCTTTTTTTCTGAATTTGTTTTAATTCGTATTGGTCTCTTCTAGAAGATTCTGTAGAGTTTTGTATGTGTTTTTGTGATTTTGTACATCTTTTCTATTTTCAATGCCACATGTTTTTTGGTATACGTGGTATTTTAATAATGAAGAAGGAAAATTAAAAATGAGGACTTTTGTGAGTATTGATTCTGTTTGCGGTTTCTCAAACCCCGATTTTATTTCATAACTTTGCTGTTTCTCACATTTTATAGTTTCCAGACAACAAAGACTGAGATTGTGAATTACTGAAAACATATTTATATTTTTCATATTATAGAAATGAAGATGCAACGTGGACCACGTTGAATAAGACGAATTTCTTGATTCCACGTTGGAATTATTCATTTCTAAAAAATATTCTGGGGTTTTCGAACACAGCTCCTAATTTAAAAAAACAAACGATTTTCAAGTTTTTTGTACTGAAAAGATTGTGAAGAACATTCTATTCGGAAATTTCGAACTTCTCATTTGCAAAATCATAATTTCCTTTACTATTTCCCAGATTTATCTAAACTTTCCAAATTCCACATTCCCACACACCACTTTCACACTCAAAAATTTATAGGCCATCTGCCAAACAGAAAAAAAAAACATTTAGTGTGTTGCAAACTCGCTCCATTGCACACAGCGTCGTTTTGCTTGTGGGCAACCCGCGATTTCTTGGCATTTGTTTCATTTTGCAATTCTCATTCATTCTCCCGTACTTCCTTCATTTATTCTGCTTCTTATTATTCATTTTCGATTAATTAAGCTCGATTTCTTCAGAAAATGGGACGAAGCCGCTCAGTTTCAAGATCTCCGTCAAGAGAGGTGAGTAATTTCAATGTTTTATTTGGTTTAGTTTAAGTATTTTTATTTTCAAAGGGAAATGAATAGGGTTTGGTGTGATTTTTAGACAGTTTAAATGTTTCGAAAATTCAGGTGAGAATGAATGAAAAAAGAAAGAAAAAGAATGAATGAAATAAGGAAAAGGATGAAAGAAAATGAAATTTTGAATGAATGAAGAAAGAAAGAAATAAGAAATGAAGGCGACCTTTTATTCTTCTGTTATTTCTATTTTATTTATTTATTCAATGTTCTCCAGCACTTCTAGAAGTCTCCATTTTTGCAGCGCTCTAGAAGTCGGTCAGCATCAAGATCTCCAGTTGCAAGACGACGTGAACGTTCATAGTAAGTTAATCAGGCTCAATCTAAAAATCAAATCTAATGTTACTATTTTTGCAGTGATCGTCGTTCTCGTTCGCCACGCAGAAGTTCGCACCGCGACAGCGGACGCGGTGGAAGCGGAAATATGCAACGCGACAATCCGCCACCATCAAAATGCATTGGCGTATTCAATTTATCCACGTATACCACTGAAAAAGATTTGAAGGAGATTTTCGGCGAATTCGGTGATATCGAACGCGTCGATTTGGTTTATGATCGCCCATCGGGAAATTCGCGCGGTTTCGGTTTCATCTATTTTTATGATGTTGAAGACGCGGCGGCGGCCAGAGATAAAATGTCGAACACCGATTTGGATGGACATCGAATTCGTGTTGATTTCTCGTTCACAAAACGCGGACATTCACCAACTCCAGGACAATATATGGGTGATAGATATGAAAGAAGAGGAAATGGAAGAGATTATCATGGTGGAGGCGGAAGATCGAGATTCAGATCACCACCAAGAAGGTCAGATCACCACCAACAAATTATGATTTTAAAAAAATCTGGAAATTAACTTCCAATCCTCAAAATATGAAAATTACAAAGAACTTTCATTTGAATTAATTTCTGTAAAAAAATTTCAAAAAAACCTTTTTTTAGCTAAAAATTTGAAACTTTTTCGACACCGCTCAAAATATCGATTTTAATTTTGATGGAATTTGTTTTTGAGCCAAGAGAACAATTACGACACGTTGGTGTATAAAAAAGTTAAAATATCGATAAAAAATGGAAGGGTCCTGCGACTTTAATTATTGAGCTTTAAATTTCAAAAACCCGGTTCGAAAAACTCCTGGACAAAATTTTAAACGAAAACTTGAACCTATCCGATTCTTCAAATCAAATTTCAAACATATTTTGCAGATTCGATCGTGGCGGACATCGTGATCGCGGAGGCCGTGGTGGAGGCGGAGATCGCAGCGGTGGTTCTCGCCCATACGATCCAAGTTCTCGTCGTCGTGTCGAATCATATGCCAGTGGCGGAGGAAGCAGTTCATCTCATCGTCGTCGTTCCCGTTCTTAAAATACTTTAATATTTAATCAATCTCTAAATTTTTACCCTTCTTTTTCTTCTGTTGTTCCTTCTTTTTCTCCTTTTATAACTTGTTTTTTATCCTTCCAATTCTCCGTTTTTATTTGTAGAACTCAATTTTTTTTTTTCTGGTTCGGACCCTAAATTCCTGTTGTTTTCAAAACTCTCAATAAATCCAATTCTGGAATCTTCAAACAAGTTAGGATAACCAAAAACATTTATATATTTATATATAGAAAAAATCGTGGTCTGGGCATACATTTAGGGTGCTAAGAAAACAAAACAAAAAAAAAAGAAGAGGAAAATCTTAAATTTGAAAGCAAAAAACCCGGGGGTCTCGAAAAGAAGAATATAAGGTGAAAATGTGTATGTCTGCGTCTCTCTCAAAAATCTCGAGGTACACAGGACTCGTTTATTTTTATCTGTGGTGGGAGGAAAATTGTGGGAAGAGGGGGGACCTAAAAACGGAAGGGGGACTAGAAATAGTCACTGGAAAAAATAATGAAATTGGGACGAAAAAATAAGGGGGAAATGAAGGTGAAATATCAAGAAAAAATGAGATAATATCAAAGAGAGAGATGCAGAGAGAAAAATGAATGAATGAAAAAACACATTGAGAAAAAAAAAGACAAAACAGTTAATCAAATTCCTTATCTTCCAAAAATTTATATTCGAATGTAAACGATTCTTTTTTGCGTTGAGACCATTTTTCGAAATCAAAATACACGTATGTTCCCTGCAAAAAATTAACATTAAAAATTTTAGGTTAATTTTTTTTATTCTAGAAAAAAATTAGGATTACAAAATTAATGCTCTCTTTGAAAGTTGAAAAAATCAAAAGATATATGAAATATGAAATACTTCAATTTTTCAAGAAAAAGTTTTTATCAGAAAATCTGCTTTCTAAATTTCTACGACCAAAACTTATTGCCCAATTCTATAGAAAATATTTGAAAAATCAGATTTCCGATTAAAATTTGAATTTTCTTCGAAAACTGAAAACCCTTTCAAATTTTCAACAAAAAATAAGATTTTATAGATTTTTTCTCAGAAATCTCGTGAATATTTTAATTTCAAAATTCAAATTTCTTTTCTTACCTGTTCATAATCATCAGTGATAGTTTTGGGTTCTTCATGTCGTTGAAACCAAGTCAAATATTTGGTATGGAATCGCCACGATAGTTTTTTGAGAGCCTTGGCTGCCAGCAGCTGAGCTCGTGTTCCTTCCATATAATAGAAGATGAAGAATAATGTGTCGGGCGATAATCGAAGATAATATTCGAGTGAATCCGCATTTGATGGAGCTGTTTGAGCATAATATGATGGAACTGGAAGCATCATTTTTGGCAAATAGACACGCGGTTTTTCACTGTCCAATGGTAATTGTGTTCGAGTTACAGCAACTTCAAGAGCGGCTGATTGAATATCATATTCTTGAGTATTTGGAGCACGTCCCAATGGAGAAGCACCCAACCATGCTGGAATATGAGCCTGCAAAAAAAACATATGAGATTAAGGTGCTTTTAGATGGAGGAATTTGAGGACGAAATTAAGTTCAAATCTAAAAAAAGTCCAAATCTAAAAATTTTTTTGATAAGGCCTAAAAATGTGCTCGGAAAACTCACTCTTTTTGGTTCGGTCGACGTGGTATTTGACTTATTTTGATTCGATAATCGAAGTGCTCTCAATGCCGAATCGTCATTCATTTGACTGCTATTTGCAATTATTGGTGTCGTCGTCGTGTTATTTGTTGTTGGTGCAGTTGAAGCAGCCACAGCAGCACTTGCAGCAATTTGTTGTGATGACAACGAAGACAATGTTGGTGGTGCAATTTGAGTTAAACTCGCCGTGGCTGCAGCTGCCGCAACCGCTGTTAGTGTACTCGTTGAACTTTTCAACGATGTTGTATCGCCTGAAACTTTCATTTTTATAAATTTTAGAATGAAACCGGGACCAGAACCAAAAGCTCTGAGAGATGCGCAAAAAAATCCATCAATTTTTAATTTAGCAACATTTTCATCTCTTCTTTTTGCAAGAAAAATGTATACGAAAATCAATAAAAGGCCAAATAAAGTGCAAAAGAATTAGGAAAAATCGCAGTTCTTTTTTTTCTGTGTTCGAAAAGCATGACAAAATTGAACACGAAAAGAGAATGAGAGAGCGAGGAAGAAGAAGAGAGTGCAGAGAAATAAACAGGTTTGAAATAGTGTTGACAAATTGGGAGTGTCGCGAGAGAAGCAGAAAATGAATTCGAAAATGACGTAATGAATAAACTGAAGATGTTGAAACAGAAAAAAGAACTAGTTATTTTTTGGTGGGGGATTTTTTGCGAAATTTTTTTGTTGAACAAAAAGTAAAAGCAAAAATCTGCGCGCCCAAAAATATCGTAGATCAAAAATTATTCATACATTTTTTGAAATAGGAGAAAGAGAGAAATGCGAAAATTGTTTATAATTTATAATTTTCAGCAGAAATGAAGTATATAATTAATTTGGCTAAATATAGCTTTTACAGTACTCCCAAGAGAGGCGCTAAATTCTTAATTTAAAAAATTCAAGAAAATTTGCAACGTGGCATTGGAGAATTAGATCAATTTTGCAATTTTCTTTGATTTCAATACGAATTTTTCTTGCAATAAATGGAATGAGATTTTTACGATTTTTTTTCGAAAAAAAAACCTATTATTATGTCAAGGCTCAAATTATTATTTTATGATGTCTTTTTTTCGTTTTTTTTTGGAAATTTCAATTTTTCCATAAAGCTCTTTTTTGCACTATATTTTTTTTATGAAAGACGTTTGTGAGTTGAACTACATGAAAAATTTTTAGAATAGTTACTTCATATTTTTGCCTTATTAAAAATTTTTACACTGAAATTGTATCATTTTATTGAGTTGTGAAAATTCGAATATTCCAGATAAAATAAAATTCTCAGAAAAGCTTAGTAATTCTCTTTTCCATGAATTAGAATATTTTGCGCTTTTTTTCAAGAGAGGTTTTTTTTTATGAAAAAAAAAACAATTTTAATCGGACAAATTTTTTAAAAGTTCTGAAGCAGCTTAATTTTGTTCTTAAACAATTCCTTGGAAAATCTATCGGAAAACTCAGAATTTTCAAATCGACTAAAAAGAAATTTCGCAATTTCTTCATTTTTTGGTAAAAAAATCCTAGCTTCAGAATTTTCACAGGAAAAGTCCCAAGTTTTCCACCCGAAAAACTAACCATTCAAACCATCCAACAATTCGTTTTCATTCGTCGATCTTTTCGAACTAACACTATCTTTTTTCGATGAAATCGTCGAGGGTGTCTGAAAAAAAAATGATTTGAATTTCAGAATTGTTTTTTGTGTTTCGAAAAGCGACTAAATATTTTCTAAAATAGAACCCACACACACACACAAGAAAACTATGACTATCACTATAACTATTCATATTTTTTTCACCTCTTGTTCTTCATCTTCCAATTCCAATTCTTCACTTTTCCTTTCTTCCTGTATTCAAGATTTTTCTCAAAAACATTTCGAGACAAAACTAAAATAAAAACTTACATCTAAATGCATTTCACTAGGCCCATTTGAAGTCATTATTCTGCAAAAACAACTCGATTATTTAAATGAAAAAGATAGAAAAAAACTTACAACGAAGAATTATTATTATTTTTTTGCAAAACAGTTGGTGAACAGATGGAATTTGGTGTTGTCGGTGTTGCGACTGCGGAAAATGAACCAATTCCAGATGAGACAGAAGTGTTATTTGCTACAGGTGTTGGTGTTGTTGTACTTCGACCAGCAGCTACAGAATTATATGGTATTCCAGGTGGCGGAGGAGGAGGTGCTGAGATTGGTGAACGAGGTCGATCTAATGATGATTCTCTGTAACAAAAACATATTATTCATTCATTTGACACCTGGACTACGGCTGTCCAAAAACAGATTTTGAAGTATGAAAATTGGTAATATATAAGAAAAATGAGGGAGGGGTCTTAACCTTCATATTGCTTCAGTAAAAAATTATTAAGACTCCTACTTTTTTTTTCAATCATATGCTTAAAAGCCCTGGGAGCTCCCATTCTGATGAAAATGTCTTGAACGAGCATCTAAAAATTGTGAATTCCTAATTTTTCTTCATTTTGGCCACTTCATTACTCATGTTAAGAGTTGAGCATTAGATTTGACTGTGGAATCTTGAAATGTTCCCTTGTAACCATTTTTGGAACCTTTTTTCTAGAGAAGTGAATTTCATATCAGAAATTTCATTCTCTCAAACTATAGCGAAATCTAGTTTTCCACACTTTTCCCGCAAAAACTCACTTGCTAGCCAATTTCTTGTGATCATTCGATTGTGGCGGAGTATTTGATTGATGCGGTGATGACATTGTCAGCGGCAAACCAACTCGTCGACCAGCCGGACTTGGTGGCTGTCCATTTTCGCCGCTTCCGTGGCGAGAACCAGAAACAGCACCCATGTCGGTGTCAATTCCAAGATCATGACCTGAAATTTGGTGAGTTTTGATGATGTGAAGCTTTTGTGAGGGGAAAACTGATATTGACGTTCAGATAAACCTGTTTTTTGAAGAAAGAAATGAAAATGAAAAACAGGATTGCCACGTCACACGTGTTTTCGCTTGCAATTTTTTAATTTTCAAAAAAAAATCCAACAAATTAAAAATAACGTGACCGTAGTAATTTAGTAAATCATTTCTGAATTCTGAGTTTCGAATAAAAACTCCAAACTTTCATTTAGCGGTTTTTGGATAGGAAACTGGAGAAAATGAATATTTTCAGTTGAAATTCATAAATCACTAACCATTTTCCTTATGTTCATCATCCACAGATAACAAATTAACTCCTCCAATTTGAGCGCATAATTTCTCCAAATTCAATTCATCATAAGCATCTTCAGGATCATATGAATCCATATCATCTCCAACCATTTCAATATATTCTTCAATTGGTTGTTTCAATTGATTCATTACATCTTTTGGATGAAGTGATTCATTACTAATCATTCTCATACAAACTTCTAATTTTTCAACATGAAACTTTAATCGCTCTAAATGTCTTCTCAATTCTTCCGATCTTTTTTCTCGCTCATTTTTTGACTTCGCATCTTCTTTTTTTCCTCTTTTTTTTCCAGTATCAGCATTTGATAATGATTCTAATTGCATTTCTGATCTATCAGCTTCATCATTCAATGCTCGAATTTGTGTTTGAATCCAATCCATAACTTCAGCTTTCTCTTTTTCTTTTGGATCCAATTTTTCTTCAGCTGATAAACCGAGTTTACTATGAGGTTTTGTTTTATTTTCTCGTTCAACATCTTTGAATTGTTCCATTCTTTGTTCAATCAATCGTCGATATTGAATAAGTTTATCCTTGTCTTTGATATCCGATGAATTTTGCCAATTTTTCACTTGATCTCGTAACCTTTGCAATTTCTTTATTTCTTTTTTCAAATCATCTTGATATTTATCTCGTTGATTATCACTATTTGCCTCCTGCATTTTATCCATTATTTCTTCAAATAATTCCACACCTTCATCAATCTTTTTGTAGCATTTTTCGATTTCTGCTAACAATTTTCGCTTTTCAGCCATTTTTCTGTAATAATGTTCATATATTCAAAGGAAACAGCAAATACGCCAAAAGTGGTGGTTTTATCGGAAAAAAACGACAACAGGAGTCCACAAAAATGTGAAAACAAACAAGATTTGCGGTAGAGCGCACTTTCAATAATCGAGAAATAGTGTGGATTTTTGAGAGAATAAGAGAAATATGAGAGTTTTTTGGCTTTTTGGGTGGAGAAAATTGTGTTTTTGGGGGGAGAAAAGGGAGAAAAAAAGAGAAGAGTACTAATTTCACGTCTCAATGAATTGACGGCAAAAATGAAGAAAAATCGATGAAAATTGAGTTTTTCCTACTTTTTTTCTGAAGAAAACTAGACAAAGTTTATTTAAAATGCAAATTCGGGGGGAAATCACCATTTAAATTTGTGAACTTGGCAAAATACTGAAATCACCTCAGATTTGGTGCTCCGAGCTTTTCCCCTGGAATTTTCATAGATATATTTGTCGTTAGAGTTCTCAGCACTGATAATTTCATAAGATTTCTATATTATTAATGATTTGATTGAAAATTTGTCATCAAATAATCATTTAAGGAAAAAACTATGATTTTTCAGTGTTCACCAATAGGAATTCATAGAAAATTTAATTTATCCTGAATAAAAATTTATAACTTTATTTTTTCAAAAACAAAAGTATACTTTATACTTTATAAATGAAAATTCAAGTTTTCTTCACTGATTTTTCAGTTTTCTGACATGAAAATCCTCTGTTTTTAGCTCATAAAATCCCTTTTAAAATGAAATTTTATGAGCCATTTTAAAACGAGTAAAAGACGCGAGTAAGTAAGCAAGCAAGTAAAAAATCAAATCCAAAACGAACAAAAAAAAGAAGTTTGAATCGTAAAACACGCGAAAATAGAGCGAGAAAAAGAGAGTACAAGAGAAAAACACAAAAATGGATGGAGAATGGGAAAATTGGAGAAACGAGAGAAAAAACAACAAAATATATATAGAATTTCGATCAATTTTCGTGAAAAGAGGAAGAAAACTCACAAAATTGTTGGTGTTTGAAAGGGAAAAACATGATGGTTATTATTAAAAATGTGAAAATGGCACAAAAAATGATTTTTTTTTTTGGGAAAAAACAATTTATTCACGTGACACGACTGATAATCGATTTTATTTTTTTTGGAACAAAAAAAGAGAAAAGGAACATTCTCGTTTCATTCTTTACATTGAAACATGCCGATGTTCATTTTGAATACAACTGTCAAATTGGCACCACATAAGAAACTCGAATTCCTCAAAGATTTATCGAAAACTATTGCTAAAGTTGTGGATAAACCAGAAGCGGTAACTTTAATTTTTTGATTTCTAATAATTATGCACATTTACCCTTATTCCAGTTCACTTATGTCAATGTTAATTTGGAAAAGGATATTGTGTTTGGTGGGACCACGGAACCAGCTGGATTTGGTGTTCTGAAGTCAATTGCTGGACTTGGTGGCGAGAAGAATAACGAAATTTCTAAGGAGTTATATCCGGTTATTCAAAAGCATACCGGAATCCCGGGAAACAGGTAAATCTCCTAAATTTTTTTTGAAAAATAACATTTATTCTCAAAATTCCAGACTATATCTCGAATTTCATTCAACCGAGGCTGACAATATTGCGCACGACGGTCAAACCTTCACTCACATCCTCAAAAATCTTAAGCTCTAATTGTATAATCTAGTTTAATAAAGGTTTTAGCGAGAAAAATTTGAGAAAATAAAAAAAATCACCTGATGGGATACGGTATGCAACATGGTGTATTGTACGCAACCCAAAGTGTTTGCACACTTTTCTTTAGTAAACAACCGTAGTACACTTGAAAAGTTTCAGATTTTTCAAGTTCTCGCAGCTGAATAAAAATGCCCGTTTTCTCACTCAACACCAATGTTCCAATCTCGGCTGAAAAGAAAACCGAACTCAACAAGGAACTCTCGAAAGTTTTGGCAAGAAGCCTCGGAAAACCCGAATCTGTAAGTTACTTTTCATAGTTTTTTTGAGAATATTCGCTTTTCTTTCCCCCTCCTTTTAATGCTTGCTCTTTCTCGCTCATTCCAGTGAATTACACAGAAAAAATAAGAGATTTTCGAAAAATTCAAATTCATCATAAACAAAAATCAAAATCAGGATGTGTTTTGTTGACGAAGTGCTCGATGATAGGCAGCCGAATAACGATCGAAGCTTTCCTGAAAACATTTTCAATATATTTTTCAACAAGTAGAGAAAAACGTACCTCGGTAATAAGCCTATTCGAAACACCAAAATCGAGTACAACTTTACGAATAAGTAAATATTGCTGAAGAGTCTGTACAGCAGCACATCTTCCAGTTGAACGAATATGAGCAACAATTTTCTTGATATCAGGAAGCTCAAAGTGATTATGAATCATCATAAGGGCAATCTCAATCGCCATAAATGTCCCACTTCTTCCAACTCCAGCCGCACAATGAATAACTGATGGAAATTTCTTGCCCCGAATCTTTCTCAATAATCGCAACATAATTTCAGTTGATCCAGGCACTTGATAATCCGGCCATTCCATCCATTGATAATGTGTCACTGTTCGAGATTCACCCTTATATTCCAACTTCAATTTGGTCGTCAAAACCATACGATCTCTTGTTGAATCAATATAACTCAATTCTAATCGATCGAATCGAAGTTTGCTCTTATGATCGCTTGGAAAATAATCAGTGCATTTTTCGCGACTATGCTCAATGAATTGACAAAGCATCACAATTGCGGCTGTCTTTTCCTGCCAAACCATTCGCCAAAAATCGACAACTGTATTCTTTTTGGGTCCCTGGGTCAAAATATATTTCGTTTGCAAATATTTGCTTGTCACATAGTTCGCATGAATATAATCGTTTCCCGCTTCTTTTGGGTTTCCCATAAAATGCAATTTGACACGCGAAACTTCGAGACACGGAATATCTTTATACCGATTCTTCCTCAAATTCAGCGAATTATGAAATGCTGTGCATTCATCATATTTCGGAAGACTTGGCAGATCTTGAAAATCCTCGCTAATTTCATCCATGTTTATTTGCTGCGATTTGGCTGCGTATTCCTTGAACAACGATTTATATTTGGATAATCCTTTTTCATTTTCAGCCAAAGAAAACGAATCATCTTGAGTTTCAGCTGAGCTACTTTTATGTGGAGAGGATAGAGCTGGCGAGGTTTTGATAAGATTTTTCTCACTTGGGCGAGGAGAATTGTCATCAGTATCAAGATCTGATTCACCATCAAGACCAATCAAAGAACGATGTGAGTCTCGTAGAGGTGGCAATTCAACCATTTGCTTATCGTTGTTGTTGTTGTTCTCGTTTTTGTGTAAAATCATATTTGCCGCTGGTTCCTCTTTTGCTATGAGTGGTGAATGACCAGTTCTTTTCATGAAATCAAACTCCTTTACATTATCACTGTTTTGAGATTTTTTGTTGTGAGTATTCCAACTTGGCTCAGATGTTTTTCCTCCTGATCTTTTCGGCTTTTCGGGTGATCGTTGAATAGCATTTGGTTTTCGAGAAGTCGTGTGAACAACATCAGCACGACGATAGCTCTTGCTCGAATCACTGTCAATTTTCGAATCCGATCTTCGATTCGGCTTTTTTGTATCATTACTATTGCTAAAATTGCTACTCTTTCTTGTTTCATTACTTCTGGAAGTCTGAAAATATGTACATTGAATAGATGAAGACCGTGCTAAGAAATTGAACTAACCTTTTTGTTTTTATTCATTTTGGTCTATTAGAAAAATCACAAACTGAATTTTTGTCGGTTTCAAATCCTATGCCACGTTTTTTCATTTTTTTTTTTGAAAAAATAGTTCACGCAAAAAATATTTTTCACGCTTTCTCTAAATTTCTTCATTTTTAAAATTTCCACAGGCTTCGTTCTCATAAGGGTAAAAAGGGTACGCGTTTTTCTATCGGCAGCAACTTGTGGATCAAAAAATTTTGCGAGTCCAAATTTCCCGAGAATTTCTGAAACTTATAAATATTGAATGTCTATTAACTTGATATCGATTTCAAAGTAAGTTTTCAGTACATGTGCGTTCACATTCAATCGGATCAATCGATAACTTTTGCCGGAACTACCGATCCAGCTGGATTTGCTGTTTTGAAATCGATTGGTGGAGTTGGCGGAAAAAAGAACAACGAACATGCCGCTGAACTTTTTCCGATTATTGAAAAACATTTGGGAATTGCTGGAAATCGGTAAGAGATTTAATTTAAGCTTGAAAAGATTTTTATGAACACAAAACACGAGAAAAATATCTTTCAATGACTTCAAAAATAGAAAAATATGATTACTTGACATTTATTGAAATGATATGATTTTTAGATGTATTTTTGTATCTGACTCATCCCATTGAATACATTTTCATGAAAATCATTTTTTTTTCCAGTCTCTACATCGAATTCATCAATTTGGGTGCCAACGACATCGCATTCAGCGGTTCAACTTTTGCCTAAATCTACATAGTTTAAACGTTGCCTATATTTCACAATGTATTTATTATGAATCATCTATTTTCAACAAAAATAACCCGAAACAGAAAAAAAGTTAATATTTTTGCAATCACAAGTATTTCAGAAGGAAATGGTCGCGAGAAAAGTCGAAGGAAAACACGTAAAAGAATCTCAGAAATATTCTGAAAATGACCTACAATGACTAGCAGGGTACCAAAAAAAACAAAGAGAAAACGAGGAGGAAGAAGAGTAGATTAGGATCTGGAAATGATCAATTTAACGAAACCAACAAAAATATTGAGAACAAGTATCGAAGTGCCATAAAGAAGAATAAGATAAAGAATTAGATTTCGACGTCGAATTGAAATGTTAGTAAACTTCAAAAGTGTTGCTACAATATGTTGACCATCCAAATAATAACAAGGCATTGCATTGATTCCACCAAGAGCCAAAGATAATGTGAAAAGATATTTGGCGAGAAGTTGAAAATGATCAAGCCATAAAATATCAGCAAATCCGAATCGAGCAGTGTGCGATGAGATTGAAACCATTTCCAACATCTGCAAATTTGATTTTTGACATTTTTCGAAAATTTTAAAAATTACCTCATTCAGATGTCCGACAAATAAAATAGGATTTGATCGATTGGCCAGTCCAATTTTCACCAATCGAGTTCCATTAAAAAGTGCCGGATAAACACAAATCTTCTCATTTTCGCCCTCGATTTTCTCACAAGCCGTGCTTATATTACAAACTGCTTGTTCAACAACATGTCTTGCATTCAAACAACTGTATTTTTTCTCGCCTTCTTCATTTTGCTGCTCATCTTTTTTCTCCTTTTTAATATTATTCCCAGCTCCATTTCCGATTCCGAGCAGCGAATTCAATTGTGGTGCATTCGTTTCAAGACTTTTCTCCTCATTTTCTTTTTCTTCTTCTCTTTCAAAACAAACATGCGCATTTGTCACGTTGAATTCGTCACAACAATGAATTTCATCGGAAGATGTCCACGTCTGAAAGATTTATGTGAATTTTAATTATGAATATTGGTTTTTTGGGTTTGAATAATTCAGGAAAAAGGATTCGAGGTATGGTAAAATCGTGGTTTCGTAGTCACTACGAATTCCCGATTCTCAAATTTAGCCTAATTTTATGGATAAAAATGAAAAATCGCGGTTTCGGAGTCATTTTTTTTCTATGAACGAGACTTCTAGGAACTGAGCCCAAAAATTATTCGAACATCATTTTTATGAAAAATTATATTTTTCAAAAAAAAAAAAACAAATCAGGAGAGTCCTAATTTTCAGATCAAACTCCCATAATTTTTTTCAATATTTTTTCTTTATCCCAAAAACTCACATTATATGCTGTGGCTGCTTCAACCGCTTGTTTATCCACACATCTTCCATTATGTTGAACTTTTGCAGTTTTCAAACATCGAATCCAATCATGAATTGTTTCAACACTACATTCATCAATTTTCCTAACAACATCTCCAATATGCAAACCAGTTGTTCCACCAGCCAAACCACTTCTCGAATCAACTCTTTTCACAGAAACACCTCGACCTTCAACTAAAATTGGTGACATAATCGAAGGGGCTGAATGAAAAAGTGCGACTGCGAAAAGAGCAAGAAGAAGATTGTGCCAAATACCAGCTCCGTAGATTTGAAGACGCGGGAATTTCGAGGCACGTTCTACAGGAAAACAATTGTTGTGAATTTGAATTTCTTTCATTGAAACTTACTTAAGCTAACTCTTTCGATTTCTGTAAATGCACCTGGAAATATTCCCATCACAAAAATACCAAATCCATTGACTTGCACATTATTCGATCGAGCTGCCCAAGCATGTCCAAGTTCGTGAATTATTGCAACAACAATCAATGTAGCCATAAAAACGGGAATATGTGTCCAGGGTAAATTGTAGCCTGGAATAACTGGAACAATTCCACCTTCAATTTGTTGGCCATTTTCAATCATGTCATAATCGAGATTAGGGTCGGAAACAATTACTTCATCAATCTGGAAGAAATTAGAGTTTAGAAACTGTATTAGTTTTTGTTTTTATTTAAATTTAAAGAATATTACTTCGCTTCAAGAGTTTTAGGAACCTTTTTTGAGTTTCAGAAGTTATTTTTTCAAGAAAGTTAGACGAAAAATCCTCCTCGCACAAGTGAATCTCAAAAAAATTCGAAAAATTCAAACCAACCTCTTTTTGTTCATCATTATTATTAATTGTAGTTGTAGGAATCGGTGACGTCATCATCAAAACATTTTGCATCGATCGATATTCAACATTATTTCGAAAATTAGCAATTTTTGGCCGAGTTGACATCCAATGCGAAACATCTCTCAATAATATTTGTGTCATATAAAAAGTTATTGTAATTAGTGCACAAATCGAAACCAATGCTCCCAAAGCAAACCAAATTTTCGCAAAAAGAATTCGCAGTTTTGAAAATCGACTTTGTTCTAAATCAAACATCACTTCATGAACTTCGTCATCTTTTTTTCTCATTTTCTTTCAAATCATCCAAAATACTGTGCTCATTGTGTGGTGTGACAAAGAATTTGATTTGAAAAGGTGAGATTTCGAGGGAAAAACGATTGGCAAAATGAATATAGGGTTCAAAGTTTCGAACGCGAAGCACATAATCGACAAGGAATATCAAACTCCAAGCGATTAAGAAAATCGCAATTGCGGTTGTTAATAGCATTTTTGAAATAGGGATAAATAATAGCTGCTTTTCAGAAGTTCTCTCGCATTTTTCTTCGACTTTTTTCTTCTTCTGATGATTACTGGAAAAACGAGGATTGGAAGAATTTTGAAAAAAAAGAACTCGGTGAGATAATTTATATACTACAGTAATCGATGATAATTTCAGAAACAATCTACAGAAATTTTTAGATAAACATTTTCAAGCCACAAAATTATGTTGAACATTTTTGAATCTATTTTAAAAAATATCAGAAATCTAAATATTACAGTGAACCAAATTTGTTTCACCAAAATCATTGACCTACACACTAAAAAAATAAAAAATATATTCAAACGGTTTCATAAACCGATAAAGCAACAAAAAACCACCATTAAAAATAATTTGTTAAAATCTTTATAAACATAAAAAATACCCGAAATCAACCTGAAAAGCAAAAAAATGACAAAAATTCCTAAATTTTGCGAACTTGTTTTTTGACAAGAGCCAATCGTTGTTTATGCGCCTCTGTGGGAATATGTTTCTCTTTTCCTAAATCGATTGTTTCTGGTTGGCCAAAAATGTGAACACTTGCACGAGGAACAGTAGGCATATTATAGACATTCTTGAGAATAAATTCGATATCTCGACCTTCGACTCGTTTACTATCTCGAAGTTTCATTACAGTCACTGCTTTATCGATTATCTGAGAATAAAAAACGGGTTGAAGGAGAAATTGATTTTTTAGAGGACATCGTGTACTTTTGGATGGAGAAGTTGAAAACTTAAATTTTTAAGATTTCAAAATTCAGGTATCAAGCAGGCTCAGCAAAAAACTCAGAAGAACTATTAATTGTTGAGGTCTCCAAGACCAACCATTTTTCTTATTCAAAAAATCTCACCGATGTCACAAAATCATCAGCATATTCAACAAGCGCATCTTTCACACCATCTTCCAATATAATATTTTTATTGATTTGTGTCATAATATCATCCAATTTCGATTTTTCCATTATACTTCCCGTTGATTGCATATTAATTTGCATTGTTTGAGGACCAGGTGGAATAAATTGTGGTTGGGATTGTTGCGGCGGTTGTTGCTGTTGTGGAATTTGTAAAGGTTGCATTTGAAATCGGGGTTGTTGTGGAGGTTGAGGTTGAATTGGTTGCATTTGCATATGCATTGGTGGTCGATGCATTTGAATTGGCTAAATTTTTAAAAAATTTGAATAATTTATTTCAAAAAAGTTTGAAACGTATTTTTGTTATGTGAAATGAATATCTCATTTTAATGAAAACATATGATATTTTTTTAGAATATTTAATGAGAATAATTAAAAACTTTAAGCTTCAAAATATTATGGAAAAATTGATTTTTTGCGAAAGTAAAAATAAATAAATGTAAAACCTACTTGATTATTTTGCCCAAATGTTTGAGGTGAGAAATGTTGTTGTTGAGGCGGTGGCGGTCCTGGTCTTATTTGTGGTGGTTGTTGTGGATATGGCGATGATCGAATTTGCTGAATTTGTGGAGGTGGTCTAATCGGTCCACCCGGTGATACATATTGCTGTTGTTGTTGATCCATCGGCTGAATAATATTAATAACTCCATTTTTGTTGCGAAAAGAATAGTAGTAGGGATAGTAATGCATTGAAAGTGTTTGTTAAATATTATTTTATATTTTCAATATTTTTTATTGAAAAACATATACATAGGCTAGAGAGTAAGCAGCACAGAAAGTGTGAGAAGAAGACAAAAGGAGGGGAACACACGAATTATCATAAACGATGTTTTATTTTATTATAAATATCACATTATTTCAAATTTTGGTTATTGTGTTAACACATTAAGGGAAGAAAAACAGAGTTTAGCTACTTACAGGTGATTCCAATGGGTCCATTTTCTGAAAGAACTTTTACTCAAAATAAAAATCGATAAATGTTGTTTGTTTTTTTTTTTGGAAAATAAAACATCGATTCATTCTTTTCAACAACCAAAAAAATTCATTAAGTATAGTAAAATGCATATATAAATAGATATAAGAGAGAAGTAGGACATTTTCGTGCGAAATAGTGAGGAGAAAGTGCGCAAGCGCAGAGATAAAGAGGAAAATATGAGCGTGGACTAGCGAACGACTCGGCCAGCCATATTGCTATTTATTTAATGAGTGAAGGAGTTACCAGAACTTTTGAAGAAAAAAGGGATAATAATAATAATTGTTGAGGTGTCAAAATATGTCAAAAGGATTTGTTTGGACGAACTGGTTGGTATTCGTTATGGGTAATTGAGAGGAGAAGAAAACACTTGAACAAAAAACTATGTAGATATTTCGAGAAGATGGATATACTTAGAAAAAATACTTGGAAAAAACTCACCATTCTCACGGTTATTGCCTTCTTTTGTGTTGTGCAAAGAAAAAACTGAAAATAAAGAAAATAAAAAAAATTGTGTGCATTTGTGCGTGATTACTGTAGTTCACGCACAATTGCAGATTTCAAGAATTTTTGAAAACGTTTTTTTTCTTTTTTTGGTTCCTCGGATTTCTTGGATTTTTTTGCCGCTTCCGCCTTGAAAATGAGATTTTCAGCTTGTCGCACTGTACTATATTTTATTTTCTTAGTTTTTCATTTTTTTTTGTTTTCACTTCTATGCAAAAATTTGGTTTTTGAATGGTCACTTTTACAAAATCGCTTCAAAACGCCTAAAATTGGGAAGTTTTGAAAACTTCCAGCTTGGCCGAATGAATATTTTATTATTATTTTTTAAGTTTTTGGTTGTTGTTTTTTTCAGTGTTATTTTTGGTTTTTTCTATGTTTTTATTTCATTTTCCGTTTTTTTTCAGTCGCACTTTTGATTAATTTGCCATATTCATATTCATTTAACCACAACAACAATTTGCCATCGGCAAAACTTTCAATTTTCATTTCGATTTCACCTCCTCCCCCCTTTTTTCCTCTTTCAAAACAGAATCTATAGAATAAATAAACATTGGCCAATTACGCTGTGATTTTTTGTGGTTGAAATATTATATATTTATTTATTTATGATTCCCAGTTTTCGATACTTCTGTCAGAAGAAAATAGCAGTTTGAAACTTTTAGTGTTGGGAGATTAGGTTGCATATAAAACAAGTTTTCGCGCGTCTTGGTCATTTTTCGGATTTTGTTATTTTTTGCGTCACAGTTTATGATTTAGAAATGAAGATGAGAAGGCGTTTTTTTTTCTTTTGGCAACCCAACCCAACCTTAGAAAGAAGAGGGTGTGGCAAATTCATTTTAGATTCTGGGTGGCACCCCGGTTCGAAACTTCTATCAAAAAATTTCAAGATTTTCTTCTCAACTCTCATTTTTCTCGCTATTTTGTTTTGTCAATTCGTTACCCCGTTTGGTCATGTTTTTATTCATTCCTTCAGGTAATTGGCCTTCTCTTCTTCACTATTTCTTCCGATTGTCCTTGTTGTTAGATATAATCAGAATATGAGAGACTCAGACAGGAGAAAACAAGAAGAAGAAGAAGAAGAAGGGTGTGGTTGAAGACGACGTATCGTCGTTTTGTATTTGTGTATATATTTTTTGTCATCTTCATCTTTTTCTTTTATTGAAATTTATCTCTATTTTTAAAAGTTTACAGCCAAGTTTTGTTTTTCAGTAATTCAACAATTTTCAGGGGAAAATGGCAAAGGTCGAAGTTCAGATTCGATCTTGTTTTTGTTGCGGACTTTCGATTGCCACAACTGCAATTGCAATTTACACATTGGTGAGTTTTTTGAAAATTTAAAAAGAAACTAATTATCTAAAAATAGAAGGAATTCCTTGTATCTATGGGCGTGGTCTACCATATATTCGTTGAATGTAGAATGTTTTCTTGAATTTTTCCGATGTCAAAATATTTGCTTTGTTCGACAAAGTTACCGCATTACAGAACTTTCAAACCTCTCAAAAACTTTGTCAATTTGATAAAAACAGTAACCGCAATTCAATTTACGATTAGGTACTTTGAATAAAAATAGTGTAATAAATTTTATTACACAGCGATGATTGATTTGTGATAATAAAATGCGAAACACCATAAACATCTCATTTATCTAAAACTATTTTTGAAATTGATTTCAGATCTTGTATCTTCTCTTAACTGGTTTAGCTGGTTGGGGATTGTCTGACACAACAACAAACGGCGATGTGACACATTACAATTCGTGTGAACTCGAAGCTCAAGGCAAGATTAATGCGGAAAATCGCAAGCTCACTTTTACCGGTGGACGAACTGTTGTTGTTGTCGAAGATTCGACATCGTATCATTGTTCTCTTGGACTATACACAGAAGAATTGAAATACTCATCTGCTCGTAAGATATTGTTTAAAAATCGTTATATTTGAACGAATTAAAATTTTCAGCTCGATATACTATGCTTCTCCTCGATATTTTCTTGTATGTTTCCCTTGTTCTTGCATCAATTGTTCTTCTTGTTGGTCTCTGCGTTTACAATCAATGGCTTCTCGTTCCTTGGATTATCTTGATGGCTGTTGATATTGTAAGAGGATTTATCTCCGTCTTCTTCATTTTCTGGTACAGTTATGTAAGTGCATTTTTTCATTTTACGAAAACTTTATCGAACTCAAAGACTCAAAAGCTTATGAATCTATTTTCTAGGGAAACTTGGCTCGAATTGCAACTGGTATTTTCTTCCTCGGTCTTCAATTCTTGCATATTTCACTCCTTCTGATTATCGTTGCAAAATTCCAAAGAATCCACAATAACCGCAACGGTATTCCAGACAAAGTTTATGACACTTCCCGTTATGCCGGGTCTCGTGCTCCATCTCTTTATTATGGCGAAACAACTAATCCATCAGTTCATCGCCCAGATTTTTATCCGAATGATCAACATCGTAGCCATTATGATGCTCAACAACCACAATATCGATACTAGAGTATTTTTCAGATTAAAATTTAAGAATAACTTTGCTCATTTTTTTCTCCAACGCCCAGTTCCTACCGGTACATTTATTGTTTTCTTTTCTTCTTGTAAATACAAAACATAACTAATCTAATCGTTTATTATTGAATGTTGCAAAATAAAAACAAAAAAGAATTCAAATGAAATATACAAGCATTATTATAATTTTATGAATAACTGAAAACATTTCAGGAAAAATTGAGCGTAGGCAAAGTCGGAAACATAACTTATTTAATTGCGTCTACAACAAATGCATCGGATGAATGAAAGAATGACTGAGGCAACAGTGATAACTGCGAAAACTGCAATAACAACCCAAACCCAAGTTTGAAGATTGAAACAGCACTCATTTTTTAGTGTTCCACAACATGACCAATAATGGAAAACTGATGATTTTCCACAATGTGTTCCCATAAGTATTGGACACCAAACATCGCCATCCTAAAAAATGGGGGTTTATTTTCAAAAGATGTTTATCGCGTAATCCTTTTTCCCTAGGGTCTTTCATCATTTCAAAATGCAAACTCACTTTTGTCGAAGTCACCTCATTCACCGCATTTTTGACTTCTTGTTGGATTTCGGCAGCGAAACTAACAGCAATACAAGCGAAAAGTGTCAAATAACCAAACATTTTCTAGAAAAAAACAACACAATTGTGTTAGGAAAAGCTGGGCGAAAAGAGATTTTAGCGAGATTTAAATACATTACAAATTGGGTGCAATTTGGAGAATTAATCGAGAAGGAGAGAAAATGAAAAACGGAAATGAGATTCAGATATCAAAGTCGTGAAAAATTGCCGAGCAAAAGTCGTAAAACCGATTTAAAACCTTTTTTTTTCTTTTCGAAATGAAAAAAAAACTAATAAACAACAGATTTTTCACACAGATCATAGAAAATGCATTCGCACTCATCTAGAAAAATTTGAGAATGGAAATCGGAATGAAGACTGAAGTTGCGAAAGGTTCAGAAATCGATGAAGTGGACAATTATGAATTGAAAAGTGGGCGAAAAAAAGACGAAGCAACCAAAAAACTGGAAGGAAAATTGCCCTGCCGGTGAAATAAAGAAAAAAGTTCGTCAGATTTGAAACCCGATAAATTGCGTTGAGTCGAATTTAGCTGAGCTGAGCAATACTCCAGAAAAAGCATGGTTGAAAAAAGAAAAAGAGTAAATATTGACATGTTTTCTCTTTTTCTTTAGTGGCGCGAGGTCCAGAAAAAGGAAAAAACAACAAGATGAGACGGAAATAAAACACTTTGAACTTTCGAAAAAAAAAAAGATTTTTGAACAGAATGGAAAAATATATATTGAATTCGGCAAAATGCAATAATCGTTCTCGTTTTTCGATAGATTTTATTTTATTTGTAAAATAAAATGAATAAACATTGAATCATCACCACATTTCAAAGTTTGTCACGCTCCTAATTCTACTTTTTTCTCGCGCGACTGAGCGCCCAAAAAAAAATAAATAACAAGTTCGACAAATTGAGGAAAAATGTGGAGACACGCAATCAGCTCGTTTCCAGAAAACAACAAAAAACATGACAAAAAAGAAGAATAAGAAAAAAAAACGAAATACATACACTTTTTCAAAACAAAAAAATATAGGAAACAACAGGTGGCCATCAAATTCACACTGAAAATGAAAATGATGAGGGAGGGATACTTTGGAAAAAGATAGATTCCCAGTACTTTTTTTCAAAGAAAAAGGAAGACGCACATTTTGTTTGTTTGTGTGTCTTTCAAGAATTTCGAAATGGAATAAAAATACAAAGCCACCCTTTTCGAGAAGAAAATGAGAAAAATAGAAAAAAATTACCGGAAACAACATGCTTTCATCTGGAAAATTTATGTGTTTTTTCTTCATAAACAAAAAAAATCAATAATTTTTACTCAACATCATCAGCATTAAAATTATGATCTTTGTCCGGAAGTTTGTCTCCACTATTTTCTAGTTTATCCTCGTTCAAGTCAATATATTCATTATATTGTTGACTACGGAAACGATGGTTGAAAGCTTCAAAAAAGATGGATTTTTTCGTTGTTCAAAAATATGACTTCAAGGGGTGATTCAGGAAGGAAAAAATATTTTTGAAAGGGAAGTATTTCTTTGAAAAACTTTGTGCAACTAATCCAATTTCTTTTCTCAACGCTGAAAAGGTTGAGAAAAATTATTCAGGAACTTGGAGAAAAACAAAAAACGGTTGAGAAAATGTTATTTTTTCTGTTTTTCTCATTAGAATGAGGTGCTTGACCTGATCTTCGAAATGAAATATTTTGTACGTTTTCAACGAAATTCTAATATCTAAAAGAAGTTGAACTGCCTAACGAAAAATACAATCCCTAGAAAAGTTGGGTTCACGATATGTCAAAAAAATAATTTTCTTATTTTTTCCACAGAAGAAAAACAATCAAGTTTTTTTTTACATTGTTTCTATCTGAATCACCCCTCTTGAAGTGAATCAGCCCCTTGAATTGCAAAATTATGACTCACATTCAATCCAATTATTTTTCGATATAATATCACTTCGATTATCAATCATATCATCAACAAAAACTAAAGGAATCAATCCAATCAATAAACCTAACCATAATCCCACAATTTTTGCGGTAAATGTTATTTTCTGATAATCGACTGTATTCATTTGATCAGATGAAAGTGTTGGTTTCATAAAATTCAAATATCTCGAACAATTTTCAGCAGGGATTTGAAGAATTAAATTAGCCATTATATTGGCAACAGCAGTTGATGCTAACATTGACATTCCATTGTAAACAGAGAAAAAACTGAAAATGTTTTTTTTTGTTGTTTCAATTGAATTTTCAATTATTTTAAATCTCATTTAAAAATAAAACAACAAACTGACTGGTTAATTGCATCTCCTCCAATTATCAAACAAGCTTCATCCAATATTCCAAAAACAAACATTGGAATAAAATTGAGATACCAAAGTCGTTTCACATCTTCGTGATGTATTTCAGTTTTAATTACTTCTTTATGCTCATTATATTGATCAGCTGTGATTTTTCGAAGTGTGTCAAATATCAATTTTCGTTCGCCGGGAAGTAATTGAGATGAAAACACTTTGGCATCATCGCTGTTTTGAATTCCATGCGGTAAAATTGACTTTTTTGTGAAGAACTCGCGTCTAAAAAATTCCAGATTTTTTAAGAAAAATATAAATCTGAAAATTCCAGATTTAAACCAAACTCACTTTTTCGGTCGCTTTTTTTCAGCCGCTTCCGAACATGGAGGAATTGAAGAGGAAGAAGGAGTACAAAATAATCTATGATGTCTTGATATTATTTTTACAAATGACTTGTTCATTTTTCAAATTGTTCTAAAAATGCCATTTTTTCTTCAAAAAAAATTATACAGTATGTCATCACGTGACACACCCTTTTACGCTGATAATAAAACAGTATTTAACAACGAAACACACAAATTTTTGAGAGAGTGCGATACATGATATTTTTATCAATGGGGCGCACTTCCATTTTCACTTTTATTTTCTTGTTTTTGTTTTTCGGAAACTAGTCGCTTCCAAAACAAAATTTTGTTTAAAAAAGGAAAAAAATACAAGTAAAACAACGACACTCAAAAAAAGCCTGTTGTTTAATTTTCACACAATGTTTGAGCGGAGTGTCGTTATTTTATTTTTATAAGATTGCGCGTAGGATTTGGTGTTTGCGGGTAATCGGTGTTGGCACACACTCTTATTTTTTCGTTTGGTTTTGGATTTTTCATTTCATTCACGTATTTTTTGTTTTTTTTTTCATAAATTTGAATGAAACTTGTTGTAAAATTCATATTTATCTACATATTTTCTTTTGTTCCTAGTACAAGTAACATAAGTTTAGTTGATTTTCAATAGTTTTATACTAGAACTGGTGCTCAAAGAGTAGTTTTATAAAAAATCTACATTTTTGAATTTTTCTTCAGTTTTTATTTAGATTTCACTCAATTCTATTTTACAGGAAAAACGTCAGCAAAATGATGGAAATATCGGAACAATTTATGAAGCGAATTTTGGTTGGATGATTTTCAAAAACGAGGAAAACTGGAGGAAAAGTGAGTTTTTCAACATTTTTTAAAGAAATTTTTTAAAGCAAAACTTGCTACTTTTTCCCTAAGACGTGATTAAGCTCTGGCAAGCGAGTTTGAGGTTACTATTTTATTAAACAACGCATGTTCGCCCTATTGACAAATGTTTTTTCTCTAACCGTCTCTCAAATATTTTGTCGTTGCGTTACGGGAGGGTGCGCGTGAATATGTTTAAAATTTTTATTTATCACAAAAATGTACATGATTGCACATGAAAAACGAGATCAATTTTGTTTTAGTTTTCCTTGAGATTTTCCAAAGCAGCAGAATACTTTACAAATCACAAATCGGAGAGTTTTGTAAATTAGGAATAGAATAATCAAAACAATTAGGAGAAGTGTAGCCATAACATCCAAAGAATGATATTGGAAGAAATTGAGTTTTTGACCAGCTGGCACAAGATTATCAAGAGTTTTAAATTCTGCCAAAAATTCGGACCATCGAAGGAGCAATTCATTTGCTTTGAAAGGTTGTTTACGGACCATTGAAGAGAATCTTTGAGCATTTTTCGAATAATTTGGATTATTTATAATTTCTCGAATTGCATCAGAAACTGTTTGTTTTGAAATTGTTCCTTTTGCAATATTCACAGCGAATCCATGTTTTTTCGCAAGTTTTGCATTTTTTGGTTGATCTCCAAATAAAGCAATTGTTATCATTGGAACTCCAGCAGATATTGATTCTTGCAAACTATTATATCCTCCGTGAGTAATAAATGCCTTGGTTTTTGGGTTGAGTAAAAGATCTTTTTGAGGTAACCATTTTGAAATATGAACATTTTTTGGGAGACGATCATTGAGATCATCTGCAATATATCTCATGAAGAATTGATAATCTGGGAATTCAGCAAAAGCTTCGAGGATTGAATTTTTCCAAGCTTCTGGCATTTCGTGAGCAGCGGCTACTGAACCAAATGAAAAAACAATTGTGCCTTTTCCACTATCAACGATTTTCTGAAAAATTTCAGAATTTCGTTTTGGGTTTTGAATTTTCTGATTCATAATATTACTAACAATACATAAATGTACAGTAATCTTTTCTGAGACTTTTCTGAAATCCTCAAAAAAATTGCTTACCTGAATTTCTGGTTTCAATGGTTTTGCACTATCAAAACCAACACCCAATCCACCAATATTAATAACTTTTGCAAGAAGTGGACGTGGAAGATCATATAATTCATTTGTATTCACAATAACCAATGGGCATTTCTGGCTAATCTCCAAAGTGCTTGGGAAATTTGGATCATTCAATTCTTCTCGAAAAACTGCTGTATTAGATTCAGCCATCAAACCAACAATAACACCTGATAAAGCATGTCCGATGAAACTTTTAGTTCTCTCGAAAAATGTCATTTCATCGGTTGATTCCATCATAACTGGAGGAACATAACTTGGAACTGTTGGAACTCCAATTGCACTTGCAACATGATCTAACATTGGTCCACTGTTCAACCAAACCCATGAAGGAATTCCAGCATAATGAATAATTCCTTGAGGACAAGTTGAATATACATAAGCATAGGCTACATCGAAATTCTCGTTTTTGATCCACGCCAAGAATTTTTTATCTTGCAAAACTTTGCGACAACCTTCGTTTAATAAATTAGTAAATTTTTTCATCATAGTCATAAGCCTTGTGTCCAAAATACTTGTCTCTTGAAATATCATTTTTGCTTGCTCTTTCTCAATTTCTGCTTTGCTCGCTCCTTCAACAAATGCATTCAAGTTATAAGCTGAAATTATTATTTTTGAAAATAAAATGTGTACTTTTAGAAAAACTCACATTTAACACCTTTTGGAATTTTGACATCTGATGTGTTATAATCCGAAAAATGGCTGACAAATAACATTGTGACATCATGTCCACCGCCAACCAAAGTTTCAGCAACTCGCGAACAAAATTGAACCTACAGAAAAAAATTTAATCAAATTTCTCTTTTGAAGCTTAACAAACCTGGCTATTCGAAATATTTGGCACAAAAATCACATATTTATAAGAATTCACAATTCCAACTAGAAAAATCAAGAATATGGGAAACAAATGCATGCTCAAATCAAACAATAAATAAAAAGGAGAGAGTCTGTATTTATAGAGTAGTTTGCATCATTGATAAAAAGAGAGGTTGACAGACAAAAAAGAGATAGTATTGCGAACAAAAAACCATGTGAAGAAATACTTAGTTGTGGTCTCTGTTTGACACAAAATGACAACAAATAGAGAGTTTTGTGATTTCTAATTGGAACAAAATTAAAAGATCAAAATGTTGTTTCTTTGATGTTTTTTTGTTTCTATGGGAAAATATCGACAAACAAAAAAAATTTATTATCTGCAATCTTTAATTCTTACGAATTGTAAAATTCCACTCGCTGCAACTGTTGAAATCGCTGATAAAAGTGCAAGATATGCTGAATATCCTAATGAACTGTCTGTGTATTCAGATAGATTATCTGAGTTAATTGCAAAAATCAGGAATGTGATAAATTGTTCCAAGGAAATGACGCTGGCAATAATTGAAGTGAGATTGACGAAATGTCCCAAATTATAAGAGTAGCCTTGAATTGTGAAGCGATACCTGGAAATACTATTTTCTTTAGTAGCTCTTTTTTGTTGTCCCCATTGGGGACTGGGCCGAGCTCAGCAGCAGTGCAACGCTGAGACGACCCTTGGAAAGTCGGAGCAAGCCCCGAGTCTTTCCTAGGTTCCAAAAATCATATAACCTTAATTACATTCATTCGAATGTATACCGTAGGTTAATACGATAAGAACAGATACTACACTTTGATCTTAGAAGGAATGCTTCCCAAAGTGACCCCACCGATTTGGATGAGACTGGGTGGAAACTTCTTAGTATTGGCGGGTATGAAAAACCCTAGGGGATTTTTCCAACAAAAATTTATTTCCTGACTTAGGCTAAGTTCGAGATTTTTTGACTCAAAAAGCATGTTTCAACTTCAAAAATTCATAATTGAGTTCATTTTCAAGTAAATGACTCGACTAAAAAACCAAAATGTAGCTAAAACACTGTAGTTTTCGAAAAAAATAGACCTGAACACGAAAAAATTTTTGAAAATTAAAAAATGGGGTCACAAGGAGAATCAATTTTTTGCCTCATCACGTACTTGATGAAAGGAGGCAAGTACGTGAGTTCTAGTAGCGATTTTCGAACTCTACGCGCAAAATTAGGTCTAGGGACCCATTTTCAGAAAAATTGACCGTTCTATATTAACATATCGTATTTTTATGTCCCATTTCAAGATGAAAATCCGGCAAAAAAGTGAATTTTTTGGGTGTAACTGTTCATGGCCGAGTGGTTAGCATGCATGGTTACCAAGAAATCGGTCGTAGGTTCAATCCCCATGCTGACATTTTTTTTCAAAGCTACATCAAAGTCTAACTTATATTTATCTGAAATTGATTTGTTTCGGCTCAATTATTAGCAAAAAGTGAAACCTTTGAAAAAGAAAAAAAATCCTCAAAGCGCAAATGCTTGACGGAACGTTAGGTGAGGTTTGACTCCATGTCAGACTGACCCTCAATGCATGGCTCCTCGAAAGACACACTCTCAAGGCGTGGCTCCTTGAGGAAATACGTTTTCAACGCGTTGCACCTTGACAAAGTGATCCTCAAGGCGTGACTCCTTGAAATATACGCTCTTAAAGCGTTGCTTCTGGACAAGTTGAGCCAAGACGTGAATCCTTGGAAGACACGCTCTCAAGGCGTGGCTTCTTGACAAGCTGACCCTCAAGGCTTTGCTCCTTGACAAACCGACATTTTGCGAAAAATCGCTTGAGGAGCGGTTCCTTGACAGTAAAAATGTCAAAGTTCTTGACAAAACAAACATTACTTTCCTTGACAGAGGACTTTCAAGGAGCCACGCCTTGAAAGCATGTCTTTCAAAGTGCCACGCCTCGAGGGTCGGTTTGTCAAAGAGCCACGCCTTGAGAGTGTGTCTTTCGAGGAGCCATGCCTTGAGGGTCAGTCTGACATGGAGTCAAACCTCACCTAACGTTCCGTCAAGCAATTGCGCTTTGAGGATTTTTTCTTTTTCAAAGGTTTCACTTTTTGCTAATAATTGAGCCGAAACAAATCAATTTCAGATAAATATAAGTTAGACTTTGATGTAGCTTTGAAAAAAATATGTCAGAATGGGGATTGAACCTACGACCGATTTCTTGGTAACCATGCATGCTAACCACTCGGCCATGAACAGTTACACCCAAAAAATTCATTTTTTTGCCGGATTTTCATCTTGAAATGAGACATAAAAATACGATATGTTAATATAGAACGGTCAATTTTTCTGAAAATGGGTCCCTAGACCTAATTTTGCGCGTAGAGTTCAAAAATCGCAGCTAGAACTCACGTACTTGCCTCCTTTCATCAAGTACGTAATGAGGCAAAAAATTGATTCTCCTTGTGACCCCATTTTTTAATTTTCAAAAATTTTTTCGTGTTCAGGTCTATTTTTTTTCGAAAACTACAGTGTTTTAGCTACATTTTGGTTTTTTAGTCGAGTCATTTACTTGAAAATGAACTCAATTATGAATTTTTGAAGTTGAAACATGCTTTTTGAGTCAAAAAATCTCGAACTTAGCCTAAGTCAGGAAATAAATTTTTGTTGGAAAAATCCCCCTAGGGTTTTTCATACCCGCCAATACTAAGAAGTTTCCACCCAGTCTCATCCAAATCGGTGGGGTCACTTTGGGAAGCATTCCTTCTTAGCTAATAAGCCGAAGAAGCGATAGAGAGAATTGATAATGCGCTATTATAAATAATCAGCGCTGCAGACAGCTGGCTGGTTGTGCGTGGTTGCATCGAATGCATGCAAAGTGGGCGGAGCTTAGTTTTGCTTGAGGGAAAAGTGTTGAGTTTTTTGAGGAAAAAACTGGAAATAATGTTTTCGGGGTGAAATTTTATGCTGAATAAGGAAAAATTGATGAAAATTTTGAGAAATTTAAATACACGATTTAACGTGACTCTATTTTTTATTTTTCATTTTAACTTTTGTGGAGAATGTTTCGTTTTGGCTGTCAAACAGAGTGAAACCGATTTTTTTGGAAAAAAGCTGTAAATATGTTAGGTCTAAAAATTTCGGGAAATCTTTTTGTTAGAAAATAATACTCTGTGAATATCCTATCAGAGAAAGTTCAACATTTATTGTTCACCAATGATTTTCAAGAAAAGTGACTAATCCATTTTTCAAATCTCCAGATGTCCATTTCTCAACAAACGTTTTCAATTTATTTTTTCCTCCAAATTGTTCCACAATTTCCTTCAAATCAATTTCACTTCTACTCACAATTGTTCGAATCATCCTTTTTCTATCACCACTTTTAAAAAGACGAGCAAAATAATTTGATTTGTTTCGAATAACTTGAATAAGTTCTTTAAGTGCCTGATTAATATAACCACTTGTTTCTTCATCAATTGCAACTTCAATTTCATGATAAGCTGCGACAAATATCTTATGTGATCGATATTCTTTGAAAACCAATCGAAGTTGATCGAAATTTTGTTTGACCAAAATTTCGTTGAAAACTTCTTCGTTTGTATGAAACAACGAAGCAACTCCAGCTTCATGCAATCTATTCGCATCTTTTTTTGCTTTTTCAATATTTGTATGCTTTGATTCATCTCTTTCTGCTGCTGCAATTAGAACTAAAAAATCTTCCAAATCTCCTTCCGTGTCATCTTTCAATTCTTTCACAAAATCTTTATGATACAAATTCCAATAAGCTTTCTTAATTTCATTGATTTCTTTATTTGTTCTTGATACCAAAATTTCGATCAAAACATCTTCATCAGTTCCAAATCCGTTCATCGCATCAAACAATAATTTCGCTTCATAATATGGTTTTGTATCAAGTAATGCTATTATGAAATATTTGAAATCATCATCGCTCAATTTTTCGTTCAAAACTTCTTTCAAATCTTGACCAAAAGTGCTGTGATATAAATCAATTATCTTCTGAATCTCCGAATTGTTACGATTACATAATATTCTAATGACTTCCGTGGTATTTAAGGTTCCTTCAAGTGCTGATTTGAGATCTCGAACATCAGATGTTCCGACATTTTTGGTGGAAACGGTATAAACACAGAAAAATAGAAGACAAATCCAATGCATTTTTGGTTTTTTGGTTGATTTATTGGTTGTCTTGGTTTTTAAATTGAAATTCGGGGTATAAACCTTGAGAAAATTCTATTTTTAGAAGATTTTCAGAAGAACTGCTTGAGAAATTTGACAAAACAAATTTTTAATAGCAATAAACTTACACAACAAAAATAAAAAGTGGCGCAAGAATGAGATATGAGGCAAAAGAGCAATACATAAGAACACTTCCAAGACGAAACCAAAATGGCATATCCTAAAATACTTATACTACACAAAATTATTCTAAAATTTCCAATGAAAACCCACATTTCTGAATGGAACAATTCCATAATAAGTATATCCAATATATTGATTCACACAAATCCATCCATTCGTAAACATCGAAACAATATCCAATGAAAATCCAATTATCAAACCAACACTTATCAAAACTATTTTCAACATTTTGTCTTTTTTTCGTCAAAAAAAATGAAATTTTTGAAAAATTCAGTGGTACCCACCCACTTTAATCCTCTTTCTTATCATTTTTGCACTTTTTCCGTTCGTTGATAATTATGTTATTGCTCCTGTCAAAAAATGAAAGGAATCATTTGAAGAAAAAAAAAACGAGAGTCGTAAAAGGTGTTGGACAAAAAATAATATTGTAGAAAAAATGAGGAAAATTGGAAAGTTATTGAGAGAAAGCGGAAATTAATAAGGATTTTGAAAAATTATGAGAGATGATCTACAGTACCGAAAGAGTACTGTAGAAACCGTAAGTATCTGATTCCATGAAATTTGTGTATTTTTTGTAAAGATTCCGAAAATGTTAATATAAATAACATTTCGGGATTACTGTAGAATTCAAGTGAGAAAAAAAACTTCTACAAAAAAATTTATATAGAATTTATTTTTACGAAATATAAAACTCCTTCATTTCAATAAATCGTCAAGTTTGAGATTATTAGAGAAATCCATGCTGCTTGTGAAAATAATAATTTCAAGTTTCAAAAAAAACTCTGAAAGTATCAAATCCCACTTCATTTTTTTTGGTTCAGAAAATATTTCACAATTTATTGTTTACACATCTCTCCTATTTCTTTTTTTCTTTGATGAGTCAACTTGTTTCAAAGTCAAGTAAGGTTCAATTTTTTCCAAAAATAGAATTTTATTCACATATTCTAAAAAGTTCAGTTTTAGGATTTGCATTTGCAATGCAAAATTTACTGTGAAATTTTTTTGTTCAATTTTTAAAAAATCATGCATGAAATTTCTAATCTTATATTGTGAGCCAAAAGTTCTGAAATAATTTTATTAATTTTGAGCTCTTCGAATTTTTCATGAGATAAATTACAGTATTGTCGATCTGAAAGTTTTGCCTAAAAACCAGAAGTTTCAGCTGTACTGCAAAATTTAATTTTCAAATTTTCAAATCCAATTTCAAAACCCTGAACTTGTAGAAGCGCTAATTCTACCTTTGTCACACATTTTTCGCTCAGATCAGGAAATATTTCAAAATTTTGTTGATTTCCTATTTACACATCTGTCCTTTTTCCTTCCTTGATGAGTCAACTCGTTCCAAAGCCAAGTCAAGTTCAATTTTTTACCGTTGTGTGCTCACAAATTTTTCCGCTATTTGTTTAATATCACCGCAAAAATTCGAAAAGTGGTAAATATTTATCAATGCCAATCTCCACCCTACTTTTTTCATTTGATAAGTTAGTCGACTAAAAGTTTTTAATAGATATCCAGAATTTTCGCTCATTTTTGTTTCATGGCTCACATTTTTTTTTCGTATTTTATTTGATCAGCGGTGGGTGGCTGTGTTAGTTAGTTAGTTATTAAATACAAACAAAACAAAAACGTACTACCTTTACTTTTTGGTTTTTGTTAGTTTCTCAATTATTTACGAAAATAATTTATTCCTTGTTACTATTTTTCATTAAGAATATCAAATTTCTTCAGGTTTCCGTTTCTTTTTTTTAGTCATTCTCATATTTTTTCCAGGACCACCATGTCTTTTTGTGTATTTTTCTCGCGATTCACAGTTTTCGTCATGAATTTGGCCCAACTTTTAGTTGGTTTGGCTGTAATTGCGCTAACACTTTGGATCCGGTTTGATAAAAGCTTTGAATCCGAAATTCGCCAAAATATTTTGCAAGAAAATGATGCGGAACCTTTGTCTGCCGATAAATACGACATCAGAGTTGGGGTAAGTTGTTTAATAAATAGTAAGAGCAAATAGAACACGGTTTCCCCCACACAAATTTCTTTTGAATTTCAAGTTCCTTATTTTGTTGTCCCCTTGGGGGACTGGGCCGAGCTCAGCAGCAGTGCAACGCTGAGACGACCCTTGGAAAGTCGGAGCAAGCCCCGAGTCTTTCCTAGGTTCCAAAAATCATATAACCTTAATTACATTCATTCGAATGTATACCGTAGGTTAATACGATAAGAACAGATACTACACTTTGATCTTAGCTAATAAGCCGAAGAAGCGATGCAGAAAAATGAAAACGCGCTGATAAAAATAATCAGTGCTGCAGACAGCTGGCTGGTTGTGCGTAGTTGCATTGAATGCATGCAAAGTGGGCGGAGCTTAATTTTGCTTGAGGGGAAAATGTTGATTTTTTTTGAGGAAAAAAGCTGGAAATAATGTTTTTGGGTGAAATTTTACGCTGAAAAAGGGAAAATTAATGAAAAATTTTAAGAAATGTATGAAATTTATGAAATAAACTCAAACGTGACCTTAATTTTCCTCTTTTCATTTCAAAATTTTGGAGGATTTTATTTTTTCCGCTCTCAGCGACACTTTTCTTTTGGAAAAAAAACTGTAAATAAAGATTTTTAGGGTGAAACTTTTTTTTAAAACCTAAAATTTTGGAGAAAAAACTTCAGACTCCAAAACCAATTTATCAAAGTTTTTAAATTTAAAAAAATCTAAAATTTGCAGATAATCGTTGCATTTTGGGTGATAATTGGTTTTGCAATCGCAAATGTTTTGATCGGTTTGGTTGGAATAATTGGAGCAGTTTTGAAGAATCGTTTCCTTTTGGCACCATATTTTATATGTGAAGTTTTGCTGTTTTTACTTGAAGCAGCAATTGGCATTGCAATGTTATTCAAAAGAAAAACTGTGAGAAGAATTGTCAAAAAATATGTCTACGATTCTTATAACATGAATTCAGTCTCAGATATTCAAGCATTCAATAATCGGGTTGGTTTTTTTCTTGTGTTGCAAACTTGCAATCTCCCCGAAACCTTTCTAACTTGAAATTCAAATATTCTTTTCAGTACAATTGCTGCGGAGCTGACAATCTACCAAATGTTTCCTGTTTCGCCGGCCAACCAACATGTTCTTCTGCAGTTTGGGATCGTCTCGATTTCACAATGATGATCTTCGGAATTTCAATGCTCGGAGTTGTTGTTCTCCAAATTATCGTCTCACTTTTCACAGTTCCAATCATTTTGGAAGGAAAACGAGAAACATCCTATTATAGCAGAAGAGTTTCAGCCGATTCTTAAATCTAATTTTGGAGAGAATAATTGTGCTCTTCATAAGAATGATGCGGGTTTTGAATAAAGTTTTGAATTTTGAATGAAAAAAATAATAACAAACAACATTTTTCAATCTACAATTTTTTATTTGGCAAAGAAAAGGCTAGACTCTTGTTGTTGAATGTATTTATGGTGGTCCCATGTAGCAAGATTGATCGGTACGAGCTTTGAATACTTGGGCTCCTGGATTTGTAGTTCCTGAAAAATGAAAAAATTTTGTGGAGGGAGGCCTCAATTTTTGGATACTAAAAAATATTCAGCTATAAATTGAAGACTGAATTCTGAGAGGCTGACAATCTACAGTTCCCCACCAATACTTACCTCCAGATGTTTGTCCTCCACTGCTTCCTCCTTGAGCATAATCTTCACGAGCATAACCGGATGACGAAGCATTCGCTCCCATATATCCTGACGAATATCCTCCAGCTCCCATATAGGCCGATTTGTCTCCCATTATTTCTGTTCAGAGAAGGCTCGTCTTTTGTTTAACTAGATAACAGTTAGATTTTATGGGCTCGGCGAGCTTGTTTTATAGGATACTGATAAGGATCTTCGTGTTGGAATTGTTGAGCTGGATTCAGGATGTGTCACGTTTAAAATATTTGAAGTGTTTATTTTGGTTGCTGCTCAAAGAAAAAATTGAAAGTAAAATTTAAAACGTGACATTTTTCAAATAGAAAAAAAACAATTCAAATCTCCGCCAAACCCGGTTATTTCTTAAAATTGAAAAAGCTGAAAATGGATCCACCAGTAAGTCGTATTGGTTGGAATAATGATCAAAATCATAAAGTCGATGACAAAATTATGCAAACTCGAAGAGAAATCGAAAAAGCAAAAAAATATAATGAAAGAAAATGTGCAAAAAATAATGGAAAGACAACAGAATTTGGATGAATTGGTTGAAAGAGCACGTAAGTTTTTTTCTGCAAACACTTCACGATAAATTGCACACATTTTCAGAGCGCCTTGAAGCAGCATCAGATGAATATGTCAAATGTGCTGTGAGAATTCAACGCAAAGCTCATTGGCGTCATTATGCGGTGCAATATTCAATGATTGGTGCAACTGCTATTTGCACTGTTTTCGGCCTCGTTTGGACTTTTGTATAAACATCTATGAATTTGTACCTTTTAATTGTATTTTATTTTATTCGAGAAATAAAGATGTAACTCGGTCAGGATTATTTTTCTTACAATTAGTTAGGATACAACAAATTAGGGTTACTGTAATTGATATTCACAGATTTTTTGTGGAAAAATTACTGTAGATCAAAAATATTGGGATACTGTATCTAAAATCAAATTATTAATTGTAAGTACCTCCCTCTTTCCAAGTTTCCTTGAACTCTTGTGTTTTTTCTCTTAGCAGCTGCCAAGGTGTGAAAACCGGGTATCAAATTTCAAAGAAACCGTTTTGTTTCTATTAAATACATTTATTCAAAGGTCATGATTTATAAGCAAAAATATATACATTTTTTGTTAAAGCAATAAATATATAAAACTTCTTAATAATAAAATGCACAAAAAGCACCGGTCAACGAAAAATACCCGTAAAAACTGAATAACTAAACTACAAAATTTTCAAAAAAATCTTAGACTGATTCGAGTCCTGAATCATCATTTGAAATTGGCGATGTAATTCCTCTTGGTCGATTGGAAGATGTGAAAAGTTGAGTTTGTGGTGGTGGAAACATTGGTGGAGGTGGTCGATGATAAGTTTGATATCCATCTCGAGTTGTATATGCAGAATGATATAATTCATTTTGATGTTGTCCAAGAGAAGAAGCTGAATCTAATGGTGACGTCATTGTTGAATCAGATTTATTTGAAGATGTCATCCAATAAGTCAATGGTTTGTTATGTTGTTCCCAAGGCATATCATATCGATTATTATCTTCAATCATTTCATGTCCTTTTACACTTATATAAGGATGAAATCTTGGATTCTTCTTATTCTTTTTCTCATTCATTTTTCTTTTATTTCTCAAAAACATAACCAAAACAATTGCAAATGCTGTGGATGAAATAACTGCAATTACAGCCAATATCAATACTCCTAAATGAACCATTCGTTCATCCGAAAAAATCGAATAAATTGATGCAGTTTTCAAAGCATTTGGATCACTTCCAATTTCTTGATTTATAATTGAAATATCTTTTGGATCTGGACACCACGGACATCTTTCAGTGTGTTTTGTGATAATTAAAGTGGCATTGAAACATTTTCCTTTGATATTGAGAAGAAGCGAATCATCAGGATGTGGTGGAGGATTTGGAGATTCAGTGGTTGGAAGATGATCTTTATGATGGTGAAGAACCTGAAAAAATATTGATATTAGAAGGATTTGTGGTTATTTGAGAATTTGGATATTAAGTAACAATTTCAAGACATTTTGCGAACTCTGGTTACTGTAGATCACACTTAGTTTTCAGAAATCTTATAATCTAGCTCAAAAACCCATCAGTCAATCTAGATAAAAATCTTAATGTACTTAACTTCTTAACTTAAATTCTTAAACAGGTGTGAACATCAAGATAACATCCAATTATGAGCCCATCAAAAATATGATCTATCTATGAATTTTTCTTTTCCCCACCAAAAAAATTGACAAACCTTAATTTTCTGTTCTTCGGGGAACATTCGAATCGATGGAGTTTGATCACAAATTCTTGGAAAACCATAAGTTCTGTCAATTCCAACAACTTGCGCAGATAATGAAATATCTTCCAATTTTCCAGAAGGCCAATAAGTGACAAATGGATGAATTGAGTCCTGACAAAAATATAAATATATTACGTAATTTATTTGGCTTTTTGATGTTTGCCGATTATTGTCTGCTAATTGAAGGGATTGCGTAACATGTGACAGGTAAGTGTGAAAATAGAAGAGACAAAGAGGATTATATAGGAAATCGGAGCCCTTTTTGGAATTATTTTTAATTATAACCTACCTTGACAAAATGTTCACTGATTGGCCAATTCACCGAAACGCGTTCATTGACTGGCAAAAGATCTTTGACAAGCTGTAAAAATGAAAATATGGCCTAGGAATCCAAGTGTTCTAGTCCCCGCGAAAAAAATAGACAACGAAATTGTCAATAAAATTTTCATCGGTTTTTCACAAGCATCGGTGGTTCAGTGGTAGAATGCTCGCCTGCCACGCGGGCGGCCCGGGTTCGATTCCCGGTCGATGCAATCTTTTTTGTTTTTTTTTCAAATTCTTACCTGAAATCTTGGTTGACTGCAAAGCGCGGTTGTTAAACATCCTTCTCTCCAATCAATCGAATTAACTTCAGCCGAAAGCCAAAATTGTTCGCCCAAAACTACGCCAATCAGGGTGCAAAAAATGAGCATCTCTGAAAAACAAAACATACACTTTAGATATCTACATAAGGAAAAAAGTTCTAGCGAGAAAAAAACGGGGCACAAAAAATATAAAAAATTGATGATGAGTGCATTAGTGTGGAATACATTAAATGAGAAGAGGAATGGCCCAAAAAAATTAATGAGGTTTCGTTTTTGGAACGAAACTTGCTAATAAATGAGAATAAAATAACCTTGAAAGAAACAAACACAAATTGAGATCTGATCAGGTTGGTCAACACATCAGACAAAAAAAAACATTGGAAAAAATAACAGACAAAAAAGGGGGCGTGGCTAAAGAAATGAAAGGGGGAAGAATTAAAGGGACAGGTGAGAAATCGGAAAAAATACACATAGATTAGCGGTTTTCTGTAAAAGGAAGGAAAGGAATAAGGCGGATTTAGACATGGATTTGGGAAATCAGGATGCGCGAAAATGAGCATTTTTAAGAAATAATTATTTAGAAGAAGAAAATGTAGTTCAAGAGAACTACAAAAATAAGGTGTGAACAATTTGGATTTTTGGGAAAGAATCTAAAATTTTGGAAAGTTGCCAAAAAAAGTGAATTTTTTTGAAAAAAAAATGGGAGAAGAAGCTGAGTTCTAAGAATCCTAAAAATTTTACGAAAAATCACACAGAAAATTCAGGATTTCAGAATAGTTTTTGTTCTGTGAGAAACACAATTTCCTAGATATTCAAAAAAATATTCACCAGAAAAATATTTAGGATCATTTTTCATGTGAGCTAGGTATTTTCAAATTTTAAAAATTTCAGAAATCAAAAAACATAATTAGAAAATGTTTGGAAAATTCAGAAATCTTATCCCTCTGGACAGAATTTATTAGAACTTCAAAAAAATTCTCCAAAATTCTTATCCGCCCGAACTACAGCGGATAACTCAAATAACCAACCAAAAATGAGTGTAGAACATATGTAAAACAGCGCACTGAATTTCAAATTATGCGTAGTTCCGGACCACCGGAAGCGGTTACTCTTTTACGCAAATAAATATACCCTAGCCTTCCCCAGAAAAAAAGGAAATGGTGAACATTTTTCACAATGGTGCTAAAAATCAGCAAAAAGGTGCTAATGAAAAATAAATAAATACTAGGAATAATAATGCACTGAAGATGATGAAGAAGAAATCAGTATCTTCTTCTTCATCTTTTTTTTCGGCGCGCACTTTTTTTTGTTCCTCTTGAATCAAGTGGAAATGCACTTGAGCCTATTCAAATTATGTACAAATTCTTCAGAAAAAAAAGAGATTACTGTATTTATGACAATTTTTGCACTAAATAGATATTTAGATATCAAATAATAATAAAAAATAATAATATCCGGGGAACAGAAAGGTAGATATTATGAAAAACAAATAAATATTAGCAGGGGGGACCTTATAAGGTGTATCATAAAACATATTTTATGATGTTTTTTGAAAATTTATTAGGGTTTGGGCTAAATTTGGGAAAACAACAGGTGCATGATTCCGGTGGGTTTGGGAAAGAATTTGAAAAAGGGTAGACATGAGACTTTGGAAAAGCTGGATTCTGGAACTAGACTCTACTAGGAGTCTGGATACGTGGATTCTTGAGCTAAAATTTGCTCTTGCTGGGAAAAATTGTTCTATTCAAAAAATTTGGATTGCGAATTGTTACAGTGAGAATTTCAGAGCTCCGTTTTTTAGGTACGGTAATTTGCTCTAAAGGAGCACTGAAGTCGTGGCTTTTCGCGTCAAAATAAAATTTACTGTAGGAATTTTGATTTTCCGACAATAATCTAGAAAACTTTAAGCCAAACAACACGCTGAAATTTCAGATTATCAAAAATAGACCTACAGTAATTATTGATTTTCCGAAGAAAATTTGAGCTACAGTAATCTTCAATTCTAAGTACTGTAAGAATTTTGAAACGCTAAAATAGCCCGAACTTTTTAATTTTAAAAAGTAAATATATCTCGCATACAGAATTACAGTATCCCAAGTTTGGGTGACAAAATAATGAAAAATCACAGAACTACAGTATTTTTCTACAGTGTCCTCAGAAAAGCAATTCTCAAAACTCAAAAAAATTAACAAATTAGTCATCAACAAAATGGGGGGAAGGTATAAATGTCTTCTCATCAAATAAAAATATCCAATATCTGGTTACCTATAAGAATAAAAAAATGTAGGAGGAAGAGGGTCAGTTTCAAGTTGACACAAACATCAAATAAAATGTGCCGCCTTCTCTACTTCTTCTTCTGCGCATCATCTTACAACAATTATACCACCACCTTTCCTTTCCTTTCCTTTTCCCCCTTTACATCCATTTTTTTCTGATGCTCATCCATCATAAATGTCAATACATCGATAGATGAGAAAGAATAGGTATTGGTTACCTTAAAAAACGAGCCGACGAGAAAAAAACAAACTATTTGCACAACAAATTGGTTGGTGTAATGAATGAAGAGATGAATCGGACAGATTAACAAGTTTTTTGGAGTTTTGGTAGAGATAATGGGTCAAGTTTGGATAATGCTCCTTTGAAGTACAGTATCTCGAGATTATTTTCAGGTAGATCAAAGATATTTTTCTAGAAATTCTTGAAGGCAACTTTGAAGAATTCGAAGTTAGCACAGTAACCCAAAAGAAAAGAACTGCAAGATTTACAGTACCCCGGAAACACTAAAGGAACAATCCAAAAATACTAAAACAGGGTTTTACAGGAAAAATATCAGGAACCCAAAAATTTTAAAGATACAAATCCACGTGGAAAAAATACGGGGTTACTGTATTTACTTTCTAGAATGTCTAAAGATCTGGTTACCGTAACTCAAAAATTATACCGAGGATCTGTAGGATGTTCAAGGCTCTAAAAAGTTTGAAATCGAGAGTCTTACTTCCAGAAATTTAGGAAATTTTAATCCTGAGAGAAATTCGAAATTTCAAAAATTGGTTTCTACAGTAGCCCAAGAGAATCCAAAAATTTTCCCGGGATTTGTGTTGAAAAATGTGAGAAACTTGGTAGTTACCAATAAACAAGTATAGCAGCAAATTATTCAAATATTCTCAAGTGTTTGTCTTTATGATTATTCTCATTATTAGTTGAGCAAAAGCATCGCTCAACTCTCGAAAAAAAAACGTTTTTTTTTCATTTTTTTCTCCAAGAAACTTGAAACTCTTTCTTTCTTCCTCGAAAAAAATCCAAGAAATCCGATCACTTTTGGCCTTTTCTCACTTTTTCTTGTTGTAAAAACAACAAAGATGCTTTTTTTAATTATACATGTTTTTGGTCAAAAAAAAGATGGACAAAATGTATATATTGGGTAATAATTAGGATCGAAAAAGCCGACTGGATTTAGTAGAAAAAAAGGAAATGAAGAGGAATAAAAAATGAACACCTGGTCATTGAGACAAAAAAAGTTGAAGAGGGATATTTGGATTAGGCGGATTTTAGGGTTAAGAATTTCTTAGGGAGAGGCGTTTCTCAGAATTTTTAGTTTCAAAATATTCATCACATCAGAAAAATTTAATTTCCGGGAAAAAATGAAATTTACCTAAAAAAATCAATTCCAAAAAATTTCAGACTTTGAAAAATTGGACCAAATCTGGATTTTCATTTTTCAAAAGTTCTAAAAGAAATAGCTAGGTTTCGTAATTCGAATAAAATGCTCAACTTCGTCTCCCCAAACTTCACCAAGCCGAAAAATCCCCCACTAATATATGATTTACAACATTTTATAGGTGTCGAAGAGCGTGTCATAAATAATAAAAACATCTGTGGAAACAGGAAGAGAAAAGGGCAAAACTAGCACAAAACAGAGAAAGAAGAAAAAGAAGAAAACTATAAAAATTGTATTTTGAAAGAATTGAACAGGTGTTCAAGAATACTACATACTTTTTATTACCAGACTGGACTAGTGACTTGGATTGTGTTTGGAATAAAATAAAATAGCGATAAAATTTGACTTTGTGAAATTAACAAAGAAGTGGTGAATTTTGGCCCCAGTTAATTTTTTTTTTGAAAATTTAAAAGCAGGTATTTCGAATTTCTAAATTAAATTCAAAAAATCAAGAAATCTTCTTCCAAATTTTCTCCCAAACCCCAAATTCTTCAAAAATATTGATTTCCGGTCTCAAAAAAACGTGGATTTTTCCCACCTAAAATTCCCAAATGAAAAAAAGTTTCAAGACAAAAGCTCACTGAAAAAAACGTCTAAAACCTTCTTCGTCTCCTCCAAAAAATCCGGATTTGTGCTCGAGTGTGGGAAATTGTTTGCTCCAAACTCAACAATTTTATTGCCAATCTTCTCTGAAAAAACTACGGAAATTGACTGGAAATTGGATGATTTGGCCACGAAAAAAAACGATACGAAAAAACCAAAAAAGTAAATAAAAGACAATTGTGTTTCGAAAAAAATTAGAATTTCAAATTTTTTCTGGTTGAAAAAAAAGAAAAGGAGAAAATCTTGGGAATAATTATGTAGTTCGATAGTTAGTTACATAATTATTGCTTCAGGAAGAAAAAGGGAAAAGAGCTCAGGGGAGCAAGAAAAAAGAGCAATTAAAATTTGTAGGAAGAAAAGTGCTCGCAGAGAAATTTGAGATGTTTTGGGGGGAAAATCAGAACATCTGACCAAAACATTTGTTATTAATTTTGAGCACTAAAAAGAGCTCTAAGAGCTGTCCTCTTTTTTGATTTAATTAAATTAAATTAAAAAATTGGGTAAACAAATAAAGTGTGAGAGACTTCTAAGCTACCGTATTCTTAGCTAGCTATAGTCATGTCAAAATATTTTAAAAATAAATCTTTTCTCTTTTCAAAAATGCAAAACAGATGTAAAAAAAGGAGAAAAGAAAAGTAAAACAATGTGTCGTCTTGAAGGAAATTTAATATTTTTGGTAAGTGACATGACATGACTCTATTTTACTTGCTTTTCAAAAAATAAATTGTCAAAAAAATAGACGGGAGATTTAGAATCGAGCTCAGGGGATTGAGACAACCAGGTCGGGTTGATTAGGCTTGGTTTTCTTTGATTTTTGAATCGGAAGATTTTTTCTAGTCTTCCTCGAATTAGAATTTTATATGAAAAATAAAAACATGAGCATCTCAAAATTCAAAAGAAAAAAAAATTTCGAGCACAAGAAAAAAAACCGGTTGGTCAAATACACAAAAAGCAAAAATGAAGATGATAAGCCTTTTCTGCGCCACTTAATGAGCAAAAACGAGGAGTTGAGCAACAAATATACAAATAGCGAAAGAAAAAAAAAGAAGTGATAATTCAGGTCGGGTTAGGTTCTTCTATGAGTTAGGGAAAATTGCATGTTTTGTTTGGCTACAACTATCTCTTTACAACTAAAATGAGAAACTATACTAAAAATTGAACCTCTCTCGTTTCTCCAAAAAATTATAAACAAAAAAAATCACACATTTCAATATAAAAGCTCTCAAATTTCTTTTTCATCAAAGCAAAAAAAAAGAAACAAAAAGTGGGCGGAGCCTAGAAAAAGGGGGCGTGGCTTGAAAGATTGCGGCTAATTTTTGAGGAAACTTTTCTTTCAAAATTGATTGTAATTAATTAACCTACTTTCAATTGAATAACAAAAACAATTTCAATTTTAAGTTGACCAAAAATTAAAATTTCAATTTCTTGAAACATTTCAAGCGCAAAATTTAAATCTGACAATAAATTTCAATTTCAGATCGAATCTCGTTAATTTATTTTTCCGCCCCGAAAAAAGCCAAATTCTTTTTCTCAGTTTCTAGAGGAAAAATTAGGGTAATCAAATATTTTTCGTTTTTCAAGGAGCAAAAAGAAATGTATATATTTGTGTATAGAAAACTGAGAAGAGATAGATATACTAAATTGGGATGGAACTCTTTTTGAGATGTGACATTTTTATTTAAAAATTGTAATGTGTACTGAAGAAGATGATACAACATATTTTTGGATGAATATTATGGTTATTATTATTATGAAATGGAATGGAATGAAATTGAGTTAATTTGAAGTTCGTATGAATTTTGGGAAGTCATAAAGGGGAATTTTGATACAACATATCAATGGAATTTTTTTTGAAAGTCTTGAAATTTTTCATTAAGTCTCATTTAATTTAGAAGACACTCTTACTTTATCAAACAATTATTATAACTAGTATTCTCTCAGTGAAGTGTAGGGAGAGAATCTCAGGATTACCAACTATTCTACTTTTGACGTAATCTATTCACAAAGTCAGAAAAAAAGGAGGGGGGGGTTTCCATTTTGAAAATAAAATCCCCTGAAGTTACAATAGGCGTGTTGGATGTTCCAAAAATTGCAGCGTTCAAACCCTCAAAAAAAAAAAAAAATTACAAATACTTCTACCGTACCTCTCATCAAAGGCGCACACAATTTTTCTCCCGTGTCTCGCAACGCGCGTTGATTTTTTCAAAAAACGAAGCGGTGTTTGCACATTATTGATGGAAAAATTTAATGTGACGCCAAATTTTCAGTGATTTCGTTTTTTGTAATGGATCAATTCATCTGAAGAAAAAATGAATTTCGCGAAATTGCAATTCGTGAAACGACACGAAAAAAACACAAAAATAAAGGAGAAATATTAAAGGGACACGTAATCGCTGCGAGACCCAACACACGAAAAAAGAATTGCCTCCTTTATTTTATTAATTTCGTGTCGTTTCGCGAAATTCATTTTTTCTTCAGATGAATTGATCCATAAAGGAAAGACAATAACGAAAACAATTTGTTTACTTTGAAATTCAAAAATTGATGAAACGTATAAAATCCATGATATTAGAAGTCCCAATTTTTTGTCAATCAAAAAATAAGTTCATATTACACCATCTCCACAGTCATAAAAATATACGTGTAATCAAAAAAATTATCGCCATATACTAATTTGTTAATATTCTACATACAGATTGTTTGTTCTAATAAAAACCACACGCCGCCGCCAAAAAATGGTGTTTACGACGTGTTGAACAGATAAAATATAGTGGTGCGCGAAAGAAGAAATTAGTCTTGTGTCTTGTATATTATTTACAATTGGATGGAAAGAACAAACGAGAACAGAACACGTGTTGCGTAACTGTTCGCCTCTTATCATAAAGGCGGTGAAAAAACGATGAAGAGGAACGAGAACATGGAGAAAAAACGAGACAGATTATTATCGGAGATGGAATATTTATTGGGTTTTAATTTGGTGTGAGGGAGGACAAGAGAAACAAGACCGAGTTATGACGTGGCAAATGTTGAGATTGGGAAAGGAAACTGGGGTTTTTCTAGGCTATAGCAACTCTCAAGGCGCTTGAAAGTTGAAAATTAAAATTTCAGAGTACACAGAGAACTTGTGAATTGAAAGGATGAACTACAATTCAAAATTGCCACGTCATAGCAATTTCTCTATAGAAAATTGTTCAATCACCGCCGAATTTTGCGAACAAATCAATCAAAACAAGCAAACTTCTTATTATAATAATAAATACCAAAATTCCTCATCATTTTCCATGTTCTTCTTATTTTTCTTCTTCCCGTTTTCTCTCCAGGGGGTCACTCATTGCACTCACGAGAAAAATCAAAACAAAACAAAACAAACAAATCATATTATTCATTTCTACCAACATTTTGATAATCTATGCAAATTTTCAAGGATGATTTCCTTGAGGCCGAACCGAAACAGACAGAAAAAAGAGGATGAAACTTTTTGGTGATTTTTCTCCCGGCGAAAAAAAACGAGATAATGTGGTGCTGAGTCGAGGATGAACTATGTGTGTGTCTCTGGGGAATTTCAGAAAAGCGAGAAAATTTGAAATTGAAAAGTTTGTGTTTGATTTTCTCCTCCTATTTTTTCTTTTGGTTTCTAACATAACGTAAGTGCAGTTTTTCATTTTGAGAAGAAAAAAGCCAAAAGAAAACATTTTTCCATTCAATTGAAACAAAAACTCTGTCTCTGAAACAAAAAAGTAAGAATTTCTTTGAAAATTTCATGAAAAGAAATGTCCTCGTGTCAAAGAAAAGTCAGGATTACTGTAGTTCCTTTTTCTCAAAAAAAGGCACCTGTTTTGTTGCTTTTTTTGAAACCAAATAAATAAATAAGAATCCCTAATGGGTAAGGGATCCACATAAAATTAAAATAAAACGAGACAAAAAATAAATGGGCGAGGCGCCAACAAACAGATGGTCTAAGTCCATATGTAGTTAGTAGGTTTGACAAATTTTGAATATTAAAAAAAATTTAAAAGAAAGCCAAATAAATGAAAAATTTTAATCAAAATCTGGAAAATGAAACAGGTGAAACCCAAAAATGTCCTGCTGCGCGGCCAGAAAAAATTCCACCTGCCTCGCTTCAAAACTTTTCACGACCTCGCTCTATTGTTCTCAATTTTTTGTCAATGGTGGATAATATGACTGGCTCATCGGGTCATTAACTCAACTATTTTTACAAACAGAAAAACAAATATTTCGAAAAAAAATTGCATCGACCGGGAATCGAACCCGGGCCGCCCGCGTGGCAGGCGAGCATTCTACCACTGAACCACCGATGCTCACGGAATTCCGTGAGCATTCGAATCGTAAATCATTTTCTCAACGATCATTTCGCTGGTGAAAAAAAAAACAAAATGTATTTCTCTCGGACAAGATAATCAATCAATTATGGGAAGAAAAGTGTAATGTGGTAACTATTTAATAGATCATCATTATAATTATTATATTATACCTGTCTAGATAATTTAATTTAAAGGCACACATCTGTTGACAGGGTGTTAATAATATTAAAACAAAAAAAGAATTAGAATTGGTAAAAAAAAGAGTCCTTGAACGAGAAAACGCGCATAAAATTATATTTATTATGCCCAAAAAAATGGGGAAAGGACAGGAAAAAACATGTATGTCAAGTACAAAAGTAAACATACTTATAGTAACTCAAAAAGAAATCCAGGAAAAGAAGAAAAATAAAAAGGATGCCGGACTGTATATAATAAAATATATAAGGCCAATGGGTTATAGAAAGTCGTAAATTCAAGTGGTTGTGCAAACGAAACCGCGAAGAAACAATAGTTTATAAAAAGTGAACAAACAAGTTTCATTTTGACCAAAGCCGGAGCTATGCTCAACTAAAAAACATATAATTTAGTATTGGAATGTTAGTAAATAATGAGCAAAGATAATCCAATGTTTCAACATTTGTTTTGTTTTGCTCATAGATTTTTATCTTAGAATGGAATGGCTTGGAATGCCTACATTTTCTCAATTAAAGATATGTCAAATTTAGGGGAGAATTTAGGGGAAATGAGTGATGGATTGCCACTTTTTCGTCTATTTTTATTTTAGGATGAAATTTTGCAAGATTTTAAAGCAAAACAAAATAGAATAGAATAAAAGATAAATATGTTTTTCTTTGGTTTTTGAATGAATATACAAGTGTTTGCAAAAAATTAATGTGATTGCATATAAATAAGAAATGAAACTGAAACTGCAAAAAAACACAGATTCGGAATTTAGACTGAAAATTATTGGGTGAATTCCCAAGTTTCAAAGAAAGAAGGAAAAATCTGCATCGAGAATGTGACATTTTCAAAAAACCAAAAAAAAACACATTCATTCACCTCGTTTTCTTTCTAGTCAATCCAAAATTTAATGGGACGGAACACTTTTTTCTTCTCTAAATACAAAATGTTCTCATTCACATTTTCATTCTCATTCATTTTCTAATAAAATAAAATAAAATGGTCCCAAAAGACACGTGGCGGTGTTTAGCAACTTGAATTTATTAGCCATTTGTGGCCACCATGTGTTAGGGTGTAAGATGAGATTTGAGAAGTCATTTGACGGAAATTGACAATGATGTATGAGAAATTATTAAAATAGACATTATGATGATCGAGAAGGAACAGAAAAAAGATTTTTGGGGGATTTTTTATTTTAATATGATTCGTTTTTCAATAAAAGAAAAAAGAAAAAAGTTGAAATGCGATTAACCTTGATTTTTTCGGTTTAGTGTTCCAAAAAAGGACTATTCATTCATTCAATAATCGAAAAATATACTGGAAAAAATCCTGGAAAAACCACCCGCGAAGAAAAGTAATTAACAATAAGAAGTATCTAAGTACTCAACCTTGATATGATTAATTAGTTGTAAAAAAACGAAGGAATATCAAATGAGAGGATCTTTTCAATTTATCTTCATTTTTCTCTTTGGTTAGTAGAAGGGAACAAAGAGACATTAGATGGAAATGAATGGATGTTTATTTTATTTCGGATTTTTACTGATTTTGGGGTAGAAACATGGAGTAAAACACTGTGCCCTGAGCGCAACAATGGCCGAGTTTCCGATTAGTTCGGCCAGAACAAAAAATTTCGGCCATCGTTTTTTTTTCTGGGGAAAAAAAACTTCTGAAACCAAATCTGGATTTTCTCATCGAATTATTTCCAAAAAGCTGAAGTTTTATACATCATTTGAAAGAGGAAGACCTATATTACATTGTTGTTAAAACACAATTTCAAATAATGTTCATTTGAACTCATGGTTTTCTGCCAAAACTTGCCCATGTATAAAACTTTGAGAGGGATAATTTCATGAAGTAGCTATCATTGTTAAGACTTTGATATTGGAATCTAACCAGATTAATCTTCTCTACAAGATCTGTTACGAAAATTTT